GTTGAGTGCTAGATTTAACATAAAGAGCATTTTGACCCTGGTTGTGGAAAACACGTTTTCAGAGATGAGAACGGGTGCCAGTGACATGCCGTTGCAGCTTGAATTTGACTACAGGTTCAGTAGAGCGATCAAAGAACGCTTAAAAAGACAGTGCTCTACACCATATTCATACTGTACTAGCTCTAGTTCATACTACCCACACACCTTTGTATCTGCAAGCTACTCTGACCTTCCGAAATTACGTCCCCCAAAGACAAACAAGCTAACTAGTCAACAAGTTCGCGAGATGAGGAATTGGAGAGCTGTCCACGGTCAAAATGTTCCCCCAAAAACGGTGCGCAATATGACGACCAAAGACAACCCAGGAACTCTCCCGATTAATCTATATGCGGTGGGCCCACCAGATGTCCAGCCACTTGATTTAACCAAATTAGGAGACCACCATTCAGTGCAACAAATGCCACAGAAAGAAGTGTGTTAAGGTGGCTCCGTAATTGATACAAGAGCACTTAGCTGTGACAAATTTTCCGTCATAACTTTTTCGATTTTAACGCGATGGCTGCGAAACTTTACAAAAAACAACAGATATCATTCCGCAATAAAACGAAATATTCCGATTTCATTGATGGTAAATATTTCTTGAGAAATTAGCGCTTAAAAGGACCCTACTGTTCAAAGAAAATCGCGTCCAGTAAAAAATGTTGCTGATATTTTTTACTGAAATTTCTGGTATCGACTTAAATTGATATAATAAATATGCCAGAGGAATTTCAGAAAAATCGTTGGAGCAGAAGTCCGTAACTAAAAGTCGCTCAAAATTCAGCTGTGAAATTGTTTTGGAATTTCAAAAATAAATTACTATCAGGAAGAAGGAGACATCACTTTGAATTTTCGGGACAAGTAAATTCAGTGACTGCTAATTCTGAAAACAGAAGCCGATTGCCTATCGTGCTATTCTTTAAAAGGTACTTTTCAGTTTTAGAAGCACTACATATTGCTCCCAACTTTGCTTTAACGTCGAATGACTTGTTCCTCGACATTTTAAAAATATCCCTTGGCAGTTTTGGTTCAAACTCCTGCTACATACATTTTGATGTATTGTAATGCATCCTCAACGGCTTTTCCTGCTGTACGTTGTTTCCAGTTCAGGAAAAAGGTATTGGGATTGTAAGCTACCTTGTATCGAAGCCCAGATAGAACTGTCCAGCACCTTTGTTTATGACCAGAAAATGGGCACGAGCGGCAGCCCAGCGAGGAATTCGCACCTCAGCCAGGGGGGACGAATGACAATGATGCCCATGTCTGTGAACCGATCTGCATAAACATGCATTGCAGAGAAAAAAATTATAATCAAGAAAAAAATACCCATTCATTGAAGGAAGGAGTGACAAAAATTTCAGAGTTGTAAATTTATTCACGGGCAGTATTTTTGCGATAATTTTATTTTGCAGTGTGATGTTATTTGGTTCACAGGCATGGTCATCATTGTCGTTCGTCCCCCCTGGGTGAGGTGCGAATTCCGCGCAGAAAGGCCGCTCGTGCTCATTCTTTAGTCATAAACAAAGGTGCTGGAGAGTTCTATCTGAGCTCTGATACGAGGTAGCGTCCAATCTCAATATTTTTTTCCTGAGTTGGAAGCAACGAACAGCAGGAAAAGCCGTTGAAAATGCATTGCAATACATCAAAATGTATGCAGCGGGAGTTTGAGCCAAAACTGTCAAGGGATATTTTAAAACTGTCGAAGGACAAGTCATTCTTCTTCAGAGCAAGGTTTGGAGCAATTTATAGTGCTTCTAAAACAAAAAAGTACCTTTTAAAGAATAGCACGATAGGCAATCGGCTTTTGTTTTAAGAATTAGCAAACGTTGAATTTACTTGTCCCGAAAATTCAAACTGGTGGCTCCTTCTCCCTGATAGTAATTTATTTTTGAAATTCCAAAACAATTTCACAGTTGAATTTTGAGCGACTTTTAGTTACAGACTTCCGCTCCAACGATTTTTCTGAAATTCCTCTGGCATATTTATTATATCAAAGAAAGCCGATACCAGAAATTTCAGTAAAAAATATCAGCAAAATTTTTTACTAGACGCGATTTTCTTTGAACAGTAGGGTCCTTTTAAGCGCTAATTTCTCAAGAAATATTTACCATCAATGAAATCGGAATATTTCGTATTATTGCCGAACGATATCTGTTTCTGTTTGCAAAGTGTCGCAGCCATCCCGTTAAAAACCAAAAAGTTATGACGGAAAATTTGTCACAGCAAAAAGCTCTAGTATAAATTACGGAGCCACCTTAAGCATGACAAAGGGTGCCCTGAAAACACCTTGGTTCTCGCCTGCCTACAGGAGAATGTTAAAGTTGGCATAAAAAAAGTGATGGCCAAAATTTTTGTTCAAGATCCTTTTAACCCAATATGCTTTTCGGAAAATTCAGAGAAATACATTGAGGTAGATAGCATTATTTGTATCTTGACGACCTACAAACATAATCAAGATGTTTTGGAACTTAAGGAGGAAGAGCTAATCCTACTTCAGGATGAAATTCAACAGACAAGTGATGTCCTCACTCTTACAGAGGCGACAGAAATTTCTGCTGATGAACCAGAGGTGATGCGGCATTCATCAAGGAGACGAAAGAGGCGTTTTGCTGAAGATTATCTCTACTATGACTAACGAGGTAAAACTTACGAAAATACTGACCATCGAAAACTGAAATATGATTGAAATTCTGGGGAACATTAATTAATATTTCTGGGGATCAAGGGAACATGCAACAGAATTTCTGGGAACAGGGGAACTTGATGAAAGTGAATTTCAGGGAACATCTTAATTTATTTTTGTGGAACAAGGGAAAAACTCCAATTTTTTCTAGGGAACAAGGGAACATGTACCCCCCCTGGGAGGCCCTCTTTCGTACATTTCTCTAAGATCGGGTACTGACTTAAAGTCACTTAACTGAAAAATTATTACTCAGACAATATTAATGCAATTAAATGGGCCCCAAGTTTTAGTAAAATTCATAGTTTTACTGTGTAAGAATTTTTGACGGTTGTTCAAATTTATTTAGTCTGCTATAGGAGTATCCATATTTGAAGGGAACAGGAGGAGTGGTAGGGAGGAAGTATATAGTGGTCTGTAGTCTCCTGGGCAGCTCTTTTTTTGTCTTCGACTTGTGTGAAAATAGACACAAAAACGGCTGCGTATGAGACTACAGAGGAAGCGTTATGTATATGCAGGAGCATAATAGGCTCCTGCTGCATGTGAGTTTGTAACGACAACTTTCTCCACTTGAATGAATGGAATTTACAAAGTGAACCACGGCCTGTAAGTATATTCGTAAACTTGTAAGACGTCTGACCAGTCGCATGTTTCGTTTTTCTTAATTTTGACGTTTTCGTTCCTTTGATAAAATCGTTTAATTTAATTCAAAGACATGTTAAATAACATTGCCTCTGAAATGTAAATTGTTGTACTCAAAAATGCGAATTAAAGTGAATCAAAATATAGAACTTTCGCAAAATCGCGAAATTTAAGTGTCGTGAAATATGCGCACATCAAAATCGCGAAATCAACATGTCGCGAAAATTTCATGTTATAAGGTACGTCCTGTTTTTGGTACTCACATCTCTTGCGCCCGCCCCCGCCACTATCTGGACGCCTAGCAATGTATTCATGTCTTGCAGTTCACAATGTAAATTCTTTAATTATGAATTAGTGATTAATAATGTATTTTATTTTTCAGTTTTTCTTAGCTTAAGATATTTTTAGTATTTGTAAATTCATTCTGCAAAGTGACTCCCCGGCCCCTCTCCCAGAATCTCCCAGTGTATCTGTGATCTCTTGCGCATGACACTGGAAACTATTGAACAAAGCTTAGTAGCCTCGCCGAGCTTGGTAACCAAGCTAACAAATGTCATTGCAGTGAGGTTCAATGTGAGGTTCAAGTACGTGTTAGCGTGCGAGCGTTGAAGTCCATTTGGTAAGTATTTTTACAAGGTGTTTTTTGCTCACCCTCTAAACCTACCTTGATGATGGTAGCAACGATCGGGAACTTCCTTTGTCTGTATAAGTCGATTTTTTGCTAGTAACTTTACGATTCCAAAGCTCAGATCTGTGTGTGTCGATCGTTTTATGCTGTGTGCGGCCGTAAACAATCTCCAAAGACCCAAAGAATCTCGGAGTTTTTGGATTTTTCTCTTGTCTTAGGGCATGTGCAAATCCGAAATCCTTAAGTCAAAACTTGTCTTTTACTTTCCCATTTCTTGTGGAGTTTTCCTTTGCAATACGATCGATCGATGTGTATGTGCACATTTTGATGATTTCAATTCATTGGTGATCAAGCTTCATCTGTACATGTAAATTAAGGCGCGTGGCTAGTTCAAAATATACTCAACTGGTTCCATTGGCCGCGGACATCGAAGCGGGAAATTGAATTCCTTTTGTTGTATCCGGGTTAGTGTTAAGGAACTAAATTAATATTAATATTCGTGAATAAAGAGGACCAACGTTAACGAATCCATGCCATTTTTGTGGAAGCATAGCTTTCGTGAGTTATGGACGAAGTTTAGTGATCGTAAGAATGCATCCACACATTTTTTTTTTGACTTGTGTTTCTTAGGACTGTGTAATGCGTACTTGAAACGAGATTGTATTAGCTTATAATTCAGTTTCTCACCTGTGTGAAACAGATCTCAATCCTCTGCATATATACGGGCATGTATTAGTGAAGAAGCTTTCAAAAAAACTGGAATAAAACAAGTATGCTGTGTTTTCTTTTCTTGCTTAAGATTGCATTTTATTAATGTTACCTAAGAAAATGATGAACATACAACGGATGATAATTCATTAGGTTTCTAGGTATGTAATAATTGTCATCAAGATAAGATTTGTTGAACCCATCAATTCTCTTAACCTTTTGACCCATCCAAATAGCAATAACCCTTATTAAGTACATAATACATGTAAGTCCCTCTGCAAATTGTAGTATATTTGCAACATTTTGTTTTTCCCCAGGTAAACTTATGATGAAAGGAAATGATTATAGGATGAGCTGAAAATGGATAAAGATTTAAACACTCGCAAAAGGAAGAAGAGTATTGATGATGCTTCTAGAAATGTAAAGAAGTCCATGAAAAATGGATCAGGTATGTGACTTGATGTGTAGAAAACTGAACAGTATATGTCTACAGTAGTTGAACCCAGTTTGTACACACACCAAGAGGATATGCTATGGTGTTCGTATTTAGGGGGCTTTCAGAATAAACATCACAGACAAATCTATTGAAGGATATAAAGACTAAAAAATACTAATACAAGGTTAGGGACAATGACTGTAGAAATGATCTAAGGATGTGAAACTTGTGTAGTAGGAGGCATAGAAAACTTTATTAAAGGTCTACATTAAAAGGATCAAACAAGGGAAGAGGGACTGGCTTCTTATGTTATGCTATTTTGCTACTGTTTCTTTTAAGGAAGAAAATCTTATTAGCCCATAAAAATCTATCATTATTTGAACAGGGTACAATGTTTACAATAACAGGGTTTATGATAGGTCATGAAAGAAAGGGAAATTTTACGGGATTTTCAGGGAGAAATTCGCAGAAAAATCAGCTGATTTTGCAGAACAGTTGCAGGAATTTTTAAAGCAAACTTCGCTAAAAAACAGTTGGTATAAAAACACCGATTTTGTAGGAATATTCAGGACAAATTTCGCTGGAAATGGATTAGTTTTGCATTTCAGCATTTTTAATGTTTTCTTAACAGAAATCATCATTTCCTCTGTCAACAACAACACACTCCAGAAATGAGCCAATGGCAAAGCTTTAAAACATCATGGCTGGTGCCCCATTCTTTTGCAACATAATCCATGCCTAGTAGTTTTAAAACATTGCTTGCTTGTGAAGTGGCAAATTTTCAAGATAAATTTGCAAATTTACACTAAGTAAATAAACAACCCCAGCAGCCAAGATATTAGTGTCAAATGTGTTGTACAGTCATGTATTTGCTAAGATTTATTGAGGATATTGCGGTATTTTTGCGTGTTTTCATGAATTTCCAGGGATTTTGCAGATTTATGTGAATTTCACAGCTCTGCAACTGTGCAAAATATCAATGCACCAAAATTAGGTGTTACTAAAGCTGTAAATATTACAAAAATTTTTACATCCATGACGAGTACCCTGATTAAGAGCGGCAAATGTACTCTTTTTATGTACATGCCGGTCAAAGCCAGTCCAGCATGGAGAAAATCAAAATCCGTGTGTCTCTATTCACTGGCAGTAATGTCAGCCTCAATCAAAGGTTCCACGTTGGCTACTAAAGGCAAATCAAGATTTAATCTCTCTCCTTTTCTCCCTTGGAGAAAATTAAAGAACCTAAAAGCCTTATTATGCCGCAGTAAGGACCTCTCAGCTTGAAACAAGGGGCTAAAATCACATTTGCTTATTAAAAACATAGAACCTTCCGGAGCATAATCTACCAGCCACAGAAAAAACGTATTGGACAACATTTTAGCTTGAAGTAAAAACCATGTAGGCCTACCAACCCCTGTTTGGAACTGCAAGCAAATCTTGTCCTGATGCCAGTGTAGAAATCATTTTGACTTGCTCAGTAAGTAATAGAGGCGCCATTCCCAGCTGCTCCAATTCCAAAAGACTTTTTTCGAGAGCAGAGTTAAAATTTGAATACCTACCCTATGGGTTGATATTTCTACTCTCTCTAATCTTCCTCTGTCATAAAATCAAAGATGGCGGCTACAACAGTAAAGTACAAGCAGTTTTCACCTGCCCAAAATACACCTGCGCTGCAGTCAAGGGCCTCCATGGTCATATACCATGCATGTTAGCTGGTACAACACTGGCGTGCCAAGATTGTGGACTGATTTTGGAAAAAACCGTGCTGTACAGTTAATAAAGTACCACTGACCAAGAATAGTCTTATGTCCGCCCGCAATTCGAGGCAATGATGTTTATATACACATTTCATGTATATTTCTTCTATTTTATCTTCATGTGCACTCATGTAAAAATTATGCAGCAGTAGAAATCCACCCTGAGGCATGGGGCAAGGGATTCCCCTGGGCTACCACAAGCATGACCTCCAACTAATTCATAAGAAATGAAGGAAGAATAGAACCAAAAGAGCTTCCTAGCCCTTCAATTCCCCTGCCTACTAATGACATACCCCATACATTCCTCAAATAATAACCATGTAGATTCCTCAATTAAACACCTCTCTTGAATAATCACCCCCCTTTGATGGAAATATTTGAATTAATTGCCTCCCTTGAATAATCACCCCGCCCCTCTCGCCATCTTCTCTTTCTTTTATCCCCTCCCTGTCAAGTTGAAGTGGAATCTTGCACCAAAACTCTCAAACAATCTCTGAAAATTATTGAAGGAACCAAATTTGGAATGCTTTAAAATCCCATATGTTAAGTTTATTTGATGTAATAATTTTTTTAAATTTATGGGATAATAAAACAAAATATTTAGGGCAAGACTTCCAGTGAGCAACATTTGAAATAATCCCCCCTTCGAATAATCACTCCCAGCTAATATTTGAGGAAATAAAGCGAACCTAACAACAACAGAAGTACAAATCTTAGTGACCGTCCTGATTTGTAATTTGTTTTTTGCATCATCATATTAAATTAGTTGTTACTCTGTCTGTCAGAGTGCTCTGACTGTCAGAGTGCTTAAATTATGTGTGCTACAAAATAATGCACAGTTCCTAAAAGAATCCAAAATCATATAAAATAACTATTGTCTTTCTGTTAATTGATTATGCTAGGTTCTGATGAGGAAGATGAAGACCTCTTTTCTTGGGAGGAATATCTAAAAAAATGCCATGCAAAGGCTGTTCCAAAGGAAAGTTTTAAACATGTAAGTACATGGTATTATGTACTTAAACGCGTCCACAGAGATGAGGGTGGGGAGGTGCCTGAGAGGCCAGTGGAGCCACGAACTGCTGCTGAGTGCAATGTGTAACCTTGACAACCCTGAGAGTGGAATCCACCCAGGTGCCGCCACACTGCTAACCAGTGGAACCTAACATACTCACCTATACTGTCTTGCTATAGGGGAGGGAAGGGTAGGGAGGAGAAAAATAAAAACACTTGCAAAAATACTAGCAACTATCCGCAACCACATGTAATGACCAAGAGAATGATTTCAAGAAGACCCACCAGCCCCTGCAATGTGATTAGGGCATCCCTGCATAATTATCATTGAAGAGGTAGAATGAGAATCAGGCTGTTCTAATTTTTACTGAAACTATACTAATGTGAGCATCATTGACCCGTATTGGTCTAGGATTTATAACATTTTTTACAGTTATTCAAGCAGTCTAAGTTATTAAACAAAATTATATCACCATTAACAACTGTATCGCTAAAATGGAGGTTGGGTGCCTGGAGTATCTAGGGGCTTCCACTATTGGCATCCAGCCCCTAGATTGAAATAATCCCCCCATGACTGGCACAAAAGCGCAACCCAGCCATGAGCCCCCCACACAAAAGGAAAGGAACAGGCACCCATCACACTGAAAAACATCAGTGGAGAAAGACGACAAAGCCTTGGGAGAGAAGGGGGGGGGGAGAAAATGGCTGAAAGAACCTTTATGGACTGTAAAAATCCAGCACTAAGGAAACTGAATGCGCCAATGAATCACATGATCGATGTAGTAAGCTACTGGGTATGAGCATGCCAAAGACCGCTGAGCCCAGGTACTTAAGGCTCTCTTAGTTGTTAACTCCTTTAAATTGCATTTAAATGTATTTAAGTGTATTACCCCAAAAGAATGTTGAATAAATCCTTGCTGTTGGCAATATTATTTCAATATTATTATTTTAAGGTACAAGACACCAAAGTTCAAGGCTTTGTTCCTGGCATGAAGCTTGAATGTATGGATCGTACATCCCTGGAGACGGATACCTACTGGATTGCCACTGTTGTCATGGCATCAGGGCCTTTGCTTTTGTTGCGATATGATGGATATGATGATGATCGGAGTGGAGACTTCTGGTGTGATGCAGCGTCTGATGAGCTTCAACCAATTGGTTGGTGCACACGAACCAATAACATTCTTATTCCGCCTGCAGGTAGGTGAAAGGTTTTAAAATGATAATTTTAAAGTTGTAAGTGCCTGGAGAGCAAAAGGCACTATTGCCTTGGAGGTAACCATGGCAACTATGCAAGCATCAACCACCCAGCACCATCACAGTCAGGGGCAGAAAATTCATAAAGGGGTGGCCGGGACACTTGCCCACTTGCCAGCTATATAGATACTTTATATTTTTCTAAGAATTGTATAAAAATAGTGCAAAATTTCAAAGAGGAAGGGGTGGCCTCGGCACTGTCGGCCCACCCCTTAATCCACCCATGACACTGAAAAAGTTCAGCAGAATACTTGCTGTACCCCATACTTACCTATTCAAGGATGGAGGGAGTGGGAGCGGAAACAAGCAGATGTCATGAGCCATGAATTCTCAATGATCCATAATGATCAGCAAAGCAAAGCAAGCAAAGCTGAGTTGTGCAATCATATCAAAGCCCTTGCAGATCTAGTGGCCACCTTGCACAAGCCTGCCTGCCTGGGGTTTGACCTTTGACCTGCGAGTGATGTCTCAAGATTAACTTTGCCTATATTTAGCCGCATTAAAATTTAAGTGTTTGTGGTACACTGTATCTGATTTTTTCACCGGCCATTTTTTTCTTTCTTCTTTACACTCATTACTGAAGTGTACATGTATATTCAGCTTAGTGCAGTGACAAATTTAAATACAATCAAAGCCTTGCAGGAGACTGAATAATGTGATTGTAATTTTTTTTTCGTGTGTATTAGTCGGGCCAGACCTTGGGGTAATGAGCTTCTCATTTGTTTTTCCAGCCATCCGACACAAAGAGTCAAACTGGGCCAAGTTTTTGATGCATGATCTTAAAAATGCTGTGTGTGCTCCAGAGCATTTGTTTCACAGGGTAGGTTGAGTGTTGTAAAAAGATGTCAATTGCTCTTACTTGTATAGGGGTTACAGTCTGTGTGTCTCGCTATTTGCTGTCTTTTTAAAGACCAAAAACGTGTCTTTGCATCAGTTGAATTCCAAATTAAAATAATGGTCCAGTTGTGTTGTTTAAGACTATTATACAATTACAGCAATGAAACTATTTCCTGTTTTCCAGGCTTTCAGCCAGACATTGGAAACTGGCTGTCCAGAAGGCATGTTTTCCCATAAAAGTATAAGAGATTAAGTGAAGTTTCCTTGTATTTCTTCCAATAATGGGTGTCCATAGGACGGCTGGACACCTTTCTGGCTAAAACCTTGCTGTCTTCTATTACCATGGATGGAAAGAAGACATGGATTGAAACTTGAAAAAATTGGGCCAGCTGTTTAAGGTTTTAATGCTATGCTTGAAGAATCACTAAATATTATTAACAATTATTCCTCGAGTGCGAATGGGCTCTGAGTCAATAGCCCATTCGGCCTTCGGCCTCATGAGCTATTGACTCAGAGGCCATGAGGGCGAGAGGATTAATTGTTTTAGTAAAACCCAACTAGTTGATCGAGAATGAAAAACTTTTAGCTAGTTAAAGCTAGACTTTAATTATTTTTTGCTGCCAAAAAGCCCGCGCTTTTCGCTTCTAGTGGGCTATAACATGTAGCCTAGTAGTAGCTCAACCAATCAGAACGTAGCATTGATAATAGACCACTAGTTGGATTTTACTAAGTGCTGCCTGATGAAATTGGTTGATATCTTCTTCGTCATTCTAGAGGATTTTGTATGTGGGTTAAGGCAGTATAATAATGACTTTAGCAAAGAAATGACCTAAGACAGCAACATCCTTGTGCCATAGCCTCTTTCACCTGAAAACAGGCTCCTAAATGGATTGGGTCAAAAAAGAAATTGTGATCTAACATGGCTTGGGGAAGAGAGAAGGCAGAGGCATGGGAGGCGGTAGACTTTGTTTTTATGTTGCCATCCATGATACAATAATGTACCAGATTCTCGTGATCTGATTCATCAGATTGCTGACTTTTGCCTTATTCTGCCAAAAATACCCATGTGTATGCGAATGTTATTAAAGCCGATGCATTTAAGCATAACAAACACAGTCATACTTTGACAGGTCTAATAGCCTTATTGACATGTTATTGCCATATGTTACATGATCACTGCAAATGGGTGGATGGGTGGCCTCACAACAAATTCTATAGGCTCCCCCACCTTTATTCTCCCTCGCTTTGCTTGCTGATTTCTTCTCGCCCTGCTCCAGTTGGGATTCTGTTTGTAGGCCATAGCCCCTTTAATTAATGTGCGCCTGGAATCTCGGATGCTAATGTAAGTGACTAACAAATGATTTGTCTTTACTGTACTTGGCTCATACAACCTTGGCAAACTACTTTTCAGAGATCCGATCCAGATGAAGAAAACCAGCTTAAACCAGGGCTTAAGCTAGAACTGCTACATGCAGATGATCCTCTTTCCTACTGGGTGGCAGCTATTGTGGATGCTTATGGTCTGAGGCTCAGATTACGACTGGAAGGCTCAGAAAATGAAGCTGATGATGTATGGGTTTACTTCTTGGCTAATAATGTTCATCAGCTGGGATGGGGAAAGAAAAACAATTTGAAGCTAAATATTCCTTCTGGTAAGTTTTTTTTGACAATTGGACTGTTCACTTTTAGTACATGTATTGCCTAAATTTCAAACTGAGTGGTATTGAGGGCAAACTGAGGGCATGAGTCCCCTTATTATGGGATAATTAAAATGAGACCCACAAACTCAGAAAGAGGAAACCAAGATTTACCAAATCCTCAAGGTTAGTTTAGTGTTAATTGGGCATATATTGAATGAGATGCAGGCATTCAAGAACTCCAAAATTTACTGTGAGATATATAGACCTACAGTGTGTCCAGTAATCCTTACATCATACAGTCTTTAAATCACTGTATCTTGTTTTATATTGGCCTTATTATCTCCAAACTCTAGAGTTCTGCAAACCTTGGTCTGGTCTTTTAGACTATGTGGGTCTTGTGTTGTTTATCCTCTAATACACAGACCCCAGCCCTCCTTGGTTTGAAAATAGGCAATGGTATATCATACAATAGCCCCCCTTCTAGACACTCCTCTGTCCTGAAGAAGTGCCTGGATTATAGTCCCAAATAACTTCAAATTAAAAATAGCTACCTGATTCTCCTTCCACTTTTCTTTGTATATGCTTCTGAATCAAAGGAAGAATTTGATAATTGACTAGTACTATGCATTTTTTACTTAAAGTTTCCCCATCTCTTATGAGCCTCTTGAAAAATTATTTGAAATAAATATTTTTCCTCCTGCTCCCCTCAAGGGAGTTGACAGGGAATTATTGAACTACTTGGGCATAACTGATAACCTCTCCCCCTCCCTGTTTTATTTTTGGAACTTTTGCACACAAATAAAGTTTTGCTTTGCAGAATTAATTAATGTTTCTGAATTTTCCTTTTTATGTCAAAAGTGTTGAAAACAAAGTATCCGAACAAGGACTGGGCACAGGTCAGAGGAAGACTCCTGGGTCTTTGTAACTTGACAACCGAAGATGCTTCACTCAACAAAGCATTGAACAAGGTTTGTTTGAGTTGCATCCCACTGTGGGTTGGGATATTTTTTTGTGGCTAATTATGCAATTTAGTCCAAGTTAAAACCTGCGATCGGCGGCACAATTGTTGAGACATTGTACTCAAGTAGGGTAACTTAAGAGAACAAAAGAATCCATACCCCTCCCCTGTCTCCTCCATTCAAAATTGGGATGTTTGTTGTTTGCTATTGGTAGCTTGAACAGCGGCACAACATTGCATGGAGGGGATGAGAGAGGAAAAGCTGTATTTTCCCCTTATTGCCAACGAGCCATCCGAGCGAAGACGCTCGGATGGCGAGGCGGCAGCAGAATAGAGCCGCGCAAGACTGGGCTGTAGGCTGAAAAATTCTCGATCGAGCTTCAAAAAGTGTAACCTCATGTTATGTAGATTCCCCTGAGACCAAGTGCCAATCAAAAGGCGGTAAACTATACTTGGCACACAGTCATGTGTTCTTTCCTCGGCGTCACGCGAAGACTGAACTTGAGTGTGGTACGCTTTTATTGTTTATTCACCTAAATCTGGCCCCGGCAGTCAAGGAAAATGAAAACTTGATGCATTGTATCAATGTTGGGGGACATTAATGTAAGGTTTTAACGAAGAGAAGCTTGTAAAACAACAGTTTAAGCAAAGAAAAGTTTTCCATGTGAACCAAGCAATTCTCACCACTAAAAAGGATCAGATGATACGAAGAATATATAGTCGCTTCAGTTGGAAAATCTGATGTTGGGGAAAACATCTAACCAGCAAATGGAAAAGTAAGAATAAAAAAGAATTACAAGCCTAAAGCGAACGACAAAGGAAAAGAAAACAACGCTATTTTTTTCGAAACCTGGCCGAGTTTATAATAAAGTGAAAACAAAATACCGACGTGCCGTACATGTCGTACATCGCATGTCCTTGAAAATATTTCAAGCAGCGCAGCGAATCATTCTAAAATTCAATCGGGAAACAAAAAGCCTCGGGAAATTTCAGAGGAGGTTTAAATAATTAAACTGCACAAATATTTATCTACAAAGTGAAACCGAACCGAGACTAATTTTGTAGTGGTAAGAGAAAAGATCATTTTTTATATTTCCCCCTAAATATTACCCGATCGCTTCCTCTGCAAGCTGTTTTATAATTTCAAAAAAATATGCCTAATGACACTTTAAACTTTTATATAGCAGGTTCGTAAAGCCAATGGAGTCTGAGAACTGACTCTTCTCCGAACCTTTCTACTTGCATAGCACCTTAGTTTCAAGAAAATAACCCTTTCAACAGGAAGGGACCAAGAAACTGTCAAATGCTGGATAAAAGGAATCCATTCCTATGCAAAATACGCATGACTTGCTCGTTGGCACTCTATCGATAGGTATACCTAGTGTAGTCAGTAAAACGTCAAAAAGCCCCTTTAGGGCAAAGTGTCTCAACTCACTTTGTCACCGATTGTAGCTGATGCTGGTCAGTGGTTCTACATGTACTAAATATGTGTGTGTTTGTGTGGGTGAGGGGGGAGGGGCGAGAGAATATGAGAGAATGACTTTGCATAGACAGGCTGGAATGTGCTGTTCTCCTAAGCATGTAGTAATAAGAAAGCATTAACTTTTAGTTTGAAGGGTGCATATCTTGTAATGGATAGTTGCAGAGGCTAACTGACATTATTGTTGAAGAAAGGGGATGTTCTGTTTTTGATTCTTTTTCAATCACAGTTGTAAATTTAATAACTATGTGGGCTCTAAAGAAATGAGTGTTAAAATTCTCATTATCTTTTAGTCTGACAGTTTACCAAAGCCTCACGGCTTTACGACTGGGTTGAAACTGGAAGCTGTGAACCCAAAAGATCCCTCCTCAATATGTGCAGCTACTGTGTCGAAGGTGGCCAATGAGATCTTCTTCCAAGTGGAGATTGACAGCTTGATCAGTTGCGGCGATGGAAGCCGGCCTTCCATGTGGTGCAGCTCAAGTTCAAGGAATATCTTCCCTGTGGGGTGGTGTGCGAGGAACAACATCCAACTGACTCCTCCCCCTGGTAAATTGTTTTATACTTGTAATGGTAACTCTCTCCAAACAAACTTACTGAGGTTAGAAAGTAGTTGAAAATAGCTGGTTTAGCATGTTTTGAGACTCGAACATGGGCATCGCTGCGTGATGGAAGCCATGTATGTTTTGCAAAGAAAGTTTAGGAAAGATTAAATTTAGAACTTTTCTGAAACGTGTCGGTCCACGAATTCTATCGCTTGAAAGCGTTGATTACTTTGGAGCAAGTGAACAGTACTGAGTGGTCGAAATGGTCGGCTGTTGTAAACTTTCACTGTACGCAAATGAGTCTTGTGATGAGCATGTGATTTATTTTCGGTGATGATTGAAATGACATGCCATGTAAATCACGGTGTAAGATTTTTTTTCAAAAGTAGTTGAAAATAGCTGGTTTAGCATGTTTTGAGATTCGAACATGGGCATGCATACTTGTAATGGTAACTCTCTCCAAACAAACTTACTAAGGTTAGAGGCAAGGTGTAATATTTTTTTCAAAAGTAGTTGAAAATAGCTGGTTTAGCATGTTTTGAGATTCGAACATGGGCATATGCAACTAGTTCTCTCACTACAAGTTTAACAGTTACACATTGTACCATAAACATGGACGCTAAGGTTATCTATTTTGAAATTGCGATGGTATTAATTGTAAGAAGTTGTCAACCTTGCTTCATTTGATGTTGTTTTTGTTCCTGTAGATTTACCTGTTTTTTGTGTTTGTCTTTTTTAGGATACCTCGTTCATCCTTTCCGCTGGCAGACTTACCTTGAATATACAAAGTCTACAGCTGCACCAAGCTCATTATTCAGCTCAGAACATGTAATGTTCCTTTCAAAATTCCTTTTTCGTTTCATTTATCCAAAGCACCACTGCATATTTTCTACGGTACCCATGGTTGCCACATCCAGAGGTATTCCTTAATGTTTCCCTGACTTTTTCCTGACAAATGTTAATTTCCCTGGCCAACTGAATAAATAACTTCCTCAAATAATTAGTCCTGGTGATAATACACTCAACCCTTCCCTCACAGCCATCCCCTCCACCCATGTATTTATGTTTTCAGCAGGTCATGTGCAGTGTATATGAATTGAATTGACAATTATGTACAAAAAGGATTGATCTTCTTGAAAACCCAATTCAATTTTATGAACAATATTCTACCAATACAACATGATTCATGTCCGTACAATGTACAAATGAATTTGAAATGTCGGAAAACATTAACCAGGGGCGGATCCAGGATTTTTTTTAGGAGGGGGTGCACTCGTCTCTTGCTCTACTTTAGCACCAATAAACCACATGGTTTTTTTTTTGTGGAATACCAGTTGTATTAGAAAACCGCAAGTCATCTCAGGGGGAAGGGGGGGGGTGCGCACCCCCTGCACCCTCCCCCTAAATCCGCCCCTGTTAACAGTAAAGGGAAACTAATGAACATGGACTCTTAAAATTTCACTTTTCCCTGACGTTTTTCTAAGACTTCAATTTTCCTTGACTCGAACTGAAATTCCCTTACTTTTTCCTGACCTTGAAGAAATTTTTTTCCCTGATCATTTCCTGACCTGTGGCAACCCTGATGGTACTGTACTTTTACGTTAATTTTGCATTAGCTTTGACTTGAAAATAAAGTTTGTTTTTTGTTGTTTCTTTTTTATTTACTTTCATTAGGATATTCCATCTCATGAGTTTGACATAGGCATGAAGCTTGAAGCTGTTGATCAGACAGATTCGAGTACAATGACAGTAGCCACTGTCACTCAAGTGGTGGGTCGAACAATGTGGGTACTGTTGAATGGCTATAAACATGATTCAGTGGAACACATTTACGATGTGGAGTCATTTGACTTGTATCCTGTTGGCTGGTGCAGTATGAATGGACACCCTCTTCTCACACCAAGAGTGCAACGTAAGCAAGCATTTCATTTCGCTACAAGTCTTTTCGCTGCATATTGAAGTCGTTTCGCTGCAGTGTGTTTTCGCATCAGTCTGGAAGGTTTGCCAAAAACTTCGGTCTTAGCGATGTTGTTTTAGGTATATAAAATTAGTAGAGAGATTAAGATTCACGTTTACGCCAAACTGCAGACGAGAATTTGTACCACGTGACCAAGATTCCAGCAGTTTTTGTTTTTTGTTACAGCAGTTTTATCAGAAATAGTTAAGTTTCGTTGCTTATTCCTTTGGTGATACATGTAGGTTATGAATTCGAGAGTGTACTAGTTCGTTTTGCATTTTTGCATTTTTTTGCTGGTAGGTCCGCCAGAGGAGAACCGACGCCTCGCCTCACTGAGGTATGGAATTTCTTTTTTTTTTTTTTTAATATTTAATTGAGCTTTGCTACGAGTAGTTTATGGTCAACTCTCTCATTAAGTCATTACTTTGTGTCTTTACTCATTAACTCATACACAAAATGCTCCTGTAGAGTGTCGTCACTAGGGAGTTCTAACCATAATATATTTTTTGTGTGCCTTGCTTTTGTAGACATAGCATTAGTTAGCACAGATTTTTCAAGTTTCAATCAATGTCCATCCTTGCCATCCGCAGCAACAGACGAGTGAAAATTGTTTCAATGCCTAACTATACAGTGAAACCTCTATTAAGCGGAAACTAAGCCAGGTCCCGAAATTAACTTCTTTTATTTCCCTTTATAACGAACCCCTATTCAGCGGACACCTCTATTAAGTGGACGCGGACACTAAAATAAGTTGTATTTGGCAAATTTCTATCGTTAAAAACCTCTATTAAGCAAACACCGGACTGAATTGACAATAGTAGTATTGGTTTACGTCCTTGAAATACGTACATTAGTCGATGAATAATGATAAATCAATACTTTTAGCTGTCAATAAACCGATATCCGGCCGGATGACTGTCATCCTCGATCAACGTTTACCTAAAAGTCTTGCACAAAGTACAGCACAGCGTCCTTAGTATCCTTTACAACGTGGAACTTTGTCACAGTACAGAGTAACCGTTGAATGTTGATCGTTAAGAAACATTGCGCAATTTTTACACCCTGTATTAAGCGGACATGTGGGAAGGTTTCGAAGGAGTCCGCTTAATAGATGTTTCACTGTAGTCTTAAATAGCAAAATTGGACTATTTTTTTTTTGTAATTCTTTAATGCCTGTATATAGAGTGTGAATCTAATTGGCTGTTTTGAGGATTTGCTTGAGACTGGTAGGTTTTTAGACTGTCATTTTTTTGGGAGGGGAGGGGGAAGGGGGCGAATTTGATGATATTTCTCACAATAGCGAGCTTAAGCAAGGAAAACGCTGACGTCCCGGACGTTATGAATGAAAACGGGAAGCTCGATATCTCGCTTGATGGATCGCTTCTTTCTCACACTATGAATCTGAATACCATTGTTTTAAGTCCCCCTGTACGAAATTTATCTAGTCAGAGCACTGAAAAAGAGAAAATATCAACTTCCGGTTTCCATTTTTGACGTCTGGGACGTCAACGTTCTCGTTTCTTAAGCTTAGCTAACAGATAAAAGGCCAGCGTCCCCAAAACAGTCCCAAAATGCAATACGATGCAACAATGGCCCAGACTCACGTAAAAATTGTCCAATAAAATGACCGTCTTCCCCGTGGTACGAGTGAGTGTGGCTGTATGTTGTGGTTAAATGTAGTCTTATGATTGCTTTTGTTGTCCATAACCACTCACTTTCTGATTGGTTAACAAAACGTAGGGCAGTTTGTCAAACTATTAGAAGTAAGACCACAAACTTTCATGACGTGCGACTCATTTTCCCGCGCTATGCGTGGGCTGTACGTATTTACATGTACAATCATCGTCAAAAGTCTTGGGAAAATGGGGGAGGGAGAACTGCGAGAAAATTTCGAAAAGGATGCACTGTTTTATGAGGGAACCCATAAATTATACAGAAAATTATAAATACTGCAGTACTCTTACGATTGAATAATGTTTTTTTCTTTTTTTTCAGGGCAACAAGGCAAAGAGAAATTAAGAGAACGACGTCAGACTCAGGCGTTGCAAACGCAACTAACACTACAAATATAACACCGGCAAACAATCTCAATACAGACACTTCGATAAACTGTGAGAATGTAAAAAGCGCGAAAAGTGCGCAAGATTCAAATAATTTAGACACTCTTGACGTCGTCGAAGACAGTAAAGAAAGTGCCATGGTTGAGTCCAGTGGCCTGAAAGAAGAGACCAAGGAATGGCCCAAAAAAGAGGAGCCCAAAACTGAGACCCCAGAGAAAAAGGTCCCAATCACACCAAAAGGGAAGTATGAATTGCGAGCGTCTACGCTTATGCCGCGAAATTACGAGATCAAGGACGAGGATGACGAGGAAGAGGATGTAAAAAAGGATGACAAGAATGTTGAAGCTGTTATTGACTTGACGGAGGATGATGACGCGCCTGTGGTAACCAATGAAACACTGGACAAAAAAGATGGTCCAAGTATGCACACGTGATGTTATTCTTTACAGTGCTACAACTGTAACCTGGGACACATAAACAAAGTTGACCAATCGGTAACAGGAAAATAACAATACATTCCAAGAAAGTTGGTTATGGGTCAAGCCTGGGCATTGTTAAATTTCCGCTAAAAACCATTGTCGAATGAAAAATTATGCTTCTTGGAAACGTTTGCTATGCACATTTTTATTTTATACTTCGATTAACTTGTTTTCGTACGAGCTGTTGATTGGCCCACAGCCTCTTTTGTCGGAATGTATTGTTGTTGTCCTGCTATGCGATTGGTCAATTTTATCTTGGTGGCCCTGGTAACAGTAGTCGTATTGTAAATCTGTAATCCTGTCTGACAATTAGCCTGAGAAAACAGCCGACATATGGCGACGCTACCACTGGTTTCCCCGCCAAATGACGTTTGAGAAACGAGCGCAGAAATTCCATACTGATGACGCGTCACTACCTACATCTGGGTAGTGACACGTCATCAGTATGGAATTTCTGCGCTCGTTTCTCAGACGTCATTTGGCGGGGAAACCAGTGGTAGCGTCGCCACATGTCGGGTGTTTTTTTCAGGCTCTGTGACAATGTCTTATGTTCATCTTTTATTCATTTGCTAATAAGCGGTCATTGGTGGTTTTTTGCTAAGGGTGTGGATAGAATGCTTACTAAAAAGAGATGTTGAGCTGCTGACCCTTCCTTTCAGTTCAGTACATTTTAACAGGAAATCTTATTGAAGGGTTTTTCCCATCGTTAAAGGAGAGCGCCTTTTCCTAAGAAAGGAAAGCGTCGCGTTACATTTTGAATTTATCAAAGGAAAGGAAATTTAAACATTACGCAAAAGGCCTGTCTGCCTTTGTTTTACAGGCCTGTGTGAAATTCCTCCCCTTTTAAAGGGTCTGTGTCATAAGGTTATTATTGCTAATAACGCGTCTCTAATCTCTGAGTAACTTAACGTTAGCGAGGAATTTACTTGTAAATGGCAAAATCACAGCTTGGAACCGATATCTCTCCCAAAGCAGTGTATCAATCATCTCGTACAACAAAACTGAGAAGAAAAAGAAACCTGCTAGGCTAACAAGCTTTCCAAAACCGTCCGCTTTTGCAGTCCGTTTTAGTCTTCTTTAAGTTTGTCCGTCTGTGCTGTCTTTTGTATTTTCTGTGTTATTCATACCCTCTTTTTGTGTTTTGAGCAGGTACCCTATGTCTCACTCAATTTTTTTGGCTGCTCTCTTTGTCTGAATTTTGATAAATTTCGTGACACAGCTCATTTAAGCCGCTTTTTTACGCTGATGGTGCAAGCATTAGTAATGTGGCCCGTTGATCGTAGAGACTGGTGCATCCTTTTTACAGGATTTTCTCTAAACAAAGTTGAAGGGGTCTTATGATTAACCTTACTTCTTGTGAATATGCTGCGTGTTCTTTCTCTTATGTCATATGTGTAACTCGTCCCCCATCAGGTTATCTTATACATTCTATTCTCTTCGACAGAAGTTTGTATTTATGTGAAGAAATCCTGTGAGCCTGGTCCCTTCCTGAAGCCGGCTAAAATAGCTACTATTCCATCCGTTATTGGCCCGGATGGTCCTAATGTCGTGCTGAGACAGTTGGTGGAGCAGATCGTGTTGAGCGCTCACTCTTCAAAACAAGTTCTCAAGCTTCTTGCTTCCGAGACTGATAAAATGACCATCTCAGCAATTCTTAGGGTAGGTGGTTTCTAGAAGGCCTTTGTTAGCTTTTAGTTCAAACGCTGTTCGATTTCGTTCACGACTCCATGTGCGTTTAACGTGATTTCATTGCACAGGGGTAAATACCCTGGATAGTAGAAGACCAATCGAATTCACATGTTCCTGATCTTACATCAGACAAATTTTGGCTTTTTCGCACTGTTGTAGAGAATGGTGTGCTGGCTCGCAAAGGCTCGCCAGCAAATATGACTGAGAAAGTAACTGTTTGTCTTCGTAACGTTCCTTTTGCAGACACTAAGGACAAAATTGTCCTTGTGCGAGAATCTTATCAGTCTTAACAGAGTCGCTCTTTGTTTGAACTGTGATGCTGTCAAAGGTATGTTGACCTTTCCTATCATTATTTGTAGAAAGGTTTAGTTTTTCGAGGACCGATTACGTCTCTTATCCGGGGTTAAATTTTCATCCACGTTTCTTTTTCTTTTGTTCAAAAGCATTTTCTCGGATAATTTATCATCCAATCATCCAGTTGTAGACAAAAGAATGAAATTAAATTTACTTTGTACACTTTTATATCTGAATTGAACAACAATTGATGAACTCGGCCCAGGAGTAAATAATGCAGGTATGGAATCGTTGATCGAGTAGACATTTACTGTCATAAATTACGCAGCAACAAAATACCTACCCCGAGTAGCGACACAGTCTCAATGCCCTTCAACGGATCAACGTGCTTTGCGGCCTATAACGTTGTTCAAGGTAATAGGGAACGTAAGCAAAGGCGTTTTTGCGCGACGCTCGACAACTGGAGGTTGACTTTCCAGTGCATTCTTGAGCAGTGTTTCTGCCCCAGTTTTCGGGCTAATCATTTCTATAAAGAGTACAGACACCTAGCAATACAAATTTGGTAGCATCAAAGCATGTTAAAGGTTAAGTTCACTTCCAGTTCAAAAACGCTACTCCTTAAGGTTCGCTAATACGGGATCAACGGTTCCCCTGCATGTATATTATTTCGAGGGTGGCTAACCGGTTATCGACACGCAACATAGCAGTTTTAAAGAGGGATTGGATTACGTTCATCTGTAGTTGAATGGAATAAAAACTTCTTCCTCTTCTCTGAGCGTTTTACTGGGCACGCGTCAATGTTTCTCGCCTTTAAAGAGCCGATCCACACCAGCGAAAAAGCTTTTTATTCAGACCAATTTTCTGTCATCACCAACGTCTAACAAATGCGGATGGTTTGTTGCGATTTTACAAATTTTGTCTGAGGCGGGATAATCTTCAAAGGCGCCGCGGACCAAATTTGTCGCGGGTAAAAACAGGACAAAATCTACTAAATGAACGAAAATGTGTTTTTCTTGTCAATCATTTGTTGTAAAGTCATTACTTTTTTCCCGTTAAGTAATGATAGATGTGACGGCCTGTTGAAATAAATACTTTCCAGTGCGGATAAATTTGTCAAAAAATGGCTTTTCTTTAGAGGTTTTACTGTTTTCTTTTCGCTTACTTTTCTTGTCTTTCTGTTCGTCTATTTCAGTTACCAAGTCATCGGAATCTCCTCGGAAACTCAACGAAACTACTCCTAAAGCTAACAAGCCTGTCCCGCAAGAAGACAGTAAGACAGTCCCGTCCAAGAGAGAAGCTACTAAAGAAGTCACTACTAATGTGAACAATAAACCCGCGAGTAATCCCGTAAAGGCTTTTATACCTGTCGAAAAACCCGTTGTTAATACCGCAAAGACTGTTACACCTATCAGCAAACCAGCTGGTAATCCCTCGAAGGCGACTACAACTGTCAGTAAACTCAAGGTTAATACGGTAAAACCTCCTACTTCTTTGCAAGCAGCGAGTAATTTCACGCTTTCGAGTCAACTTCCGCAGTCTGTTTCTGCAGTGAGCAGTGCAGTGCCAGAACCTTCTAGATCCGAATCGCCTAGCGTCACTGCTTCACGGTTATCAAAACACATCACAAAGTGGAATGTTGACGAAGTTGTGGATTTTATACGAACAACCGATTGTCACAAATTTGCGGATGACTTTTTAAAACAGGTAGGAGTTCAATTTGATAATTTTATGTACGCACTTTGACTCTGACTCAGTTGTATGCACACACTTTGACTTTGAAGATGACTGCCGCACAGGTTGGTTAGTATGGAGCTTTAGCAAACGGCGACGGCAGCAAGAACGCCACTTTTAAAATGAATTCGCGTGTTTTTAAACTTTGTCGCGTATATTCCAGTTCGCTGAAATTGTCGGCTGTAGGCGAATTTCCCAGGAGTAGATTACTTGGGACCGCGCTCAAGTTTAGAAAGAGAAAGAGAAAGAGAATGAAAATTTTGCCATGCTCAACAGACCAAGTGCTTTTTTAACGTCCTCGATGCCGTTGCTGTCGTCGTTGCTATAGCTCCCTACCCGCTGTCAACGACAGTCCTACTCAGGACTACGCTCACCGAGATGATCATATCCTATCTCCTTACGTAATTTTTTTGCACAGGCGCAGCTACAACTGGCTTCTTGTGCACCAGAAAATTGTTGTCTAGGTGACAAGTGCCCAGTTTGTAGCAGCGAAAAAAATTCTTTTGCGCTGACAAAGATTTTTCCAAAATTTCCGTATGTCACACGAAAGCGATTTTCTGCTGCGATGTGTCGCCGCGACGTTTAGCAGCGCCCTGTCGCCTAAGTTGTCTCAACCTTACGGTTGTTATGATTTCGTCGTCTAGAATTACCTTTCTAATATACAATTTCTTTTTTTCCTAATAAGGAAATTGACGGACGAGCGTTAACGTTGCTGTCATTGGACGAGATTCACAAGTGCCTGGGTGTGACATTAGGTCCAGCGATAAAACTTCACTTCACTGTACAGAACCTTGTAAAGAAACATCGATAACAGAAGCTATTATTACGATAGTTAATGTCAATGTTATATCTCCTTGTAGACCACGAGTTGTCCCTAACTGCCATGGATTAGGGATAGCGAGCCTCTGCATGGGTACTTGCGGACGTCGATTTCGTCGCGCACGTTTTCCGTCAAATCGAAGGTTTTTTAGGCGAAATCGTCGCATGTTTGGAATTGGTTTGCGTTGCAACCCTACTAGCGAGCCTAGTGCAACTACAACGACGACGGAAACGAGAAAGCAAAAAAAAAGCAACAGGTTAAATAAGCAAAACAAAAACTCTGAACGTGCAGCACACCGTTTTTGGCAGATTTCTTTGCCTTCTTTGCACGACTGACGTTTTCAAACGTGAGTGGATTGGCAATTCGATCGTCGCGACCTCGATTTCGTCGGAAATACCCATACAGAGGCAAGAGCAAGTTATACGATGCGCTACCTGCAGGCAGAGGCGCGCGCCTCGGAGGATTTGGCTCGTTCCTGCTATTCCTCATTCTGTGCGGAAATGAGGGACTTCTCTTCTCGCCGTCCAATCTCTGTAAACCACAAGTACGTTTTGATGTCAACGGTTCTATCTTTGCCAGCAAAGTTAATCATGAATTTTATAGTTTCATACACGTTATCACGTAGACGTTACAGGACCAGACTGGCCCTATGGGCTGAACTTAGTTGAAGAGGCTTTTCGAAAAGTTGATGTTTAGAGTTGCTTGAAGTGAGCCTGATTTTTTTCTTTTACCGTCGCTTGTCGAACCGTGGCCTGCAACTTAGTTTTTAGTGCCATAGGCAAGAAGTAGCCTTGTATTAAAACAGGGCATTACAAGAATAGACAATATTTAGGCTTACAGCTTCTAAAGTTGTTCGCAGCCCAGTAAGCGGTAATCAAAGGATTTAGGCTTCGTTCAGACAGTACCGGTGGAATTTTCGACCGCCTGAAAAATTTGACTGGACCCTTTGTTCAAATGGGACCGTTCAATATTTTTGCGTTGTTCACACTGGACTGTCGAACCGTAATATTTCCAAGCAAAGCGAGTAATAGCACGACGCGTAAATCCATGTTCGCAATATCTGTTTGCAATTTTTCTTTTCTTGTTCCAGCTGAGTAACCACGCATCCATGTAGCCACGCCTTTGCCGTACAAAAATTTAGCCGGTCACGGTGTTCACACCTTGCCGTTCAAATTTTCGATTTTAGCGTTCAAATTTTCGTACCGTTAACGTGGTTCCGTGTGAGTGGAACGCCTAACCGTGCGAATTTTCGACCGGTACCCTGTGAATGTATCCTTAACCACAAACAGATAAGAGTATGAGCTGCCATGCTTACTAAGTCTTTCGAAGAACTCGTCCCAATGTTGTGAAGTAAGGACTTCTATGAAGCCATATTTTTACACCCTTTATTGCTAAGTTTTAACCAGTATGTGTTTTCTATTCGACTTGATTACTTGAAGTCAACTTGTGAATTTACTTGGTGTGAAATCACGTGATTGATTTTACCAGAACCGATTATTCAGAAAGGACAAGAAACTTTATCCTCGTTCCCGTAAGAAGTGTTAAAATAGTTTTTGGATTGTAGGCATTTTTGACCGTACAGGGACTTTTTTATATGGTTTGCCTTCTGCTCGTTACTCCAAGTTCTTACTTATTGCCTACATGAGGGTTTAGCTCGCTATACCAGGCGTTCAGATTGTGCTAAACCGGCGCGAAATTTAGAGCGGAACGAAAACAGGCAACAACAACAAAAATCTCTACTCATTGAAGTTAACGCCTGGAATAGGCTATTTGGAGAGCGACGACATCGCGACGGCAACGACAACGAGAACCTCAAGGAAGCTTTAGGTTTAGTAAGCAGACAACACTTTTTTAAAAATACATTTCTTTACCGTCATTGCACGACTAGGACGTGAAATTTCCTCATGCGACGTTTTTATGACGACAACTTTTTCTTTCTCTTTCAAAACTTGGTAGCAAAGGTCCCCAAGAATTCAACTCCAGGAAAATTTAACGTTTTAAGCGAGTTGGATTAAAAATTTGGAAAAAAACGACTTATAATAATAGTTATATGTTTTCGCTGCCGTCGCCGTTGCTTTAAGACTCCCTAATTACTTTTGGGAAGCGCGACAAACAAAGTTTTGAACAAAATTTGTAATGAAGCGTAACTTGTAGCAGAACAGCCGAGGCATATGGCATATACCGCGGCATATTTCTCTGTGTGTGTGTGTGCTGCCAGTAATTGTACAGCTGTTTTAACACCGCACCTCTAAACCTCAGCGTTTTACTGTAAGAAATATTATTCATTACATTTGAGAATTCATCCCAAGGAATTTTCAATAACTTGGCCCGTTGGTGTATTCAATAAAAGGCGAGAATTTGTAAATAACTCTGAGTCATACTTCGTTACTCAAGTTAACGCGCTTTTAGTGATTTTTGTGCGACCTTAGGAAAACGGAAATACTTAACAATTATTCCTCGAGCCCGAATGAGCTCTGAGTCAATAGCCCATGAGGTCGAAGACCGAATGGGCTATTGACTCAGAGGCCATGAGGACGAGACGAATAATTGTTTTCGTAAAATCTAAGTAGTTGGTCAAAAATATCGAGCATAAAAAAATTTAGCTAGTTAACGATAGACTTTGATCCTTTTTTGCCACCAAGAAGCGCGCGCTTTTCGCTACTAGTGGGCTATAACATGTAGCCTAGTAGTAGCTCAACCAGTCAGAACGCAGCATTGATAATAGACCAGTAGTTGAATTTTTACTAATATTCAGTATGTCTTTATGTGTAGACTCCACCAAGGATTGATTATATGCTACACTCCTGGTCCAGTCATTATTAGTTGAAACACAAGTTTTATTTCACCTTTTAGGAGTACTGCACTGTTGTTCCCTTAGGCCCGTTTCAATTGTCGTGCTATTGCCGTTCTGAGGTAGCTCGACTTCAGCACGACTGAGTTTTAGACGTTAGCTCCTGCGGAAAACAAAACTTAAAAGTATTACAATGTATTTATAATTTATGAACTTGATTGAGTTCTGCACGGCAGTAGCACGACTTGGTTTCAAACGTCGCGCTATTGCTGTGCTCAAGTCGAATTTAATTCGATCGACTGCGTTCGGTAGCACGACGTCTGAAACAAGCCTAGTTTTCTCCTCTGTGTAGCAGGGTAAAAACTGTGAGGCAAAAAAGTTTTAAAAATCGCAATTGTAATCCGTTTCAATCTTCTTCAAGTTTGTCCAGTGCCCTCTTGTGTATTTGCTGTGTTATTTATACCTTCTAGTAATGTTTTTAGCCATTATTTTCATGTTAATTTGGTGGCAGCACTCAGTGTTTGAATTTTGCTAAATTTCGTGACGCGGCTTCTTCAAAAGGAAAATAGGTGGGAAGGGGGCGGGGATCAGAGATGCTGAGGCCGGGTAGGTGTTGTGTAGAATTGCACTATGGGACTGTTTGCGATTAGCTCTTTTGTTGGCTGTAGAGTTGCACGGGAAAGTGGGTCAAAATTCATCTCCAAAATAGTCCTAGAGGGCAATTCCACGCAACACTGACCCACTGCCGCGCAACCTCAAAATACCCAAATGCAAAAAGTAACTTGCTTTATGTCGGTAAGAGACATCAATCGCTCCGCTTCGCCGAAGCAGAAAACTGTTCAGTAATTGACAACATCTGTCGACTGATATTCCATTCCGAACTGTAATTTCAATGTTACGGCTGACTACTTTGCCTCCCAGGCAGGCATTGTTAGGGAAGTCGTATTTCCTCTCTTAATCCCCTAGAAAAACCTGCGTGGAAGGCTACTGACTACTCAGTGAAAAAAATACGGTAGCAGTTACAGAACAGCTAACACGTATGACGTATCCCTATCACTCACGTGTAAGGGAGTACGCAGTTTCAAGGCATGTGTGGTTATTGTGTGAGGATCGCGTGAACCGGTGTGACCACATAATTAACAATTATTCCTCGAGTCCGAATGGGATTTGAGTCAATAGCCCATGAGGCCGAAGGCCGAATAGGCTATTGACTCAGAGGCCATGAGGGTGAGAGAAATAATTGTTTTCGTAAAATCCAACTGGTTGGTCAAAAACATTGAGAATAAAAAACTTTTAGCTAGTTAAGCTAGACTTTAATCCTTTTTTGCCGCCAAAAAGCCCGCGCTTTTCGCTACTAGTGGGCTATAATGATAGCCTGGTAGTAGCTCAATCAATCAGAACGCAACATTGATAATAGACCACTAGTTGGATTTTACTAAAGCCGGATATGGTGGCTCTTCTGTCTCTAAGAGGCTTGGTATATTGAGTATTTTTTAACGATCTAGTGAGCCTACTCGAAGACTACGATCTAGTGAAAACTCATCTCACGGATTTGTTGCTAAAGAATAATTCAGCAAAAAGTACTGATATAAAACTAAGTTTTGGTGTCTTCAAGACATCGTTATCAACTTGTGATCAACTTTCGTCTCTTTCCTTCGTTTTATTTTCACCTTTTGCCTTTTTTGTCTAGCGGTTCAAGGGTATGGTGTCTGAATTAAGTGCTCAAGGACCATGAAACACGCTGTATTGTAAACGCATGCAACTGAAAGAGTGCCGCTCTGTTCAAACCATTGGTTTTCTTGTATATGTCGGCATTAATGCCACGCTTACATGTGTTTAATCTGTATTATTGTGCCCTTTAACTGGGATACGAAAATCCTTCATGGTTTGTAGTAAACATGTCTAGCATTATATTTCCTGCAAATAAGAATGGCTATAAGTAGTGGATAAAATCCGAAAGTATGGGACTGACAGTTTGGGTATACACTGAAGGTGGTTCTAGCTTTTGAGTCACGAGAGGAGGACGCCCTAAAAGTTTACTTTCAAATGAAAATTACTAACTTAAACCAATCCTCTCTTGAAAGTTTATCTTTGTTTGTCCTCAGCTTTATATTACTGGACAAGGTTTACCCTAAGAAGCGTTGTCATAGTGATGAAATCCCAAGAGTGCATGGTCATTCCGATAAAAATCATGAGCAAGCAGTACTTCTCTCCCACACGGAAGTTTTAAGGCATCCAATGCAATATCAAGTTTTTTAAATAATGATTGCTCAGTGATATGTAACAGTTAAAGAGGCGGGCGCACCTGCGGGCGATAATAAACTTCCTTCCGGCGGTCTATTTCTATTTAAATTGTTTCAAAACAGGAAGGACTATAGTAGCTCTGCATGTATTACAATTCACAATGGAAAACGACAAGCTCTCGAAATGTCAGCTTGTGTATCGATCGTTTTGGGATGGTAAATTGATTAATGTTGTCAATCCGTGATGAAAGTGTCTTAAAACCAAACCGTTGTCTTCGATTTTCCTGAACTACCCAGCACAACAATTACCTTTAAAACTAACTGATTCATTCTTCATTGTAAGCATTAGGCACGTTATACTTTGTGTACTGTACCCTTTGGTGTCGAAACGTAACCGACTATCACGGACTCGCATGATGTTTTTTTTTCTCTGCATTTAGCCCTTAATTTTCTAGTCCCTTGGTTAAAGTATTTAAATACCTGATATTCATTGTTATAATTACGCTTTATAGTTCTTTTGTCAGTGATCAAAATTGAATAGTCTTAGTTCTTTGTGCAAATTTTATCAATTACTGTTCTCGATGTGACTTAAAAATAGAAATGGAGGGGAAGGGAGGAGGGGGGGGTCATGTCAGAGAAGAAGCCCTCTCAAGGGAGACGAGATTTGATGCTGATGATTCTTTGGAAGATGGAAGACCAGCGTGCATGCGTTTAGAAAAGTATCTGAACTCGTGTGGACATGAGCTTCAACGGCAAAATGGCAGGATAATTACCGGAATATGGACAAAATGGAACCTTTGACGTCTTTGACCTGCTGGACCTGTGCCATCTCTAAACTACTATTAGGTGGTCGCTGCACTATTATCGAGGAAAAAGGCCAAAGATCACATTCGCTCGTATATGTAGACACAAACGGAAAATGTTGAAATTCCTTTTCTCTTCTCCTAAAGTGAAGCTGATTTCTCAAATTTGTCTTGCTGCTGGGGAATTCTGCTTTCGCCGCTGAGACTGATTTAAAAATACAAAAATGAGTGAATGTCATTAAAAGGAGGAGCCTGAATGAAGTTTTTAATTTCAAATATGTTTGTCTTGATTGTGATAGCCTTTTTGTTAGTTACAAAACTACTCCAATCCCAAGAGGATATTATCCTCTCTGGCAATGCAATCCTTATTGCTCTACCAGCAAAAAAGTAAGTGTTTCTGTTCCCCCGGTAGCAGGCGTTTCAAGGCAGAGCACACTTAAAAACCATTACAGGACTATAAACCCCGAAAACTCCTTCCTTATAGATCCTTATAACCCCGTTTTACTCCTAGAAGTGCCTTCATAAAATGTCCAAATTCCATTGTGCAAAGTGAGGAAAAAGTGCAAGGCTTTTGAAGGTGCTACCAAAGGTTTATTTGAATGGTCACATCAAAGGATTTTTCACTACAGACCGAAAAGTTTGAACTACCTCACAAGACGCTGTCATTCTCTAGGATTGCAGGCTTGATCAATAGATACAGCCTGAAAACTGTTAGATGTAATTCAGGAGCTTCTTGGACTTGCAAAACACACGTAAAAATCAGTAAGCTTGAAAAAAATCTTGTCTATTTATTCCTGTAGGCGGAATGTACAATATCAAAAAAAAAAAGAAAGAAAAGAAAGAAAAATAACGACTTGGAAACGGTCTTTCGGCACAGAAAAGTTTCCAGGCAACCGAGTGTTGCATAAAAATTCTGACACAGTGGCGTGATCTCAGGTGAGTAGTGCAAGTCAGTGAAAAAATAACTTTTAAAAAGCAAGCCCAATATGTTCCGTATGTCATAAGAAACATTTCAAGCACATTTCAAACCTTTCATATCGATTTTCTGAGAGTTTCATGTTCCCATAAATTTAACAGATAATTTTTGACAAATTCGCTTTCTCTATTCAACTTTAACCTCCTACCAGTTTTTGACAGCAGTATGTTTGAGTGACATCAGAATGTGACAAAATGTTCATCCTATTCTTCTCATTAGAGCCCAAAGAACACTGAAAAACCAAAAAAAATTACAGCTCTTTGTCTTCCTCCTGAAATTGTCTGGAACAGATTGAATTTTGCAAAAATATCCTCGATTTTTGTTCATAATCAGTTTTCTTTTTAAAAAGGGCGATCGCTGTGAGGATATTTTTAACTTGCATTGTTTTGTAAACAAAGCGACGACTTTCATTTATGCGTGCGCGATCAATGAATTCACAACGATCATGTCAGCGGCGAAGCAAGATGGCGGACAGTGAAGTGGACGAAGATTCGGACTTTGAGCGACAAGGAAGCACTGAACATGAAAGTCTGAGCACTGAAAGCAGTTATGATGGAAGTCCTTTAAGCCCTAGAAGCGACGATTCAGACTGGAACTTTGGAGTGAGTGAAAGTGCCGGTTTTCAAAATGGATTTGACCCGGAGAAACATCGCGAGGAGCTTATTAATGCCGAGAAAAAAGCTTCGATTGTGGATTGTCTTTTATTTGAAATTTACGACCAGTATCATAGCAGAGATTCGGTGGATAGTGATAATGTAACTGAATGTTCAACAACCTCAGGGAGTTTTTACGGTGGCTCGTTCGACCTTGAAGAACGCGGGGAAAGCTGGACGAGAAACGAACTCCTAAGCAAAGGTAAGTTTCTGCACAAACTCATTTGCTCGTTCGAATACCAAAGAACTCGTGGTCGAATACTTTGCTGTTATTGTTCAGAATATCTGCAAGATTTTGGCTGTATTAGATAGTGTAAATTTGTAAATTATAATGTCAAGCGATCGTTTTATTTTGCAAAATGTAGACTCAGTTATATTGGATTTTAACAACACATGTAACGCGTGTCCGATATGAACACGGCTTGTATGTATGTGAAGTGGAGTGAAATGTGCGCGGCGCAAAGATTTTTTCTGTAATAAATGTATCCCTTTATCCTCTCTAGGACTAATTACGCGGGAATACTACGGGTTTCTCAGTTTTCACCGCTCTGTAGTCCCGTGTTTAATATATCGTGTATTCGCGATGTTGCGTCTTGTTCGATCGTTACTTAACGTACGTAACTCAACAATTATTTTTCTGTGGTAAGCAAAGAGCAGTTTTTCTACCGAAACGCGCATAGTTACTCACCTTTAATCATGTAAATCCCAGGTGATATTTTTTAATTTCATAGCTGAAAGTTAATTGGTCGCTTGTTATTATCTCCATTTTATACAGAAACGGATGAGCTGAGAGTTATGGCGAAAGAGTTGCGGACGAGAATTTCTATGCTTTCAACAAAGTTGGTAAAACAGTTGAAAAGACGAGATAAGCACGCTTACAAACTGCAAAGAAACTTTGATGTTTTAACTGCTATCCTCCAAGCAGTTTCGTTGAAGAGACGTGAGTAGAATTGTGTTCTATTTTTCGCAGATCTAATGCAAGGTTTTGACCTTTAGTTAATAACCCATTTGCCGAGTTTTACGATTATATGCACCTAATCCGCGTTAATGAGTAAAATCTGAAATTTTTCAGAGTGGGAAAAAGTTTGCAGAACTTTGCATAATATGAGATCAACCTCAATGCTGGATTAATTAGTCTCATTCTAATCTTTAGCGAAACATAACAATAGGAAATATTTTTCAGAAACTGCTCAATTTTAATAACAAAGCTATGTTTGCTATCGGCCTTCACAGTTGGAAAGGGGGAGAAACTATTTATAAAAAGCCTTTGGATGAAGCATAAATCTTAAACACGTAAGCACTGTGATGTGTGGCGCAAATAGTATATTATTTTAAACTTGTTTGAACACATCTGTGGGTCTACTCTGCAAATAAATGGTTGAATGTTCCTCAAATCTATTGTAATGTAAATTTTGTTACACGTACAGCCTATTTTAATTTTGCTCATTTTCCTACGCTATTCTTCTAAATCCATCCCGGCTGAAAAAAAAAAAAACTATTTCAAAGACCAAATATCTTTATTTAATTAATTTTCGCAGCAAATCAGTCAGTTTTTTTGCCACATTTTTGTTTAGGATTGTTCATCCCACAGGAAGATCACAGAGTATTGTAAAGATTAATTTATTGCAAATACTTCTATAATTACCAAACCATCAATCTTTGGGTATTTCAGTGACTGCTCTTTAATGATGACATGAGGTTTTTTACCAAATCTGATTCAAGGAGAAAAAAATCCATTGAAATATGAAAGAACAATAAAACTTTGGCCTATTACAAATTCACATCCTTTAGTATCCTACTGTCAGTGAAATATTTTCAAATCGGTAATTAGATAGTTTTGCAATCTGTGGGTGACAAGTTTATAAATCTGGATGCCAGCGGTATTATAAATCAAGACACAAGCTGACAGCTAAGTATTAAAGTCTGCTAAGCGATTATGATAATTATTGCCTGTGTGTGGTGATGTGTGAAATTCAAGAGTACTATTCTTGTCCTTGGCAATTCATTTGAAAATAGAGGGCTCTCATAATTTTTTTTGTTAGAATTTCTTTCCCACTTGAAAATGCTGGTAACATCCAAAATTAACATGTCAAGAAATAATTTATCTGGCAAGTTTGACAATCAATAATCTCTAATATTAATGAAAGAGAAAATGCACATTCTTCTCAGTCACAAAATATTAATTCTCCATGCTCCAGTGTTTTTCCTTTAACATTGTTGATAAGAGACTTCTGGCAACACTGCTTCTGAATATTTTTTTTTTTTCAGTTCTCAATAACTAACTTTGGTAGATGAATAAGAATTAAAATAGTTGGTACGGATCAGTTAATTGTTGGTGATAATGAAAATAGAATCAGCAACACAGATTTATTAATCTTGGTGATTAGGTAATTGCCTAAAGGAAAAAAAATATATTAATAATCAACTGAATGTTAAGTCAAGGGTGACCAGCCAAAAATATATTGGAGCTTTAAATACCGTAAGGCACAATCATTGCACAGGTAGGAATCATGTCAATGACCTGAGTCTAATACCATCAACTGAAGAGATACAACTCATGTTGACTCTGAAAATGACTACTGCACAGGTTCTCAAAATGTCAGTCACAGCTGTCCTAAGGAAACACTTATGTGACAATCATATTCCACCTACTTATGAGAAAAGTTTATATTGGGATGACAAAACATAACTTCAGGAAAAGAGATAGGAAATATAAGATGGCTATTTTTATTCTCTCAACCACCTCAATATTGTGGAAATCAGTCGAATAAGGCTATTTTAAAACAAACTTAATTTAAACTGCTACATATTGTACTTATTGGAAAACTCTGGTTTTTGTTTACAATCCTGCCAAAAAAGCTGGATTAGTTACTAAATGCCTTCATCAAATAATCTTTATACAAAGTCAACATAATTAAGATTACTCCAATCACCCTCCTCATCCTCGCTCTATTTGTAAACTTCAAATTAATTGTAAAATGAAGTGTCAGTCTGAAATTGAAAGAAGATGTACTTGTGCATATTATTGTCAAGTACAGTATTTTTTGTTAAACATTTTCTCTTCTTTGCATAGGTGTGGATACTAAAATCAGATTTTCCTTCATCCCTCAAAGTGGAAGGAAAGCCTATAAACAAGTAAGTTGTAATCTTCACTTGAACTCTTTCTTCTGTTATTGACCACTACATTCTTCTTTTTCTTTCCAAGAGTTGTGAGTGAGGATTGATTTAATTCAAGACTTTTTCTTTTTGTAGTGGCTGGCTGCTTTCAAAGCCATAGCTCGCTTGAAGGAGGGAATCCCATCGTCTTGGAGAAGAAGGGTTAGCTACATTTTTAATGCCTTCATACAGTCAAAGCTGTATTTAGTGAATGCCTATTTAGCAGTCACCTTCTATTAAGAAGTGATCCCAAGATCCCAATGAATAAGTTTTCATTGTCTTTACTTAAGTTGTCACTTAGACAGGATGCACCATACTAGTGTAAGAGATACAATTTGTATGGAGTTTAGTGGTCTTTTACTTCCTTTCTTTTGGCATAAGAAGAGGTAGACACCCTTAAGGACATTTTGTCAGGGATTTCTTTTTTTACCATCATCATTTTCCTAAACAACTCTTAGGTTTGTCAAACCTGTTTTGAACGACGACGGTCAACCTGTATTAAGTGGTCAGTGAGCCATTCCTGAAAGGTGACCGTTTCATACAGGTTTGACTGTATTTTGAGGACTTTATTCAAATACAAAACTTATTTGACATGGAAGATATTGCAGATTTCCAAGATTGAAGATCTTCCATTAAAAAAAAATGTTTTCTCAAAAAAGGTCTAAATATCAATATTGGATAATACAGGTAAATTGATGAGGAAATTCAATTGACTATTTTCTTTTCTCCTCATAACTACGTACTCATTTAACTAATTCAAGGTTTTAGTCTAAAATTAGAGGTCTTCACGAAATAGTTGTAGCATTCGCGTTTTGATTATTAAAATAATATCGACAACGATGCGACACTCACAGTTTGTTCAACATTTGAAAAAATAGTAACGCACACGCGAGTTATTGACTCTGTTACTTTATAACGGAAAGGTATTGATTGTCTTTTTTCTAGCTGTGGTTATGTCTTGCTGAAAACAAGATTAAAGATTTAGATTGGGAAAAAACAGCCAAAGTCTGCTTCAATGAAAAAAGTAATCCAGATGATGACGAGCTAGGATCACAGATAGTCAAGGTAAAGTGGAAACTCGCAATTGAAGGAGTTTATACGGAAAAAGGGCGTTGGTCACATCGGAGGGCTTAGGATCACGAAGGGCCTTACATGCTACATTCTCGACTGGTTTTCCCTTTGAACTAACTTGAATTGAAATTCAGCTGTTCTTATTGGGGTTCCGCTTGGTGCCGAAAAAATCCCGGTCAAAAAGTCTAAAAATAGTCGATCAAAGTTAGTCAAACAGAAGAGAAAAAACCGACCCTCTTGTTAGTACAGCAATAAAACAATCGCCCAAAAACATTATTTTAAACGACCGTTTGGCGATATATTTCTTTGAAAAAAAACTACGCGAAAGCCGTGAAAACTGAGAGTCCTGGAAAGCGTGAATAGCGAAACAAGGGAAGAAAACAAATAACGCAACTTAAAATTTGACATAAGCCGATGAGATTTAGATTTTCTACGGGGTATATGTTGATCAAAAATGATTTTAAAATACCACTGTTTGTCGCCTTAAACGCTGGCGCTCGATTTTCTATTCCAACATTAAAGCATTTTGTAGGATAGGTGTGTCATATATGAAGCTAGTAAATAATAGCCTTTCTGCCCAAAGTCTTTTCCCTCGCCCAGTGCACAGATTTGCGACTCGTCAGAAGGTCCTGACGTGGCTCATATTTTTCTGTTGTACTCAATCGTGAAATCACAAATATTACTTGTTCCTTCAGATCAAAATCTGTATTGAATATAATCAGAAGCATTTAACATACTTGTAACATTTTAAAAAAGGAACACGCGAGCAATTTTTGAACGAGTAACAATTTTTTTTTATCCCCATAGAATAACTAATTCTTTGCATATGTGTTTTGCCGCACTTGTACAGGATCTTCACCGCACTGGCTGTAGTTGGTTCTGTAGTCAAGACAGTCCAGAAGAGAGAGCATCTTTGAAGCGTGTTCTGCTAGCTTATGCCAGATATAACAAGTCTGTTGGGTACTGTCAGGGCTTCAATGTTATTGCTGCCCTAATTCTGCAGGTCATGGAACGCAACGAAGAGGATGCACTCAAGGTGACCCTACTTTGCTGTTACAAATAGTTTGGATCCCCGATATAACGAAGTGTCAGGGTGGGATATTCTCTCTCTTACTGGGGATAGGGCGAAAAGGTGAAGCCCTGTTCTAAGGCTATAACTCGGGCGAATAAATTATTTTTTGTTCAATCTTTGCGCCGGGATTTTGTCGTTTTGAGGCTTCTCTGTATCTGTGAAAGTTCAAGTTTTTTAAGTCCACTTACCAAGCCTAGCGGAGCAAAACCGAAGTAACAGTAAATACTTTAGGGGATTTTAATATATTGGATTGAATTTGCATTTTTTGTCTAGTTAGTGATCTGACCCGGGTTTGTTCAAACGTTGGACTATGTAGTGGATAAGTATTAGGGAAACCAATTTGCACTATCCACTGGATAACGATTTATCCGGTGGAGAGCGCTATCCACCTTTTGAACAACTGGGGCCTGCTGGATATCTCATCGCTTAATTTGCTATTCTTGTTTAATCCCAAATTTCTTTATAGGTCATGGTTTACGTCATTGATCACGTACTGCCCACCAATTACTTCGCCAATAACCTGCGTGCTTTGTCTGTGGATATGGCGGTGCTGCGAGATCTGATGCGAGCTAAGCTGGTTCGGCTATCGAAACACTTGGATAGCTTACAAGCACAAGCATTGTCACAGAACGGCTCTAACGCCATGTACGAGCCACCTTTGATCAACGTGTTTACTATGCAGTGGTTTTTGACACTTTTTTCGACATGCCTTCCTGAGGAAACTGTTTTGCGAGTCTGGGACTCAATTCTCTTGGAAGGCTCCGAGGTGCTTCTGAGAGCTGCTGTGGCTATCTGGGGTAAATTAGGAGAGTACGTATCAAGCCCTGCCTTGTTTTCTTTACTGTATTTACATTTAGATGCCCGGGGAGGGGGATACTCAGCAAATTTTTATACGGGGAGGTTCCGCCCCGAGGTCCAACCCCTTACCCTTTTATATACCATTTTTCACGAAAAAGGTGCCCCTTTCGTATACCTTCTATTGACAAATGGTACCCCTTTCACATACCTTGTTTAGAACTTTGCATCTCTCTTAACTGCTGTATATGCGCTGTATTTCAAGTAGGAATCAATTGCAAAAATATAACGTTTTCTCGACTTTATAAAGCCATAAAATTCACCTGTTAGCCCTTTGGGCAATCTTTGACAGATTTCCCTACCCTTTCGTATACTTCAACGACTAAAATCCCTACCGTTTCTTATACCTGAGGCCTGAATAAGGTACCCCTTTCGGGCGGAGCCTCCCCGTATAGGCCATTATATGGAGTGCCCCCACTCCGGGTTTAGATGGTGGAAAGAGTGGTACACAATGAAACAATGGTTGAAACTGACACCCAAACAGTTTGATGGGGGTTATATACATCTCTTATACCTGAAACTCATGTGTATGCAGTACGTGCAACAGTTTATAAAAAGGGAACGCTTCGTTTTCTTATGCCTGTGGGATTTTGTTATTAACAGTGCTTCACAAGTTACCACCAGCTCAAAAGTTAGAACCGCTTTTAATTTCATACATATTGAGAATTATCAGATCGAATTTCTGTGTGTGTGTGCAAAATTTCCGGCCAATCAGAATCAAACATAAAATAATTTCTTCCAATTACCTTCAAAACAACTGTATAGTGTATGTACAACACAGTCAGCAGCTCCTCTATAAAGCTCTGCTCGGTAGCTTTTATTTTAATTGCCTTATTATTTAGAACTTAAACCACAGACTTCAGTACTATAGTTAGACCACCTTGAATACCATCCCTTGGCGTGATGTATTTTAATTGTACGCCTTTAAAGGTAGGATCGTCCTCAGACACAGAGTTTTAGCTCTAACAGTAAGAGGTTTAAAGCACCTGTGGTCACTTTGCCTTGCGTGCCATTTAGTGGCTATATTGTATGTTTCTTAACCCCTTAAACTTTGATTGATACCTTAACATTGTAGGCGCCTTGAAGACGTGGAGACGTCAGATGATTTTTACAGTACAATGGGAGTCCTAATACAAGATGTATTGACGGGCAATGTTATCGACTGTCAAACGTTAATGCAGGTAAAGTTTCCCATGCATTTAATGATCAATTTACAGTGTGCAACCTTCTTTGATGAATCTTTTGGACTTTTTCTCGGGGGCGTTTAGGTAAGGAACTTGCTGCATTTAGTAAAACTAGCTGTCGAACGGTGATCCAAACATATTGTTTTTCTTCAACGATAACTTCCGTTCCGACTATTTCTGTGTTAAGTCCTTGGTACAGATAATTATGCTTTGAGAATGACACCATGCAATATGCGATGTCTTAAGGTATGAAAAGTTAGAATAAGATGTAGGGTTGATGTTTTTGAAAGGGAGATTTTTTCGGTAACCAACGGTAACATTAAGGCAGGCGATAGGGTGTGTTACAATGTATACGAACGTTGCAAACTGTTTGACCATTTTGGTCTGAAGCCAGGCTACTTAAGAAACATGTGCGACAACACACGTTTTCTAAACAACCGATCTAGAAATGTAAACTGATGTCGTAAACGTTTATGCAGCTGTTGTGAATAGAATTAATTTGCAGCGTTAAACTAGAAAGCGTGTTTTTCTTCACGCTCTATTTAGTCTCCCAGACTCTTCATCTATTTTTTTGTGATAAGGTTACGGATAAGCTGAACATAGGTTGATATCATTTATACGCTTCTATATACAGCAGTATAACATTGCCGTAGAATTTTGATCTTTATTTATCTATCGTGACTTAACCACATTTGATTGGTCGGGCGATTGGTCGCACAGGGAATTTTATGAATTTAGAGGGTGATTAAGATCATCTTAACCTAGAAAACGTTCACACAGGTAAGAAAAATTCCGAAGTACGAAGGTGCATAGCTTGTTTGAAAACACGTGGAGTTATAACTAAGCTAAGTTCTGGTTTAGTAAAGTGGGGCCTCTTAATAGAATCTTGTTGAAGGTTAGACTTTCTCAAAGTCCTTCGCTTTTCGTTTCTGGCCGAAAACAAAACATTTCTAGCTCGCGCTTTGCGCTCGAGAAAAATTTTGAGCTCGACTTGAAGGAAGGAACTGACTTCAGTTCAGATTACAGCTTTGAGTCGGAACTCTGTTCCCTTGAATTGAACACAGAGAAACTTAAAGGATACAAATAGCGGGGTTGTTGTACAAGAAATATCCTAAAGGAATCATGATCATTTGTGAGTTTTGGACATGTATTTAGTGTTATCTGAAAATCATCAATCATCATTGCGTAGTTGAAATGGTCTTATAGCCATAAATCTAGCCAGAGTCCAATTTGAAGAAAATGATAATGTTTTTGCTTCTTACAGCTCAAAATGCAAATATAGATATTGCTGTCCAGTAAGTTAGTGATTTGTAATCGATACCATTTGTCTGCTAAAGGAAAATTAACGTAATATAACTGATTAACGTCATGTTTGTTGAAAATATCAAACGATATGCAGGGTATATTGGCCCAAAATATTGAAGATGAGAAAACCGAAAAATGACAAGAGTTCTTATATAAAGTCGTCAGATCCGCTATTTCCAGCGCTCACCAAACTATTACGGTCCCCTCATTTTCAAGTTATGACTTACAGTGCTCGGAAATCACGAATCTGTATTTATCATGTAGCATTGACTATGTCAATACAAGACATTCAGTAGTTTTATATGAGCTTGCAGTTGACGAAAATAGGCGCTTGCAAAATTCCCGACTATAAATAATACTTTGACATAGCCACTGTAAAGATATAAAACCCTATTTAAATGGATCCAACTTGTCAATCTAACATTCTCAAATTTTGTTTTGAGGCGATTTGACTGGATATTAAAGCCATTTAAGCGGTTTTTCTTCTTCTGTTACAGGAGGTCTACGCACTTGCGCCGTTCCCTTTTCCAGGCCTAGCAGAGCTTAGAGAACAGTACACTTACAACATCAATCCATTCTCTGACGTCACTGGTGACAGGAGCCGACGATCAGCACTGGCACGTGGTTCTAGCGACGAAGAAGACGATGTGGACGATCTTGAAGGGATGAGTTGCCTCGGAGCTTTCTTACCGTTTTCGGAAATTGTCCCTGGCAACACGATGAAAGCTCTTGGTCAAGGCGACGCAGATGCGAATGACATCGCGGCGGCTTCGCCGGGTGTATTTGCTACTGACGGGTATTCGCCTCTACCTTACACAACAAAACAGTTCGGTTCAAGGGGAAACCGCGTGCAAGAGGAGATGTCCTACTTACAGAAACAGTACGCGAGGATGAGGCAAATGCAACAAAATGCGGTCGTGGTCTTTTCAGAGGCTGCGGTGCAGAATATTCAAGAATCGGAAAAGCGAAAGAGCATTCCCGCTGCCATTAACCATTTGCTTGTATCGGCGACAAAGCGAAAGGTGAAAGCTACCAGGAACCATTTTGGGACTGAAAAGAAAAGCAATCAAACGAAAGCTGTCCAGAAGTCATTGTTTGATGAAATAGCGAGTCACAAAGCTGAAGTTAAACAGAACGCTTACGAAAAGGAAAGCTTGCAGCATTTAAATATGTTGTTCAAAGGTGACCAGAAAGAGCGAAAAGAGGCACAGGAGGATGGGAAAACGAGGAGTTTTAGCAAGAAAGTAGAAACTGAAAGGACAGAGGGTTTGGTAAGTGCAAAAAAGGTACACAAGGAAGAGAAATGGTGGCAAAGCGAAGAGAGGCGCCGCCACGTTGAACCGCCAACTGTTAAAAAGGAAAAGCGAGTCGCCCCCAATTCGCTTAAAATGCAGCATGTCGGATTAAATGGTGAAGTGTCCTCGTTAGAAACTGGAAAATCAAAGCAAAATGGCGGGCCTATTCTCTCGATCGTTAATCCTTCTAATCATACGCCGAAAGTTACGGTTGTGGAGTCATCAATGTTAACGGTAACAGAGGGCAACAATGAAGCGGCTAAACCTGTTAAAGTACTGGATAAAAACAGTCCTGCTGTCCTCGATACGGGCCCGCGCAGCTTCGGTGGGACAGGACGGGTCTATAACCGTGGGACTATGAACTCTACTGTTAATAGTTCATGGTTATTAGAAGAGGACAGGAGATGTAAGTACCCCGAAAACTTTAGACCCTTTCCTCAACGGAACAAACAGCCCACTAGGAGCAGAATTCTTTATGGCAACATTTCGGACAAAGGTGCCAAGCGAATGGACGCTTTTCAAGTCAAGAAAGATAATCGGCAAAGTGTCAATGGTGTTGCGGTCAATGGAGGAGCAGACGGTAAAAGAAATTAGTGGCGAAGTTTCGTCGACGAATCACGAGAAATACCCGAAAGCTGCGAAAGTCGACGAAATGCGCATGGTTCGAACCCCTTTGGCGCTAATGGTTTATTTTAACAGAGGATATTAATTGTCATGGTAGCTAACCTTTCTCGGCTGAGCACTTTTGAATAACGCTAAACAAGATCTTGGTGTTTTCTCCCGTGAACCTACAACGTTTTCAGGCCTTCTCCGTCTTTGTAAAGTAAACTGCTGGCCCTTTCGAAATACTCCACAGGCGAAGAAGGCCCGTGGACGAGGTTGAAATTGTTGTGCAACGTTCTTCGCCGCTTCTACGTATACAAGTTGGGCGAAACGTGTAAGCCGACTTAAATGGGTGGCTGGGCGCAACAGAAGAGGCTTCCCTCGAAGTAAATAATCATGCAGTGACCGGTATTGTCCCTTTCCGAGTATGTTTAGACAAATTATAATTTATAAGAAGTGTTTCATAAAAACCCGAATATTTTGACATATTTTGTAATTAATGTCTATTATCTAAGGCGAATGAACTTGAAAATGTAAAAAAGTTACAAAAATATTCAGTCCCTCTAGAAGGAGCAGTTACAGTTGTGATTCGATTGAAGGTGGAAAAAGAGCGGAATTTGGGTAGAAAGCAAGCTAATCTGTTTAATTCTTGTTAATATTATAGATTGAATTATTACTGCCTCATAACTGCATCTTTGCGTGGTGTACCTTTTAATTGCTAAGGTTCAGTGTAGCTGACCATTTGGGATAAATATATCCCCCATATGCATACATTAAGTTAGAATTAAGAGTATTTTGAAGGGGCATGAACTGCCTTTGTTACATAATTATCACGTATTTAAAGAATCTATATTTAAGAAAAAATAGTAATTTACAGTAAAAGTAAGGTTTTTAACTGGTGTTTAAACGGCGTTAGCTGCCAATTCTAATTGTTTGTTACAACATAACAACCTCTGCTTCGCAATACTTTTACTTCTCGTTTGAACATAGAACTTTAAGTTAAAAATGTTAAAAACCTTTTCCCGGAAAAGGGAAACATGAATCTTTGTCAAGCGCATATAAAAGTGCGTCCAATAGAAAAACGTCTTTTATTCTGTAGAAAGCATAGAGACAAATGGTAAAAGTGCATTTAAAGGTGCATCCTATAGAAAAACGACTTTTTGTAGCAAGCACAGAAAAGACGGTACTCTTCAAAATCTTCCGCAACGAAAAAAATTTGTTACGCCGTTTTTATGCTTTTGTGCTTGTTTTGACCGTCAAGAGTTTTCAGACGAGATTAGATGAAATCAGTCTGCTTGTGCTACGAATTTATAGAAGGCTGCCTAAGTTCTGGCGCCTTATGACAAGGCTGTCCTTTAGTACGTTGTAGGTAAGTCACCTAGAATCGCATTAGAGAAAAGTTTTGTTACTTTCGAGAAAATACTATAATAAACGAATGTATTTTTCTTTGAAGATAATTGTAAGTGTGAAGTATTTATTAGACAAAGATAGACGGATACGGAAGTATTAGTTCAGCATTCTGTGAAGGAGTCAAAGCGAAGGGCAATAATTTTAGCCTTTCTACTGGTTTACAGAAAATTAAAAATAAATTATCGGAATGTTAACAAGTGAATCCAAACTGTAATCCCCGACCAACGTGAAAGGCATCCCTACGATTTCTAAATTGTCTTAAGGCGCTTTCCATTTGTCAGAACTGACCAGCCATCCCATTGCCATCGTAATGAGAATTTCACTTTTAACCAAAACTAACCAACCAGATCAATCAAATCCTAAATATTATGCACACAAAGGAGATGGTTTTCCAGCAAAACCTCTTGGAAAACGCCTATTTCATACTAAGATATGTGGTCTGGCTACGGCTCGGCCGGCCAGTTCTGACTTTTGGAAAGCGCCCTTAGACCCAAGCCACCACCTTGGTTGAAGTGAATGCGGAGATGAGATGAGAGGATGCATGTAATTAAATGCAACAGCACATTTTCAAACAGTCGGAGGGTATTCTCCCAACGCTAGAAAACGTTCAGTGCCTGCGTTAATGTATTACAGTTGAGTCAATCATTGCCCTTAGGGACATGAGCGTGCTAGACTACTTTCTGTAGGATACTTGACTTTCAAACGTAACATGAAATACAGTACGTTAATAACAGTTCCTTTTACAATAGGCAATTTTCGAGTCCAGAACCCCTCACTTTCAAAATGGGGCCAATTGCGAAACCTTGCAGGTGTAAATGATTTTTATTAGCATAAGATTAAGATTGATTTCATATCAAAGAGTTTGTATTTTCCCTGTTTTGAAAAGAGCCAAGGGGCAACTCAGAAATTAGCCTATTGAAGTTTACAATTCAAGTCAGAAAAACAAGACTTGTTTTTATAGTCAATGACGTATCTTAAGGAATGAGGAGGCTTACATTGCTCCGAATGTTTGCTGTCTTCTAGCGCTAATCATCGCCCGTTTTACAATAATCCTTGGAAAATCCCTGCAAAGGCGTCTTGTTCTTCGTGCTCCTGCTCAGTGCTACAGCAACAAAACAAATCGAGACTTGTTACAAAGACTTATTATTTGGGCGTGGCCCAAATAGAGTAATTTGATTCAAAGTTGCAATAGGTTCGCAATACGTACGAACGTAAACAAGCCAAGCGACGCGAATCTCTCAACACAGCATTTATCTTTCGTTACATGCGACCCACAGATAATGCACTGCAAACAAATCGGCAATAGAAAACAAACTTTTTGGAAAAACAAGTTACACTGAGTGAAACAAACTATTATATAATTTAAATTTTCCGTTTGGAAAATAATCGTCCTCGAGGCACAGCGTGAATGCTTTGGCTTATTGCCAAGGGTTTGACAATGTTTTTGCTTCCAGTTGTCGAACGCCAAAGAAGACGTCATACAAGATTCCATGAGCTCGTGCATAAGATAACTGCCCCCGCGGGGATTTCGCCCAGAAGGCGAAATCCCGAGGAGGCACTCTAGTAACTCGCGCGTAGATTAAGGAAAGTACTTACAGTTGAAATATACAGTCATACAGTCAATATTGAAAAAATCTCGATTTGCTTGAACAGGGGCCGCGAGGAATCGGTAGGTAATGATGACGCTTCTATGGTTTGCGCCCGCAAGTACGAAATGGTTAGGATGACGCAAAGACAGAACATTCCCAAGGGACCGCTTAGGTAGATTTTGTGACATTTATTGTGCAGTCATACTTCGACACTCTTTTGCGTTACGTGTTATCTGTGACATTCTGTGGAGCAGTTGTTTCAGTGAAAGTTATGGACCAAAATTTTAACGACACTAGTTAAGCGCAGAAGAAGTTATAAGGTGCGTATAACTGTGTATATATAAACACTTGGAGAGTTTGCCAGACACGAGTTCACAAATCTTTCATTGGAAACCTTGCCAGACACTCTTTCTCTCTCTTTGACCGGAATAAGACTCAGCCCTGAACAAGCAAGACGAGTGAACAAAGGCTAGCTTCTCACTAGCAGAACGATGGACGATTACAAAAATTCGACGATAATCAAATTCTGTGCTGACTTATTCCCTGCTCACAGATGTCCTTCCGCTATAAAGTTTAAAATAGACTAGAATGCGGAGTGTGAATTTATCAAACGTCCTTTTAATTTCTAAGGCTTCCTTTCCGGCACATAAAACGAACTGAATGTAAAAAGTGAAAGAGAAATAGCGAAAAATTCAACTTCTAATTAAATCTTTTCTTATGGTTTAGAATAAGCTATCAAAGCTGTGTAAATCGACCTGAAACTGTGCATGGAACCTTGCGTTTCCTGTATTTATCTCACCTATTGTATGGAATATGTGTGAAAATCTTCCTTATGAATCGGTATATTTCAAAGAGCTACACAACGAGCAAGAATGCTATTGAGCGACAATAAACAGGGCGGGGGCAGCTGTAGTGTCAACTATTACTAGTTAAGGGTAACATTGAATGATGCATAATTTCATTGCATATTTTCGGAAAGGAGGTGATTTCTTAAAATCGTATTGAGCAAAATGACCTCGTAAACAAGTTGCTTTCTTTCACGGTGGAACAGTAAAAGGGGCAGAGTCCAACATCTTCACGTGCAAACCTCATTCTATTTTTAAACCCCTGAAGTTAATTAGATTAAGTCGCATTCTCTCATGCACGAACCACGAAAGCGGCATATTCCAAAGCTCTCACGTGCAAACTGCGTGACAATACAACTCACAGTAAGGGCCTGATCACATGAGCCGGGGAAGCAATGGGCATGAACAGTGTGTTACCCGCTATCCTGTTTCTCACTTGGTTAATTTGCTGGGCCGCCCAACAGGAGTGATTACTTGAAAAATTTCCACCTGGGATCGCGGCATCACAATACTGGGATCCCAGCTAACCGGGCTGGCTCGGTGTTCATTGAATCGTTTTGTTGCGTTTAGCTAAGGTGCAAAAAGTCCCCGAGCACACACACACAATTTCAGCCCCCCCCATAACATCCTCATGAACTTTTGCCCTTATCCACGTTCTCTCCACACAACTATTATCAAAAATAAGCGAAAACCAATCCTAAACAGAAAGCCTAAAAAACGTTAAAATAAGTAGAAGTAAGTTTTCGACTATTGATAAGACTTTTCACAACCACCACTTTATTTAAACACACTGTAACCACACTATCCCTTCATAATCAAATGAGCACTTCCAGCACAACTACCTCACTGCAACACCTAAAATCACTTTTACCTCCCAAAATAATTATTTTTTGTTTTTTCATATTAAATTGTACGAGAAACAAGTTTCACTGATTAACAAACTAAATCCATTATCTTGCCAATTCACGTCCAATATAACTCCACGCTTTCCACTTTACGCATCTCAACCAACCCCTAAATTAAACAACGCTAATGCGCTACTCACATATCCCTAATACACATGAAAAATTTAAACTTCAAACACACGCGTAGCACATCGAAGCACAAATATACGCTGCCACAGCGTCTTGCTAATAAGGAATTTTCTGAACGGAACGTCCAAAGATGGTAATAAGGAACGCCATTTTTTTATTTTGAAGGCGTAGAATAAATTGAGTAAAGAGAAAACTTCGAGCAGCTCCGCCTAACCTTCATCGACACGTAAATTTCTTAAGATACTTAAGAGAAGAATTAGTTTTTAAAAAGACCAATACATGATGATCATCAATTAATTAATTAATTAATCTGATGAAGGCAAAGGACCCCAAGGGTTAATAAGTATATCTCCCTGGCTTGGGCCTACTATATACGAACGGACTGACCTAATGGTTTCGTAAATGTTACGCCAGTTCTAGATAAGATCGTTGCGTGATCGATACAGACTCTAATAAGACTCACCTCGTGAACGATTTGGAACAGAAGAAAGAGGAAGAAATGGGACTGAAAAAAAAGGAGACATTTTTCATATTAAAAAATTATGAGTCCTTCTCTACACTTTTTTCAAACTGAAGTGTATTATCTCATACTGTAATTATTAGCATAAGCCTTATTTAACTGAAGGCTTACAGCTGTTTCGGAAAACACGCGCCCTGCGTTGTCTAAAACGTTTGGTATTAGGATTTTGGGTTTTTTGCGACGTCAATCAAACCGTTACCGTAGCATCCACTGTGTTTGTCAAATAAGGGCGGCAATAACGAGCAGAAGCTGCAAATATTAATGTTAGCGGGAACGTTCCGATTTAGTTTTATGATAAGATATTTTCTGCTATTGATAATAATGAATTAACCGTAGGCATTTTTATCGATTTATCTAAAGCATTTGACACTGTTAATAACCAAATTTTATTGATAAGTTATCGCATTATGGTATCTAAGAACTGATGGCGTGCAATTGGTTTGCGAGTTATTAATGGAGTAACAGGCATCAATGTGTCCAATTCAATGACACCTCTTCTTCTCCAGACATTATCAAATGCGATGTACCTCAAGGCTCGATATTACGTCCTTTGCTTTTCTGAATTTATATAATATATCAATCAAGCTTTTGTCTTCCTGTTACCTCTTTACATACCTTTTTCATAGCTTAGTTAATCTTTATGAGTTATCTTGTACAATGTGTTTCAGTATGGGCATCAACTTATCCCACAAACTTGAATCGTATTGTCATAGTTCAGAAAAACGTACAACTTTCAAACAAGCAAATTTTATTTAACACGTTCGATGACTCCCTTCCAATGCAAATGCCAAATTCAACTCAAAGCAAACTTTGCCTATTGGTTTTACTGCAAAAGAAATACTTGTATACTTGCAAGAACATTGTAACGAAACCTGATTTAGAAGAATTTTTAAGTAAGCTTTTTGAACTTTTTATTGTAATTTGTTTTGTTACTTACTTACTTACTAACTCGTTTATTTATTTATTCTTTTAATTTGTGCTGTGTATTAATGCTGTTAATTTGTTTTCAATAAAAAAAATACTTCAGAAAAAATTATTCGAAACGGTATTTCCAAGAAGCCATTTAATGCTCACACTGATCCTGTATTCAAACGGTTGCAAACACTGAAGTTCACTTTTTTCAAGTTGGAAAGTTCATGTATTCTTTTAAAATAGGCCTGCTTCCTAGTGTATTCAAAGAAATGTTTTTAATGACAAATCAAGTTCATTCCTATAATATCAGAAATTCAAATACTTTCTACTTATTTCCTGCTCCAAAGAAATATAAGACTTTTTGGTATAAGATTTCAGGGTCGCCTGTTATACGAAACAGCTGTAAGAGACTAAAGACGTGTCACTAAACAAATTAGTGAGAGGCTAAGAAAAAAAAGGAAAGGAAAATGGTCTGTTTGTTCACATGCCAAGGTGAGATTGCTGTAATAGAAAAAGTCGTTTCCCATAAAGATTCTCTTACAACTGTCGTCATGTTTTTCTTCTAGTCTCCTTTTCGAGTTCCATGTTGTATTTGTTTACCAAATGTAACAAATCTAAATATACACGTTACCTTTGTTCGCACATTGCTGTGCTGAAATGGTCTTGGCTCTTATGAGCGTTGTTTACGTTGGAACCAGACCCGCTTTGACTCAAAACCAGGGGATCCAGGCTGGTTGAACTCATATTGCTTGAAAGGCTCGCCGTTTGCTTGGTTGGTTGGTTGAGAACGGAGGTCTGGGGTGTAGTAAAATCAGGGAAAATGTCCCATTCTTCCATTTCTAAATCATCCAGTGGAAAGTCATCTTTGCAACTGCCGCGTATATGACTTGCCCGTGTGGTTGTAGGGTCAACTTTACTGTCCGATCGACTTGTACATAGTTTATTGTTTGGACGTTTATTGCAATCTTGGTCGCTTGACTGGTTCAATGCATTCCCAGCGGGGGTAGGAGAAGTTGGGAAAGCCGTGAAGGTGGTGTTTTGTGTAAGTTCGTGTAAAAGTTTTGAGTCTCCATGACTATTGGTTATCCGCTCAAAACCATCTGCACCAGGAGTTGGCGGCGGGGCTGGGAAAGGACGTAAGACTCTTCTTGGGATTCTTGAGACTGCACTTATGAGCTCAATATCATCAGCATCAGGAATGGCTGGTGAAAGTGACCAATCTCGCGAGATCCTTTCCGAATTCTCTCTAGACTGGACTGAAGAATTATCCCCTGTTTTTTTCGCCTGGCATCCTATTATAAATTGCGAGCTCCTTGAGAGCGGCTGTCTGAATTCATTGGAGATTTCTTGACGTTTCTTTGAAGCAGTGGGTTTAGAGCAATGAGAACGGGATGAATTCTGCCGCGACTGAGCCACTGGACTGACATTAAGGTCACTGTCATCGCTTAGAACCAAAGGGAGGTCATCGTCATTCCACATCTCATCGACAAGAAAGCAAGGAAGTTCACCCTCAAAAGAAGCTATAAAGATGGAGAAAAAATTAAGTGGCTTTTTCTACCCTCGAAAATCTATAATTATCTTCAACGATATAAGACGTGGCATCCACCATTCTCAGCTGAAGGTTGACAATTTTTGTTCTCATCAAGTAAAAATTAAAATTCGTAAGGGATAAAGTATTTTAAACTTTAAAGAAGTTGGGTGTAAAAGATTATGAAAGAGGTTAATGATAATGATATGTGATGATGATGATGATGATGATGATGATGATGTTAGGTAAAACGCACGGAAGTGATGCTAATGATGTTGAATGACAAGAAAGTGATTACGATGATATGATGATAAAAAGAAAACGACACCAGTAACGTTGTTGATACAGAGTAACAGACAATGATGACCATGTCAGATGATTGTGACGGACAATAAAGATAACCATGTTAAGTCATATCGAAGATCATTTGTTAAGACAATAAAAAAAGAAACTTGTTCAGTTCTATAAGGTGATAGAAATGCCAGAAACATACCATCATATGATGAATCTTCAGCTGTTTCTTGATTTCCATCTACCCTCCTTTTGTGCCAGTCAATTTCTTCCAAACAACGTTTACCAGGATCCCTCTTTGAAGCGGAGCTATCGTTTTCGCTCCGCCCATGACAGGTATTGAGCTGATGGCTGATGGGGGCCTTGCGAGTGTAGCCAAATCTTTCATCGAGTGTTAAATCCACAAAATTAGTACTTCCTGTCTCGTGTGCTGAGGACTAAAAAAATATGAGGAATATATGCCTTCTTTTACTACAAGAATTTAAATAAAACTCTCGAGTTCTCTTGAGTTCATATTATCATGGTAAAACGAATACAGCTAACACATACAGAACAAATCAATGACTTGTTGAAAGGAGGGGACATAAAAATTCAAAGCAACATTCCAATTTCACAGTCCATGTCGTTTGCCCCTTTTTCGTCCCGTTCTTACTATTGCTTATACTTAATCTTACCTTCAAGCGTTTAGCGGTAGGCGTTCCGGGAATCGCTTCTGTTCTTTGGTGAAGGTTTTTGAGAAAAACGTCCATATGACTCGGTTCAGCAAGTTCTAAATTCTTTCTGAAGGCTTTATCTACAAGATAAATCGTGCCTTTCTTTTGATATTAGGTTTTATCACGGTATGTAGTTTTAATAAATAAGTGACTAATTTAAGATTAATTAACAATGAAAGGCACTTCAAGATCTTTTCGGACTCTCGCCAATCAGAGAGCAGGATTTGAGTCATATCAGATACCTGGACCATTCTAGCCTGCGTGGCAGGCGTCAAAAGGGGAAGGCAAAATTGCTGCCTTATTCCCCCTTGCCCTTTCAACGCCAGCCGCGCAGGCTAAGACCACCATAGAACGTTACAGCCAACTTAGCATCAGGCTGATTTAGCAACACGAGGGGAACGTCAGTTGACGACGGGGAAGCACGCGGAAAGGACTAAACACAACTTTCCGGTGCCCAATTTGCCGCTCTGCCATTGGTCAAGCCAGTTGTTTAGTTTGTGCGCGCCGTTGTCAACTGACGTTCCCGTCCTGTTGCTAAATCAGCCTAAATTCATGCGTTAGCCGTTACCATGTACATTATTGGCTCCCATTTAAAAGCTAAGGAATAGCTTAACTCAAGAAAGACTAATAATGTTTAACACTGGGGAACGCAACAAGGCTCTGCAAAAAGTAATAAATTTTATAGTTATCTGTTACCTTTACATGGTGTGATTTGCGCTGCTAAGCGTGGAGGTTCCTTACTCTGATCCATCTAAACGTAAGCCAAAGAAGCGACTGAAATAAAGATCAAGTCTGCAAGCCTGACGTTAAAAGCGCGTTTCTTGGTAAGTTATGTATTGTACCTACTTAAGAAATACTTGTGGGAAGGAGTCTTAAGTCGCTTTAATATCCGTGGAATATGATCAACTAATTGTATGCCATGTGTATATGCTATCGGTAATGGCTACAAGGAAACGTCAAAAGGCCGTTAACGGGAGTCGTCCCTTTTGGGATCAAACCTAAAAGAATGACCAAGTGCGGCGCATCCTCAAAATACACATACCTGCAAGACCTTTACGGATCATATCTTCCAGGATAAGGCTAGGGTTGCACTAGGGTGGTAGTCTAAGAGACGGGTACGGACCTTCAGCGTTACAACCTTTAATGCTATCTAGGCTACCAAGTTTTTCATATCTGAATTAGTTTAGTGCGTAAATAAGACAGAAGGGAAAAAGGAGGATTACTAACTTACCTCTGCCTTCTTTTTCTTGACTCTTAAACTCACTCCTTGTCTGCAACAGTCGTGACCACAAGTGCGTTTCATTAAGGGTATCTAGCACATCAATTGAATCTTATAGTAACAAGCAAGAAAAGAAAATCGAACCGTAAACATTACCTTTTTCTAATTCAGACTTGTAACCTAACTGCTTCGTGTTTGATGGATTAATCTCGAAAGTCCTATCTCGGAATGATTTGAAGTTTTGTCCTTACTGACAAGACTTCAAAGACAAGACTATTCTTTGGTTTGAGCTAGATTGCCTACAATTGTATCATTTTCAAAACGTTCATTCACTGTTCTGTTTTAAAAGGATATGCGTCCTTATTGGAACATCGATGACTGCAAGGAACTCTGAGTCCTCCAGTCTGTGGTATAGAACTGCACGTGGACGCTGGAAATAACAACAACAGTTTTCGCTCAATATTTAAGAAACACACCCATCCTCTCATCCGTAGTTACGTCCTAGTTCCATGGCCTTAAATCATAGTTAATCTGTCTCCAGCCAAGTTCTCCAGGCAATCAGACCAGCGCTGTATTTCGACTGATAATCAGACTTTCAAATAAATGACTTACTCAGCTCTACGATTAATTACACCACTAAAAATTTACTTTATAATTTATGTTGTTTTACGCGCAACTTAATTCAGAGATAGACGGTCAACTCAGACTCACCTGAATTTACATTAGATTCAACCCTTTTCACATTCAGTGGATTACTTGCTTGTGATTCCCTCTTAACCTTTGAAAATAAAATGCGTCAAGAAAGGATAGTAGCCATCGCGAATCGTTTGAACTAAGGAGTGAAGTCATAAGTAATTGGAGCGTGCCTAGTCCGGAATATATAGGAATTTTGTTGACAGTGACTGACTTACTGAAGTCACTGGAAAGACAATAAAGAAATATAATTGTTTTTTATTCAATTCAGTGCAAGGTTAAGAAGGAGTATTGCGTACCACATTTTGTGATGAGCCGTTAGAGCGTGCGTGCCGTTAAAATTTGGTTTAATTAGCTAAAAGACAAGTTGATAAAACAAATTCGCCAACTCCCAGCAAAAACTCAAAAGCTGCCGTTTGGAGTGATAAATATTCTTAAGATGCCAAACGTCTTCATCAGATTTCTGTTTCTTTATATTGCTTTGTACTTACGGTTAAGTAGGCCTGGCCTCCACTATAATAAGGGGAATAGGTTGTACTCACATCAAAACCAACTGAAAGTAAAGAGATGCACTGACTATCAACAAAATTATGGACCTTGAGATCTGAGGACGGGCAACGGCGGCGAAATGTCTTCGCTAAGTGGATTCAAGTTCTTTCAGTCTTTATCGCGGTTTATATTCCAACTCACTTCTTTGTCAACTCTCCTGGAGTTTATGTACTGGTATCCTACGTCGTAGTTACGTATACTATGCGAGTTGACGGCAAATGTATTGTTGTTCGGCTTATTATGGGTGGATTCATTTGCCGCCACGCGTATAGCTGTCGCAGTTGCTAGTGAGGGAGGTCACGGGGTCAGGTCAGGAGAATAGTGGGTACCTAATGCTTTCTGACGCTCTCGTTGCCTGCCGTCGCCATCGTCGCATCTTAAGGTCTCTAACAACTGAAATTACTTGTACGTGATACTGATTGATTAAGACTCGCAGTTAAAGTAACGATTATTATCTGCATATCTCACTGTCGTTTACAAAGAAACATAGCAGTTTCCTCAGTCTTTGAAAGGGTAAAAGACAAAGCAACATGAATAGAAGCAAACCCATGGCTGATAGAAACCAAGAGTCATCTTCGATCGGTCTACGGAAGATGGCCGAGTCACTAAGACATTGCTGTATTAAAAATATCATTTGAATGAATCAAGGCAATGAGAGCTGTATATACACATTTATCATTGAATTGGTATTACCATATTCTTGGCTAATGAGGTTGATGCTGAGCTCCGAGGATTGAACTTTTGTTCGCTGTACATCCACCCGCTTACTCCAGTACCCCTCCTTCATAAAAAAGGCGTCCCTAGTATCAAAATGGTACAGAATACTAAAAAAAAAAGCTCTTCGCAAACTAAGTATTAATAATAAATCAGTATTTTGAAAAGGCCTGATTAAGAGGAAAAATTTCCTGCTTCTATAAGTTGGCTTACCCATATAAGCATGAGACGCTCACCAAATTCTAATCATAAAGGCAATAAAGCCAAATTGTAGAAAAAAAACGTCAATAATACAATCATGACTCCAGCTATTCGTGTGCCTCTTTCCTCATCCTCCTGTACTGGTCCTCGTGCCTTTTCATCATCATAATCATTGTCGTCATTATCATTATCAGCATCATAAACACTATAATCACCATTCCATTTTTTTGTTGTTTTTAACAGTCAGCCTCAATCCTCTCAGTGTTAATATCACTTAAAATCCAAAGTCGATAAAATAGCTTTCTTTGTCACCATCGTCCTTAAATAACATGACATTACCCTAGTCTCTGTTTAAAAACCACTTTGTTATCTGCGTCAGAAACCAACAAAATACAAAAGTGAGTGTTCCTTCCTGTGCTGATCGCTTCTTTTCTTTTAAGGTAGTTCGTCATGGTTACTGTGACAACTATCTCTGCACGATTGGGTTGGTGTCTGCCAGCCTGTTTTATACAGAAGTTTCCATATAAATTAAACCGTTGTCAGAAAACTTCACTGTTGGTCATAAAGATAAATGTTATTTTAGGAATACCACCTATTGCAGGTTCGATTAGAACGCGTACGATGAAAACGAACTTGCTTTTAATACACCCGTAGTGCGAGTGGGGGGATTTCTAATATGAATAAATTTAGGCAGGTGATGGGACCTTAATTTGATTGTGAAATAATTTAAATTAGCGAAATGTTATTTTTACACACGGCTTCCTTGAAAAGCAGGTGTTTTCTTTTCATCTTGATTATTTTAGTTTCCATCTTATGATCTAGTTTAGTTAGGTAGTTAGTTTTCTATACCTGAAAGTAAATGTACCTGAAGGAAATACCGTGTATAAATAAAGTTACCATACCATACTATACCATGGCCTGCAACTATGGTGGAAAATCGCAGACCAGTCAATCACACTACACCACCATTATTAGATATTTACAACAGTGTTTGTCTCTCCGGAGGTCAGTCTACCTTGGGTTGATATAAACCGTGACAGACAATAATGTGAAGCAAAGGGCGTTGTCTAAAAAGACAATTACGAAACTTGCCTGCTGAACGGAGAGCTCATACTTTGGAAGATTTGAAACTGCTTCTCGAATCTGCGATCAACAAATCAAAGTTTTTACAAAGATAAACTAACTTAACTCTACATCAGTCAGTAGATATCGTTTCTTTAAGCACTTCAGATCGATTCATAGAATGAGGAATGAAAGTTTTGCCTGCAATGTTGGGTGATAATGAATAATTTTAAAAAAAGTTTCCCTGGAAATTAGTCAACCAAGCAGCAGTTACTAAACCTGAGAAGTGTATTTCAGCAATATGATCGTCACATCTTCTATATATCATATTCAAAGCTATTTGTTATACACATAAGAATTTACTATGAAAATACACTTCACTCTACATCTGATTACCTGGCTTCCAAAGGGTGGATGGCGATTCACAATCTGAAAAGTAAAATTAATTGGCATCACAAATAATACAAATAAATACTATGGGGCTGATTGACATTTCACTCCAAAATTCTGTACCATCTCTATTTCTCTAGGATTCGTCTCCTCGATTTTTTTGAAAGTTGTTAAACCAGCGTTGACCATCATAGTCGATAACATAGGCCCTAAAACAAAATGTATAGTAGAGCTCTTAGCCTTTTACTGTAAGAAAAAGAAGTTTGAATGTACTTCAATCACCATTTATGAATTCGAAACACGTATTGTGGTATATACCAATTTTCTCCAGTTGTCTTGAAACAAACTTTGAATTCTCCCACAATCTAACAAAACAACTCAAACATGTAAGGACAGTTTCAACGGTTTGTGTAGCATGCAATATTCGGCATTGATATCTTACAGTTATGCTTGTAATTACCTGGCTCTAATACACTTTGCAAGGATGATCGAGTTCTGAAGTGACAGAAACTCATTTTTCAACATTTGAAGTTCAGTCAAACCTGTAATGCGATGAGACAAACGCTTTCAGTACCACAAAGTAAACAGAACTCATGAGCGATACTGGGGGGTGCATACCCAATTTACAAAAATAACGTGTAAAAATAAAACATTTTCACTGAATTCGAACAGTATTCGGTCAAATATTTAATTCACTTTCAAGAAAAGTTTCCAAAATCAGTATTTTATTCCGGCGCTGAAATTTTTTGAAAAGCAGCTAGCCAACAAACAAGCTGGATACATTTTTCTTTTCGGTATATTTAGATATTCTGATTGGTTAATGACTTGCCTGCTTCCAACGCAAAACAAAAGAAAAATGTCCGATATTTTGCTTTCACGATAGTTTACACCCTCGGAGACCAGGGAGCTGTCAGTCGGGTCGGAGAAAAGACGAGACGAAATTTTTCAGCTTGAAAACTTTCGTCGCGCCAGTCTCGACCAGACTGACTGCCCCTGGGTCTCTGAGGATGGACAGTCGATCGTTTAGAAACAAAACTAATAACCACATATTATTTTTTCACTTACAACGAGTGATTCTTTGTCCGGCTCTGAAGATTTTCTGAAGAAAAAATATGATGAGGAAAAACTAAATAAGTATAACTTTTACTGTCTCAAATGAAAAAAATCCTGTCAGCCCCTAAATTTTGACAGAATCGAAAAACAAGGTGAAATATGAACTGACCGTAACATCTTGACTTAAGGTAAAGTCCGTTATAGCAAGGTTACCAAGCGTCGCTTGAATGAGGCTGAAGATTGTAAATAAAGTGCTATAAGCAGGTTACAAGACAACAATTGAGACACACGGTACTGTAGGACTGACGTACCAGTTAACTTTTTGGTCCGTTGTCTTGATTTTTCCGTTAATTGGAAACCTACCCAAAAACAAGAGACAAAATGTTTTAACCACTCACTTAACCACGGTAACGTCCATTTCAATCCCTTTTCCCTTTATGTTTGACAGCATTAAACCAGGTTTCCTTGGTGGCTGTGCTAAGAGCTGAATGCTTTTCATTGAGACATGCAGCCCATACTCATAATTACTTTGTTCCCTATAAATACAGGGGGCATTGTTTTACCTTATAGTTGGCTTGTTCTTGTCCTTGTTTAGACCATTCAGCGCTCTTTTTTCATTGACTCGTAGCTTAACATCTGAAAATTCCTTGCATTTCGAAACCAGCTCAACCTAAAATTTGTAACCTTAGGGTAACTCCGACGTGAAGTCAAACGAAAAAGAAACTCTCAACAATAGATCGGTTAGCGCCAAACAATGTATTAGTAATTTAATTGATAAATAAAGTTTGGGATCTCCTCTAAAAAGCTCAGCAGAGCTTGCTGAGATCTCCTGCTCACGTATACTTAAGAATACCAACTTTTACAATGATGGGTAAATAAATAAATAGCACGACAGAAGAAAAGCCGCTTACCAAGTCACTAAGGCTTTCCTTTCCCTTAATTTCAAGAAACTGTTTCATTGAGTCATAGGCAATGCAGTACCTGGCCATCAGTCGACCTGCCTCTAAAATATAACAAAATATGAGAGGCAAGGATGATAAGTAACAGAAGTAAAAGATCTGATATTAACGGACATCTTCTGTAAGGGGGCTCACGAATGCAGCCAATCGGTAAACAACACATGAACTCAAGAAAATGTTCACCAAATGCAAGAAAGAGCATAGCATTCGAAAAAAACCTATTCTGGGTTAGAAATGAATTACTTGCCCGATTTTCCTGCTATTCAAGATCTTACGCGCATGATCACTCCAGTTTGAAGATTAAAAACCCACCTGTGGGCTTCAGATCAAATCCATCGTCCATTTTTATAAGCCCTGCCCGCTCCAACGTGTTTAGGCTCTTCAAACAAATGTCTGTTTCAAAAGATGGAAAAATAAAAAAAAAAGAGCATTTGACTACGCCGGTCTTCGCCAAGACGCCAGGAAACAAACCATGACATCAAGAGGAAAAGGAATGAAACAAAAAACCATGATTTATAAGCTTTTATACAAGTTAGGGACGCAAGCATATCGTTAAGGGCAAGCACAAGGATCAAAATGTTTTCTCTTCGTATGCTTGAGATTATATTGACGTCGTTATTCAATTGACTAGAGACTTTTATTCTCGCACTTGCTGTTTTGTTATGTCTACGTCGCTAGCGACATACAGACTCAAGTCATAGGTGTAGCAGGCGCCGGTACGTTTACGTAGAGCGCAATTATAAGGCCGGTGCCTGGATCACTGCTTAGAAGTCACCTTGAAGTTTCTGTTCCAAACATTCTTTCTTCAGCCCTTCAGGAATCCCTTAGAAATCAAAGTGAAAATATAGTGTTAACAGCAATACTATATTGTTGTATGCGCTCAGGTTAAAAGCTACAAATATTTACAAACAACGTAAGTTCAGGGGGTAAGACTTGATCTTATCCCTGAATCAAACAGATTATTCAACGTACCGTAATGCAGAGGATTTTTCAGGATCCTTATATACAGGAAGGTTGATTTCAGCCACTCCAGCGCAATAGTCACATCCGTGATTGTGTTGAGAACAATCTCTGCATTCAGATGCTCGATAAGATGATGGTGCAGGCTGGGAATAGTAATAACCATGGTATTGGTGACGTATCAGTAAACCTCTTTTCAATAACTGAATGTCGCCTCAGCTTATAAAAATAAACCACGCTGGTGGTCAAATGCTGCCATGAAATGATGTATATAGCAACAAAAAAAAGGCTGGGAGGAGATAGCATGACCTAGCGGTAAGAGCGCTGGATCGGAACTGCAATCCAGAGGCCCGGAGTTAAATCCCCGTTCTAACCGCCAGCTGGATTTGCTCTTGGTTGTTCCGAAGTTCTAATCCTTGGTCACGCTTGTAAATAAATAACCAACTGGTTTGCTAGGCAAGTTGGGATTCGTAACCTTAAGAACCACAATGAATTCTTAACTTTTGCCAATAGCTCTGTTAACCCTAAAAAGTAAACTTTTTTAGTTGGCGCTTTCGTCCAATCAGAAACAATTATATTGTATAAGAGGAAAAGAATCCAAACGTTCTGCAACATCGTTTGACCTGATCAATCCATTTAGCTGTATGAAAAATGAAGAAAAGTACTAGTATTCAAATATTTCAACTCACCTGCTCTCCAACTTCTGAGTTCCTTCAAGTAAACCGGTATATTTTTCCTGTAACACAGTTTAAATGAAGGAGACGCTGTCGACCGGTGGGAATCACTTGACAACTTAGAAATGAATCGAAACACAAACTGACAGTATAGCACTGTCAATTGTGAAAACAAAATCATGATATGGCAAACCTTATTAGCGCTCGTTGTTAGAATGACCGCGGTTGCTGAGGTGTCAAACTGAAAAAGAAAAAAGTTTGGTTAATAGAAATGGCAAAATTGCCCTAAATCTACAATACGTCTTTTCAAACAGTGTGTTTTAGCTCTTCGCTTTTTCTGCCCTCGATATCTTATTTTGTTTGGTCGCCTGTTTCCCCAGCTTTCCATAGTTGTCATCTCTACGAGTGCTCATCATGCAGCTTTTTAAAATCGTAGGAAAATAGATGAGATGTATATAAATAAGTAATAAGAAAATATTGCAAGTAAATAAGTAATTGTAAGACTACCTGTGGTCTTCCAGCTCTGCCAATCATCTGTAGAATCTGAGTTTCGGAATATTCCTGAAAAACTCCCATTACATAATGGGCGGTAGACTTGATGATAACGAGATGTGCGGGAAGATTCACCTATCAAAAGAAGTCCTTGTTTTAGTGTGTTCTCATCTTATTAACTGCTAGCCAAATGAAGCAATAATGTTAAATGTAAAAACTTTTTGAACGTTGTCTTCGGTCGCACAAAACTAAGCGTACTCCACTATAAAACTTACCCCTACAGCAAGAGTACTGGTGGCAACTAAAGAAGAAAGACAAAGAGAAATTAACGACTGTGATTTGTGCTGTACTTTTACCCTTTACGTCTTTTTTCGTGACAAAAAGGTTAATGCTTTAATCGCAGGAAGCTCTTTCCAACAGACAAAAAAGTAATGAAAGGAAAACAGTAAGACCAACTGCCGGCACTTACATAATACAGGTATGTCCCCCTTGATAAACATCGTCTCAACATTTCGCCTGTCAGTTGGATCTAGTCCTGCATGGTGATACCCAATCCCACATATCACGAGCTCTGCAGTGAAAAAAGGTAACTTGAAGCACTTTACACGTTTATAAGCATCTCAACTTTGAAGGTCCCGATGTTCGGTGTAAGTTTTAATGTTGATTTCTAGTGCTTGTGGTGTGTTCTTTGGAACAAAATTAACACTAGGTGGGTATTTTATTGGAGTGAAATCATTCTTCACGACGCTTTATCACACTCAAGTGTCAGTAATGATAAACCCTACTTGCTTTATTTTGTTGAATGGTTTATTTATTTCATAAGACTTCGTTGTAGAGCAGGAACTAACCTCTAAGTTTAGAATCATGAAGAGAGTTGGCTGTTCTTTGAAGCCTTCAGAGAATAAGAAAAAATACAGTTTCAAATAGGTAACATTTAATATTTGCTGTTTATGTAATTTTTCATTTAGGCATTAGTTGATCAAAATACACGTAACTTTGAACGTTACAGTAATGCTTATGCGTGCAATGGAAGATCTATTCTTAAGATTAATATCCTGACAAGGGAATTTGATGATAGTGACACATTAAATGGAACTGGGAGCTCACTATGATTCGTTGGCTGTGTTGCAGTTTATCTGGTATATCCTTTGTCCTTGAAATGATTCATCTACCTTTGTCTATGCTGGGAGTTCATGATAAATCTTGCGTCTTTAACGAGCATCTGTGCTGCTTGCTGTGCGCTTTTCCTTGTTGAGCAAAACTGACGAATAAAAAGGATGTATTAGAAAGCCGTTAACTGAATGGAACCTTCATGTAAGAGAGATTCCATAACTGTAAGCACTGCGAAGAACTCGTAAAAGAGTGATTTTACTTGAACCGTGAAACAGATAATAACCGGCAACTAGTGCAAAATAGCTACAAATAAACAAAAGAAGACAATAGAATTAGTGTCTAATAGTGCGTAGTATTGTACTACCTATTTCACGGGTTAAGTAAAAATCCCTCTAGTTGTTTCTATGACTCCCATAATAATTTTTCTATTCCAGGTTGTATTTTAGATGATACATCTTGTTCCATTACATTGCGGCTTCCTTTACACTATACTCTTTTACGACTGGACTGTCTCTGAGGACGAACAGCAATTACAGTCTCAATTCATCAATACAACCCATCGCCACTGCTTTGGCGCTTGACAAAAGAAACTAATTTCTTCTTGTAAGTTTAACTTACCACAAGTGTAGGCTTTCTATCCGAGTAAGTTTGAATGATACCACTCAGCTTATAGTTTAGTGACAGGTCAAAGCGAAAGTCGGAGAAGTTACTTCCCTTGGGAAAGCCAAGGACAACCTTTCTCAGCTTCACTGGTCTGTGAGAATCGTCCATACTGTAAACAACGAAATACAATAGGGTAGGCATTACAAAAAAATGCCATTATATGCTATGGGGTAGTCGAGTGCGATATCACAACAGTGCACACGTTGCGTGGTCTCAGAGGAGAAGATTTCTGCGTGTTCTTTGTGTACCTGTGAGAAAATGAGACCCTGGTTACCTATAGCCGGCTGCGACCATCCATAAGTTTCGAAGAAGTTCGCGAAATAGCATTCAGTAGAAGTGTTCAGAAAATTGGCTTCCAGCATATCAGAAGATCCAATGTAACGTGGGTTCTTTACATAACAGATTTTTACCTGTAGTGTGAAGCTGGAGAGTCAATTCCTCCAAGCCAAGCAGCGATCTGGTGAATCAGAGGATAAAGTATAGGTCAGACAAATTAAAATGATGACCAGACCTCATGTTACAACACAAAGTTGAAAACCGCACCACTACTTAAGGAACCCAACAAAAGGTGCCAAGCGCTAGTCTCTGGGCGGCGTCAACACAAAAATGAAAATTGAGTATTATTTTCCTCTCGACTTACATCTTCAATGTTTGGTATGGTGGCTGAAATAGCTATTAACCGCATGCCCTCTCTGTTAGGACTGTCAGTGTTATTTCGAGTCATGGTAGACTGAACGGTCTTCATGCGACTTATGACTGCCTCGACTGTAGCTCCACGTGAGTCATCGTTCAAAAGATGAACCTGTGAACATAAAGAGGTGATGTGAGAGATACCTTCAGGCAGGGAAACTTCTCTGATCTGCCACTGAGTCATGTGCTCTATTCAGTTTTGTTTTCCCACTTATCCAAAGGCCAGAATCCTTGCTCCCTATACTTTCATACCAATACTTCCTATAATTTGCCTATAATAATACTAATTAAGTAATAAAAACCTAACTTGGGTCGCATAGCCCCGGTGCTTCCCTTCCTCCCTCTCAATGTACATGTTGTTGAGCAATGTTTTCTTTTAGTTCCTTCGTCGCAGCCACATCAGAAGGGAAAAACGTCGAGCACCGCATGTGTTCGTTAATCAATGTTATGGACCCAAGTTGTGGGTCCCGTCTCACTGCTATCTCAGTACTTCTAGAGTATAATGCCAATATACATTAGAACTTGTTCAGTTATCTAAGGCAATTTGCCCAGGTTTGTTTACTGTAAAAGTGTGCTAACCTCGTCAATAAGAAATAGTCTGACCGATTGAACCAATGATCTGTTGTCTCTCCATTTTCTTGTCATGCTGTCCCATTTCTCCTGTATATGAGAGTAGACAGTTTCATATACACCCATAAAACACAGAACTACGAAACTTTACTGAGGAAGAACCCTGGTGTAGGAAGTCAAGACTCAAACGAAAAGTTTGATCTAGATTATAAGTTGACATGCAGGGTACAAATTGCAGTTCTAAACACACCATTTTTTCTGATTCATGAATGGTTAATGCTGTGAGCTTGGTCAATTCCCTTGTTCCACGATTTCGCCATTATAAGCCATTTTTTCTCACAGCGCATCACCCTATTGATACTTCTCCGAAACAAACCCCGAGCTTACCGGTGTGGTCATGATAATATGGACATTCTGGAGTTCATAGTAGTCGTCCAGCTCACTATCGCCCGTCACCTCTTTACACTTTAATCCGAATGGTCCAAATTTGTCTTTCCAGTCCATGAAGCGCTCACTACACAACGCCTTCATTGGAGCCACTTTAAAAGAAAAATAGATGCAGACGCATTGTGAATCTTCACTTGCGCGAGTAATAAAACTCTATGTTGTGACACTTGTTCCTTAAGGCTCAATAATGTATTAAGAGAAAGAATCTAGAATTTATTTGCATTAAAATAAGCTAAATATTGCTTAAACCTTACTAGTATTGACTTACTTACAACCGGCGATGAAACTTTTGGCTTAATACTGCTTCACGTTAGTTTGCTTTTAGTTGAATCTTGAATTGCTTAAACATTGGTTGAGTCAACGCCCTTTACCTAATGATCATGAAAGATGTTATCTTTATCCTGGTTTGTGTATAATAGGTTCGTTTTTTCGATTGTCTTGCAATAGTCACTTCGTTATTGATGGCAATATTTATCTGCTTGACTGCTGGTCTTCAGCAGACGATGGTGTCCTTTGGCTGTCCTAGTCTAAGGGCAAATTAAAACTGTGTTGTTATCGATTGATACATATCGATCCTTACTAAGTCAGCATATGTGACTTACTGTAAACAACTTTAGCCTTTGATGGGCGTGTTGCAGAGTTCATCAACTGCCGTATTATAGCTAGTTCAAAAATGACTGTTTTGCCAGATCCGGTTGGAGCACATACAACCATAGGTATGTCTGTGTACATCACCTCTTCAAATACTTTGGACTGGGCAATGTTGAAATAGGGAAATTTACTAAAAACCGAACGAAATGGATTAGCTAAAATTGTTAAGGAAAACGAAACAGCATCATTTAATTAGAGGTACACAAAATGTACATTTGGTTAATTGACGGATGCTGCGATACTCCTTATCACTATTTAGGTTCATGTCGTGTGAGTGAGAAGGTCAGTCATACTTTCAATCCGACGTCATCCAAATAACGTTTAAAGGATACGTATTTCATTGACAGATCGAAGTCCAATCACGGAACTTGCGTCGTTAGATTCATTTCCATAAGCTGCAAAAGATACATAGATTGATTCAGTTCTATCTGTAATTCTGAGCGGGGTATATTTCAGTAGATCTCCCCCGAACTTAAGCAGGAGCCCATGGTCTCCTGACCTAAAACAAAATAGTGAACCCAAAAACTGTGGAGCACCCGAGGTTGCGACAAAGGAGGGAATCCAAAGTAACAACGTTAATTCAAGTTCTCTTTTATTAATCATCAATAAAGAAAAATCCAACTAGAAACATGTTTTCATGTTATTTTTCTAGGATTTTGTCTTAGGCAGTATGAACACTGTGTATAGATATTTCACTGCAAATTTCAACGTGAGATACTTTCACTACCTGGGATAACGAGCTGTCCTGGAGTACCAAGGTTGTATTGTGGTTGTAGAACTTGATAGGACGCTTGGATCTCTTCCCGATCCAGGTCATAGTCATTCAACGCTAACCCTGTCAAGAATAAAAATTACACTTCCAATAAATGAGCGATGTATAAATGTATAAGATTCGTGGTCACTTGAGTAGATTTTTACATGTAATCTAGATGTAGTATAATAATAGTTTGCTAAGTCTTCTACTCAATATTAAGGTCTAGGCAGAAACGGTTAACCGAGATCATTGCAAGATGAAGAGGCAAAAATCCAAAAGTACTATAACGAGTCCCGTTCTTAGCCCTGGGCCAAACGTCGAACTTTTCACGAGTCGAACCAAACTTATATAGTGAGATAAGTTCATGAAAAGTTGGAGGTTTGGCTCAGTTACGTTAGTCTAGATAAGTTTGGATCGTCCAACACGTTCTATCGGTCTGCTTCAGACGGATAGAACGTCCGAAGATCGTCTTGGGCCGAGCATCGTTCGGGAGAAAATTTGTTAAAAGTGCTTTTTGGTCTGATTCAGTTGATTGATTTGACGCGTCCTAAGATCGACATCTGACCCAACAGACGATGTTAAGTTAATTTAGGTCAATCCAGATTAGAGTTTGGTTCGTCTCATGAAAAGTTCGACGTTTTGCCAAGGCCTTAGTTCAACAACTCAATGAGTAAAATTAGTAGGATTCCGAGGAGGCCACGCCCTCTTTTTTGTCCGAACTTTTCCAATCGGTAATAGACCTTACGACGGGGTTTTCAACTTTTTACGAGGACCAGTTAGCGAAAATCTATCAATACGGCTGGAAAGAACGCCTTAAAATCAGTAAAGGTGTCAATTTTGAGGGTGATTTGTTCGAGAAAACTAACGAAGAATAGCTCCACGAAGTCGCGGAATTTTACAGACGTTTGTATGACGGGGGACAAGTTCGTCTACTCACCATACAAACGTCTGTAAAATTTCGCCACTTTGTGGAGCTTAAGGCCCTCTTTCCAGCGGTGTCGATGGATATTCGCTGCACTTCTCTTTATCAGAAGTTCAAAAAAAAAAAAAACACCTTGGACGGGTCTATTGCTAAAGCGTGAGAATTCTATCTTTCAGAGCCGTACTCTCTGGAAAATAAATGTCCTTAGTTTTCTGGTCATATTTAAATTAAACTTGAACTAATGGAGATATTATGGTTAAAAATATAACAGAACTTAATTAAAAGTATGTTAGTAATAGAAAAGTTTTTGCGGAAATCTGTAACTTGTCTGCCCAGACGTCTAATCCGACAATGGAAAAATTAAAGAAAGCGTTCGCACACAGGTTAAACTAATACAATTCGCATACGTTTGCTGCTCTACCTTCTGAATCCACAGTAAGGTCCTTGTGAAAGTCACTTCGTTGAGTGAAAAGCTCAGGGGAGTCTTGCAAAATCTCATCCCCTCCATAATCATCTTCATCCTCAATGAACAGCGACGGCTGCGAATATCTTGAATGAGAAATCTGTGCTTCACTTGGTATCCATTTATCATGGATCTGTCTCGAATATCTACTGTAGGTGCTGCTGTGCAGAAATGATCTTTCGTTGTCAAGCAAGTCAACTGCTGTTGAGGTACCAATGCTAGCTGCATTGTTGTTGAAGAACTCGGAATTTGAACGGAAAAGCTGCGTGGATGGGAAATCTCTTTGAGACATTTGTGAGAGTATGTCATCCAACATTGGAGGTGATGGAGGTGCCATTTGAAGGGATCTTGATGAGGCTTTAAATGGCGGTCTGCAAGCGGTGAGGGTAAAAGACGGAATGAGTTTGCGGAATGGCATGTGGCATGGCTTGCGGAATGACATAATTATGCGGAATTTAATATACGAAGCTGAATGATCCAAAGAAATAAATTAAACTGAAAAGAGCGCCCTTTTTTTGCAAATTGGCGCCAATCAATTTGCAAAGGCAGCTGCTGTTTTAATGTTGCGGACTTAACATACGATGACAATCAAAAAACCACGAAGGCTCATTGTCGAGCAGCCTTTTCCGCACAGCCAAAAAGATTCTTCGTCTATTGAAGAAAAGATGTTTTCGAAGGTCACGCTCCCTTCTAGTTTAATTTTTTCTGCAAAAGATGTTTGTACGATTAACTTAACAGTTTCTTGTTACCTACATTTGTATTCGAAACCGTGTGAGTGAAAAGTGTTTCTTTATGAGACTCTGGGTTACGTGATCGTGACATGATTGATAATATTCAGAGATGAATCGAATCTTGTACTTTGTTTCCTCAGTTGCGAGCTTGAGACGTGCGAAACAGAAAAATCGACCAAAATCTTAATTTCGTGGCAAGAGTTGAAAAATCAATTTCTTTCATGTTTGTTCATATAGAGCTTTTAGGTATATAAGAAACCTAACGTAGATTGTTCCCGCCGAAAGCCTTTAATTCGTGAGAAAAAATAGAAGATCGGTTTTCGACGTTGGAGTCTCAGACCGAATTAATTTTTAACCTGAAATTCGCTAAGATCAACTTTCCTCGCGTTCGCAAACGAAGCTGGATGGAGAAATTTGGACACTTTCTACGAACAGAAAAATTATTTTCCTTCCACTAGAAGATACTTTCTGGACAATAGCCAATAGGGAACCTGGTCGTGCTGAAATATATTTAAAAATGAGGGATAGGTTTTCAGGATAACAAACATTTAAGTTCGTTACTCATTTTCGACGGCAATATTTAACATGTGGTATACCTCCAAATTCTCTTCTTTCTATTTAAATCACAGATTTAGACATTCATTCAAAACATACCTGGGAATTGGCTTGGGTAAGTGAAGGAAATCTCTGTAAGACACCATCGAAGTTCAGGAATTTTCATGACAGGCTGGCGGTAATTGTCTGCATTGAGTAAACACTTCCAATTTCGAAACGCACATAAATAGATATTTACAGCCTAAAGGCTCGTTTTTCGTACGTCTTGTAGGTTTTCCCTTTGCAAAATTGCTTTTTTCAATGAAAGAATGGGGTAAAAAGGTGAAACTGGGTCAATTTTATCCATTTTGAAACACTGAACTTTACCCGCCGGCGAAACTGCGTGACAGTCTGTTCCGTGACTGCACGTGGCACAACGTACGTTTGAAGAGACGGAACTGTCAAAATGACAGTCACGAAATAAAGGTAGTAACGCAACGTAATTCTTGATCGAAGGAGTAACATTTTCGATGCCGACAGTATTTTGAAGAAGCAAAAACTCAAAGGCACAAGTATTCTGGTACTCACTTTCTATCGAAAAATAAGGACTTTAACAATGGTAATTCGCTAAGGATAACGGAAAAAGAAGATATTGCGTCTTGTTACTTTACAATCGAGGAAACTAAGTTTTTTTTTGTCACGCCTCACTATATTTACCGGACTTCAATGTTTTCGTTTGGAGGCTGCTTTCAGGAACCGTTGCCAATTCTCAGGTATGTTTTAGATAAATGTCTAAATGCGTGAAGCTCACTCAAATTGGCGCCAAAAGAGGCGCGGCAATGACGCACGCATGCCTTTTAGTTTAATTTATTTCTTTGCGCCAATTTCCATATTTTACATTCCGCATAATTATGTCATTCCTCAAGCCATGCCACATGCCATTCCGCAAACTCATTCGGCCTTTTACCCTCACCGGTCTGCAAGATGATAATCAGACGGCTAATCAGAGGAATACTTTTGAACACAAAGCAGGGTCGTAACATGGTATATCTGGGACCCATTGATCCCTATTTTCTTGCCGTTATTTTGATCCCTGAGCTTCATTTTCCCCAAAATTTTGATCCCTGAGCCCTGAGAAAAGAATTGATCCCATCCATGTTTTTACACAAAATTTTACTTTTAGGCAACTTTGTTTAACAATCTCAAAATATAGAATATAGAACATGCTCAAATGGGCTGATGAGAAAAACATCAACTTTAATTTTTAGTGAAACGTGTAGGTTCTATCAGAGCTTTCTATTCTGCTATCCATGCTGATGTTGTAGTCTTATGTGAATTTCTTCTTTCACTCTGTGTGTGTTACAGTGAGGTTCACGATCAATTACCAATGGCAAAATACCTGCTTTACATGAAGTAAAAAAATTAAATGATGCAAGCCACAGGTTCTACAGTTTAACAGCTTTTCTGTATCAAGCTCATTAATGGCTTTTCCGGGCTTAATAACCATTGTAGATTGTCAGAGGTCATATCTGGTTGTAGGTCTTCTAGACCTACTCCTTCCAGCTTCAAAACTAATTGGCTCTGAAAAGTTGTCCGCCTGAGCTTGCTCCCCTTCCTCTTCGTCACCACATGACGCAGGTGAATCATCTGATTAAATTAACCCGTGGAGCAATGCAACTAGGCGTTGCTCTTCAACGCAGCTCAAACAGAAGTTGTTTCCATTTTTATTATTTGAACTTTCCCGATGATACACTTAGGTGAATTTCTATCGTCACGGTGCCCAGTCTGGTATACAAGGGGATCTTCTTCTGACTGTTCCAGTTATCTCAAACCCATGTGATCTTCCAGGAATGCATCACGGTTATGGTGGAGATCTTTTAAAAGAAATGCAAGGAAGATTAAACGATGATATACCTCTTGTAATTGTGCTTGAGAGCAACTACGTCGCCTTTTGAATAGATAATCCCGTATTCTTCGGCTGCGTCTTGAACTATAGTTTGTCCTTCACTCCCTTGAACCTCTTTCAGCAGGTCATTAGGTCGACTTCTCCATGTGCCGACGCATTCCTTCTGAACATATTTAGAGCAAGTGGAAGTGTACCAGCTCTTTCTTGGTCTTCTCTCTCGTTTGTTGCTGTCGTACACCCCGTCCAAATTCTTTCGCAAAGCTCTGCAATGCCTTCCTTTGTCGCTCCTTTCACTCCGCGCTCGTTTCCTTGTCACTATCATCCTTAAGGTTTACTCTTGCTGTACGACTTTCGAAGCCATTCCGGTGCCTTTGGACCCAGCTTTCTCTGTGTGTAATGGCTTTGACGACCGGTATATAATATAAACGAGGATTGGTGGAGCCTCTCTATTGATTCTAAAAGGCAGCTGGGCCGCTGTGATGCATAGTCGTTCAGAGCGGGTGTTCTCGCTCCACTAAAAAATTCAGGCTCCATAAGGTGGTGATACCTTTCGGGGCCAACCACTACATAAGCCGAGGCCGAATAGCCCAAAGATCCGAAATAATTCTTGCAGATCAATATTGTCACTAAAGTCTGTAAATTTTGTGCAAAACAAAATAACCACTGCATGAATGAGGTCTGAGAAAATCTTGCATGAAAAAAATAACCCATCCTCGGCTCAAAAATCAAATAGTGGGCCCCTTACTGATAGCCCCTCATGCTGAGTGCTATAATATCTTAAATTCCTCCAGACTCTGCTACTTGCACCTAGTATGCAACATTCCTTTCGCCAATTCCACCGTTTATTTTATGAAAAAAAAAACTAAAGAAAATAAACTGTAAAGGTTTTGTTACTTTTATTTCACCGAGGTAAGTCTTTGGTGTTCCACTTTATTTTCACCAATTCTCCACTGTAATTTCAGACTATTTATCACACAGGCGTTTATCAGTTATACATTAATGGAATGTGTCCTTTACTTTCCCGGCCCAATACTAGTACTGGTAGGTGAACCGATCTCAGTTTCTCATCAGAGTTCGAGATAAGCCTAAAACTCCATGCAATTAGAGCAGATTTATTAAATTGCGAGAAAGCATTTATTTTGCAACAAAGCGCGCGAATTCATTGCACTTTTGTATTCTACTTTTGACGTCCACTCTAATTATTTAAGTACTTTTAAGAGTTAAGTTACCGGTCAAAAAATACGAACCTCGATTTATAGTCGCCTAGTGACTTGCTTGAGGCGATGAGGCAATCGGGACCTATACAGTAAATTCCGCTTTCAATGAATCGGTTTGTCTATTGTCCTGGCGGTATTGTTATGTTTGATGGGCCCAAGAACTCTATGCTTGGACCCTTGCCAGGAGTAAATCAGTCAAGGAAGTACTTACGTACCTTTCTCTGTCACAGGATTTCTTTTTGTCCTTTTTCTTCTTCCCCTCTTCTCGCAGAAAAAGATATGTATAAATCGCTTTCTCTGCCTTCGGGCGTTTGACAGCGCGTTGAGGAGTTGCGTTACAAAGCAAGAAAAGTGACTTGAGATTCATATTACAGGGCCCTCAACAATAAAATAACTTAAGAATATGATACCATGTTTTCATCAAACAACCAGGACTTCGTATGACAGGAACTGCCACCAGCCGGAAGTAAGAATAGGTAATGTACCTCGGCCAGGAAATTTTATGTGATAAGAGATTTTTAGACCGTGTAATAAATCTGATCCCTGATTCGGGCTCAAAAGCCTTGTGATCCCTGATCTCATTTTTCTGAGCCCTGAGCCCTTTCCTCTGAGCCCTGATCCCAGTCATATTTTGGGCGTTGAGCCCTGAGCCCATATACCATGTTACGACCCTGACAAAGGGCCGCTGGTTATTGGCACCTTCCTTGAAACCTCTCTCTTCCCTCTTCTATCGATGGGATGTATTAAAAAATGCTAAAACACCAAGTTCTCATTTTGTTTAACTGTGAAAAAATAAATCTATTTCCTCATGATATGCGTAAGCATAAATCAGTTATTATAAACCAAAAGGTTAAAGAAGCCTGGTTAAAGAATCAATAAAATGACACGACCTTTCAACGTCAATATTCCCTGCCAGCAGAGGCCTTTTTTCCTGGTATTCGGCGGGCTTAGTTATTTTTCGGAGAAGAGAGGCGACGACCGGAAATTCGTCTGCGGTTCGCAGTCTATCGGCGGGCAGGATCACTAGAGAAAAGAGGCCTCTGGCAGCAGGGAAATGTCAATAACTAGTTATAATTGACCATGAACGCGAGAAGGCGAATTACGCGTCCAAAAAGTTAAAACTGACTATATGAAATGAATGGTTATTGTACTCACACAAATCCTCCCTTGGCATGTCTGCGTTGGGACGATTGAATACCCAATTCCATGAATATGGATCAAAACGCGTTTCAGCTTTATGACGCTAAACAAGAACCTCCTTCATGAATTAATGAAATAACAGCATTAATGTCTCGCCGGAAATATAGGAAGACATTAGTTGGTCATTTTCAAATAAAAAATAAAGTTGACAGGTTAGACTTTTTTAAAGCTTAACTAAGCTTGAGCTAAGCTAAAATTAAATGTAAGCCTAGAAAAAAATAATAAATTATCACGAGTCTTCATTTCCAAAAAGACTTCATACGCCTGTTTTAAAATCGCTTTACAATAGACTACTACACAGAACAGGAAACTCTTTGAACGTATTAAATATGGAGATTGTGAAAAGTAGCAAAATGTAGCAAATTATGTTGGCACATGGCAGATGTGGTAGCAAATTTCATGGCAGCATGAACTCTCAAAAAACGAGATTTAAAACTAACGCTTGGAGATGAATATTCAACATAATTTTTACCATTTTACTTACCTTAATCACGAGCGAATTCTTTCCAAGCAATAACCGGTGGTTTCTGTAGTTTCATGTAGCTTTAAAGTCGAAAAATTACCGCAAAAAAAGGAACGTACATAACCAGTGGAGTTATAAAACATTTTTCACCATACCAAAGTTTTGGCGGGAAAATTGGGCACCGGTGCGACGGCTGCGACGGCAGCTCTCGTGACAAAATAAACTATGGGGGTGGGTAGGGCCAAGGGTAGGGTGGGAGTGAGGAACGATTGAATGGATCAAAATGCTTCTATATAAATATCATCATCATAGAACTTTTTAATTTGAAGAGATCAGAGGAAAGTAAAAACTCTCAGACGTGAACATGATGTCGATCTTTGTCATTTGTCGTTTTTCCGATTTCAAGCTTGAAGTCTGTGGAATCTAATGCATTTTCCATTGTATGAGAGAACATACGAAAGCCGCAGAAATTAGGCCTGATCCCAGATTTATACTGCTGACAGGCAGTCCTTCTGAAGACGCAATGTTATCAAGCACAGTCCGCAACACAAACAGAAGATGGCAAGGCTACGCTCTTTTTAATTCCTTGGAAATAAAAAGCTAAGGGGTGTGGCCAGTTCAGACGTTGACATCGGCGCAAGAACTGCTATCGCCGAATGCGCGAGCTGCCAAGGGGGATCTAAGGACATGTCCCCAACCACCTCCCCTTCAAAAATAAAATTTTCAAATCTAGAAGCCCTGGAAGCGCTATCTTCTATATTTGTCATAAAGTTTGATTTCGTCAGAAAACTCAAATGCTTTTTCATCTGAGGAAAGAAAACGCTTTAATTAAAATTTTTGTTAAAAAGGCAGGTCCCTTATTTTGCCTCTTGCTACACTGTTGCTACGACTGCGCTATTTTAAATACCGGTATCTATTCAATAAAACGCGGCGCGACTAATCGCTCTAAACGGCAAGGCCCTATATGCCACGAAAATAAGTTGATTTCCATTTTAAAACTGGTATGAGAGAAAGCAGACACATATTAAACGGAAAATGAACGAATAATCGTTGGTTTAAAACCAAGTTGTCGTCATTTATTTCAAAACCTAAATACACAAGACTTGAAACGATTCCCATTGTATTGTATTTCTCCACCAAAAAATAAAAGAAAGGTTTACTCATTGGAAAGTTGCTATCACAATTGTGCTCATCTTGGCAAGGGGAGGCAGAAAAAATAGCCGCTTGTTCTTGCCCTTGCACATAAAGAGATCATCGATGATTTTCTTATCTGTTGTTCGCGTTTTTCTTGTGTACTCTCTTCCCTTCAAATCCATTTTCCAGCGAGCTTTTAGCTTATACTTCTACGGTTTTGCATCTTCAGGGGCCTGTGGGAGAAGAAAAATACTATTTATGAAGTATAAAAATCGATTGACTAGTGCAAGCTCTTTGACTGGTCACAGAGCACTTGTCCTCAATTCTATCACCTGTATCATGACCGATTCAAACTACACAGTAAGAGAGTGCTTGGAAACACTTCCTGGTAAATTTACTGCGAAGGTGGTGTGGCACACTATTAAAATAGAGAGTTCAGTCTACAAAAAACAACTAATCTTCTCTCAACAGAGTTCCCCTATATTTTTTTTTTCATAACATGGACACCTCCCTACATGCATAACAGAACACTTTATTTAATAACAATAATAATATTTAATACTTATATTGCGCTTTTTCTATAAAAATACTCAAAAGCGCATTACAATATTATTAATAACTAAATTAAAAACCAGTAAAATTACCCGGTAAAATTACAATATTTAAAAATAAATAAATAAATAATCTAACCAAAAGCCATTTTAAATAAATATGTTTTAACAGAGCGTTTCAAAAAGTCGATTGATGTTTCCTGTCTTATTGGCAGAGGAAGACTGTTCCACAAAAAGGGGGCAGCCATCGATAACGCGCGATCTCCCAAAGTCTTCTTCGTTCTTAGCCGAGGTCTTTCTAATAATATACCATTATTGTCACGGCGTAGTTGGTAACGTGAGTCTGGTAAGACAGAGACAAGATCCAAGAGACAAGATTTGTCTCAGGATACTTAAACTGTACAATACTCTATGCCATTTTCCCACGACCTGACATGAACTGAATAATATTAAACATAAAATCAATTAGCAATACTCTAGGGCCATTTTCCAATACGGACCTGACATGAACTGAATTTAATATAGTTTCTCTCTTTTTACTCTTGTAAGCAGACAGCTGTATGGCCGCCTTCACAAAACCCATTTCAACTTCCATTCACACTCTGTATTTTTGCATTCTTGTTAGCAGACATTCCTTTAGGCAGTCATGGACACTTTCAGGGTTTACGGGTAAGATTAACGCTTTGCTTTTATGCTCCTGTAAGCAGATACCTCAAATGAAATCTCATTTGCCTCTGAAATTTGAATTATTTTTAATTAATCAACTTCGTACCACTGATCATCACAATGAATTTATATCAGTTTCACTGTTTTCTTTTTACATACACTTCCGGTTTAATACACTTCATAACACCTCTTGAATTTTATACCTGTGCGGACTGAATTAATACAATATTGTCAGAACAACGGAATAGCCAAACACTTACAAACAGATTTTTGCATTTCCAATGTTTATTTGTTGCTGGGCAAGCTCCTGTAAGCAGACCCTTAACCTTTAAATTTCTAGTGGCCACTTATGAAAACCATTCTTGTAAGCAGTCATCTCCAGAAACTGACCCTTTTTTGCCTCCCGAGGGAGTCTGCTTTACACCCCGGGTCAGCTGTCATCAAAAAGTGATCTCTTTCAAACTAGTTTTTCAATTTTTAACTGTTTGAGCTGAAACTTTGCACGATAATAGAACTTTGCATTTCCAACAATCGTTTGTTTTTGGATTTTTGATTTTAATCGTTTTTGGTGGGAAAATGATGTCATAAGTTTTCGACTTATGGCATAACAAACTAGAACTTTTAAAAGATCTCACAGAGATGAGCCCAAATGTGAAAAAATTATTAATTTTGTAAAGCTTAATTGGTTGAAAAGTTCTTGAGCTGTGAAATTTCTATTTTCTGCCATTTTGTTACTATTTTTAGAAATTTCGTGATATTCTGAATGACATATCTTCGCAACCAAATGAGGTTTTGAAAACCTTTTTTCACATTTAAGTTCTTCTCTGAGTACTCTTTTGAAATTGCTAACCTGTGATGGCATAAGTTGGAAGTTATGTCTTAATACTGTCAGTCTTTTGACATCATTTTGCACCAAAAAAACCGTTAAAATCAAAAATCCAAAAAAAATGATTGTTGGGCCAGGGGGTAGCCAGGATTTTTCAAAGGGGGGGTCACTGTCAGAGGCTACTCACCGCTGCTCTCCCTCGTATATCAGCGGGCTCAGTCGTATTATCGTAGCATGAAGGCCCATATTAACTAAGGACAAGAGCCGTTGACAAAAATACTTTACAAAAAAACAAATTTAAAAAAAAAGTGGGCTTTTCAACAAACGGCTTTTATGCCCAAGATATTGTCATGGCGTTTTTGCCATCTGAATATTGTAGGTTGTTTGCTCAAAAGAAGGCCTACCAAGGAGGAGTCACAGGCACCCCAGGCCCCCCTAGCTACGCCCCTGGCTGGGAATACAATTTTCTACAAAAATTGTAACATTGTGCAAAGTTTCAGCTCAAACAGTTAAAAATTAGTTTGAAAGAGATCACTTCTTGATGACAGCTGATCTGCCGTGCTACAAGAGCTTCCACTGTACCTAAAACTGGAAGTAGCTATCTTATGGCAGCAAGAATGCAAACTCACCATTTGAGACAACTCCACACACTTTAAGAAATCCCTGACTTGTCGTGAGCACTTGAGAGCCTGTGTTGGGTTCTGTTTGTAGCAGTTTAAGACTTCATTCTTCAGGTGCTGACAAGCTGCAACCTTTGTTGGTTGGCTACAAAAAGAGTATGTGTGTAAAACATCCGGCCATTTTTTGTACTGACCATTAGAGTACTATTATTAGTCCCTCAAGTTTTGTACACGATGTATGTGAGCAAATTGAGTGAGCAAGCAAGTAAAAAACTGCAACTTAAAGAACAACTGGAAAGGAAACCCTTAAACAGCCTCCTAGCTGGCTTCCTAAACAGCTTATCAACTCCGATAGCTGATTGTCAAAACCTAGATCTTTACTTTTTTTTGGCAAGCTGGTGTGTCATTCTCACAATACAAGATGAGAGCAAGGAAGAAAATATTATTGTAATGAGGAGGAAGTGTAAGTGTGGATCAAATGTCTCAATTTATTACAAGTACTTCTAATGATAGCTACCTGAACTTTTTCTTTGTTTCTTCCACAGCTTGATTAAATTTTTCAATTGTGATTTCTTCCTTGTCTGCAACCTAAGACAACCAGATCAAAAAACATAGTTAAACCTAGTTTTTCACATCTTCAGTAGCAGTAACAGCTGATTTTTCCCCAATACTTTGATTAGAAATATATGGGACAAGACAGGAGAATTTTTAATTTGACAGGGAATTTAAGAGTTAAGATGCCAGCATCATTTTTTTATTCATAACAAGAACTCTATGCTATAAATGCACTTACCTTTTCCTTCAGTAGACTTATTTCTTCCAGAAGTTTATTTTCTCTGGCGTATGATTCAGCATCTTTCTTTTCCGAGGATTGTCTCCAGTGATTTTCTGTTTCTTGGGCATCTTTATCTCCTAGTTTCGCCCTGTTTTCCTGCCACCTCATGGCTTCAGTCTGCCTTCCCTACAAACAGTAACAACTTTCTTTTTGAAAAGCTCTGACTAGTAAACAAGTTGAAAATTAGTGCATTCTACAAAATGCACACTCAGCTCTTATTAAACATGGCCTGAAGGCATATGATTTTGAAAGAAATGCGACTTTCAAAAAAATTTTAGTTTCAACTTTCAACTTTATTTAAATGTGGAAATATAATACAAAAATACATTGGGACTGGCCTGCAGTTAGCAAGACTATTCAAGGCAGGCCAGGCTCGATAATGTACTACAGACTGGATAAATAAAAAGAAATTAGACGTTATATAAGTATATATATTTTACAGTAAATACATACTATTCTACTTAAATACAAGGAAAACATTGGAGTGAATTTTAAAAATAAAATAAAATGAAAATAATATAAGGGACAAGAGAATTACTTTTTCATTTTCACAATAATCGTATCTACATCAATATAGGAGTCTTCAGTTTGAAGGATATCGAGTAGCGTTGCTTTTAGTGATCTTTTAAAAGCTTTTTTCGGTTTTGCTTTAAGAATTTAAGGTATCCCATCCCAAATTTTGACCCCAACACACGAGAAAGTTTCTTGATATAGTTACAAGACTGCACTAAAGTGCATGTTGCAAAACTATGAAAACCCTTACCTCATTAAATGCACCCTGCATAAACTCCTGAAAATGTTCATGCTGATGTTTTAAGCGGGCTTTCTCTTGCTGTAATTCATGCCACAAATTGTTGATATCATCTTAACGGTTAAAAAGATTAGAGCAACACTATCATTAGCTCTACGGTGTGATATATGGGAAAAATATAACTATAGCATTTGTCATTAATCCATCAACTAGCACTGCGTACATGTTATTCCAGAAAAGATTCATATTGGTACTCTTCCATGAAAGATTTAAACTCCCTTCTTCTCACCACTGAAACTTCTGGCTTAGGATCAAACTTTCCTTTCAAAATTCTCATCTTTAAGCTAAGTTTCTTCCCCCCCCCCCCACTTGAAATTTCCAATGGTCACGGGGTGAGCATGGAGCATGGAGCATGGATCCACAAATCTGGGGACTTTGTGCGTTCATTGTTGTCTGGGAACCCATGTCCCACAAATTGCCACATGACATGACTCCCGCCTGAGCTGCTGCGAAGGAGACTAATGACAATATTATTGTTTCCTTTCCTCATTTTATCACTGATTTTTTCCTTCCTTCATATTTCATCACCACATCCCAAAGATAATTATAGTGTAGGTTGCATGTTCCTGATCCTACAGTTTGCTTTGATTGGACCATTGCATTCAAGGGTTTTTACATGTGCAAAAATAACACTAGTACTGGCCCTGCTCAGCCTGAGTTCTTCTGTCACTCTGTAGGAAAGCCAAACAGAATTCAAAGTTTGTACTAATTGAACAGTTGTTTTTGAAAGAGTAGGTCACTGCTGACTAACCTTGCTCCCATGGCCTCTCACTCAAGAGAGATCCTGGGAACCAGGGTGACTGCTGACTTTGATTACATGTAGCATACATGCCAACTCTCCCGGATTATTCGGGAGTCTCCTGGATATGACACCAATCTCCTGGTCTCCTGCACAGGTCACCAAATCTCCCAAATAACATCGAGTTTTAATATGAGCTTTTCTGTGACTTAATTTGGAACTTACTTCATTTTCCCCAAAATTTGAATTTTCTTTGATTCATAGTTCAGTTTCTGGGGCATTTTTGCACATACTGTAAAATTCCGAAAATAAGCCCCTCCAAATGTAAGCACCCCCCCCCCCAACCTTGTAATGCAAAAAACCCTCCATTAAATTGCCCCTCCAAATATAACCCCCTGCGGCCTTAGACATGGAATTTGCCCTCAAATACAAAGTAAGACAAAGCAAAAACGGTACATTTCCTTCCAACAATAAGCTAGCCCAAACTATTTTGAAACACAAATTTCCCTCCGTACATAAGCCCCACGAAATAGGCTTTGAAAAGTATAAGCTCCGCGGCTTATTTTCGGAATTTTATGGTAATTCATCACTGTCAGAAATTATTTTGCCATTACAATCATAAAACCAAATTGTGATGGTCTGTACCTCATGTAAGACTTCATATAATGTCCTAAACCATTCGCATGTGACAAATTGGGGACTGGATCGAATTGTGGGGTGGGGGGGATCGGGGTCAGGGGGGTTGGTTGTTCTTTTTTTGGGGGGGGGATGATGCAAAAGAGAGAGTCTCCAAATTTTAGATTTCCACAGGTTGGCATAACCAGAATTTTTTCCTAGTCATGAAACCAGCTTTTAAGGTAAAACTCCATGTCTTGCTTTCAGAAGTGGCTCTGGGAGTGAAAAAGTTGTCTAAGCTTATCAGTGATTTACCTTGACTAATCTCCTTTTCATCACCTTTCAGGGGTAAATCCTCTAGGCCTCTCAAGCGTCTTACTACTCTCTCTGACACCTAAAAAATTTTGAATCAACTGCTTTATGTTCGCCAAAAGTAAAATTATCACTCAACATAGCTTGATATCATTTCACCTTCCAGAAATCGAAGATATTGCTTAGGGCTTAGTGTGAATTCCATATGATTCCTTTGTAGAACCTACCCTTATAATTCCCGCACTTTCATCCTCCTCTGATCTCTTAACGGACAATCTCTTTGTTGATTCACCACTTCCCATGTTATTTTCAACAAGCGTTGTCCAAAACCTCTTTAACTTTCCTCATGAAATTTTTCATAAGTGTCCGCCATGATGGATATCAGTGTGCGCCCAAAATGCTAGGTGCACAGCGGATAAATGTTGCCATAACAACGAGCTCCACAAGAGAAAGACAGACTGGAATGGTTCGCGCAATTTGCGCTCTAAGATTTGTTTTTAGTTAGAAAAACTTTATTCTTTCCTGATCATATTTTGATTTCCTCTTCAAAAAATTGCACGTCGCGATGAGCAACTCTAACCCTCTGCGGACCGACGCTTGTATGAAGCGAACGGTAAGTATGGAGACAGTTTTGCGACATCATGAAATTCAAGAGAGGAAACTACAAGGGAAGCGAGAAGCATATAAAAGACGAAATGATACGTACGTCAAAGCTATGTACGGTAGTCCTCAGGACAAAGAAGAAGTCAGGTGAACAAGTTTACGTTTTATAACTTAACTTAACTTGACTTGACTTAAACAATAGTCAATTAACGTCCATCACCACAAGTGCTGATGCTTGTTAGACTCCAATTAACAGCTGTCTTTCATTTAAACATAGACTGCAAAATATTCTCAAAATAACCAAGATATAACTGTAAAATTTTCATTACTGGATACGGCATTCTTGCAGTTCTTTCCTTAGACTGATTTCGGTCTATTTTAATTTAACTTGTTGATCGATTGTGGGTTGATAGATTGCATTTGCCTAGTCCCCTCGCTTTTCGAGTACAATCGAGAAAGCATATACCATGTATGCCAGGGCTAAATCATCCCCTAAGTTGCTCCTCAAAGCGTGACAATTTCAGTTAATTTACAATAACTTTGTTGGCTCTAACTCAGATCTTTCCTTACCAAACTTGGCCTGAAAATATAAAATTAATATTGAGACAATCAAATTGACATTTTGACATCAATATGTCAAATTATGACGTCACATTTGCTGACGTCATTCATACGTACATTTTAAACTTTAAACTTTCTCCATCTTTTATGAAAATTTGAAAGAACCATTCAAGGGAAGTCATGTGAAAGCTGAAAAAACGTTTTTTTAATCTTAAATATGAGCTGAGAAATGACATTTTGAATTGGGATAAATTCGTACCACAAAAACGGGGTAAAATAGGCCTAAATTAAAGTGTTTTATTGTAGTGTCACCATTTCTATTTAAGATAAACATAACACATCTTTATTGTTGAAATCTAAAGGAAAAAAGAATGTTTTTTAAGGAAAAGTATGGTTCCCAGGGGTGCAATAAAATACCTTAAAAGTCCAATAACTCAAGTTTTACACGTCATGGCAAGAAATGGTTTTCAACCTTTTACTCCCCTTCTAATTCTCTTTCAGGTGATATAGGTAAGTGATATATTGAAATTAGAAAATTATATCAGGAATTGTGACGTCATAATTTGACATTTTGCGTGAGACAAAAACGTTAAAATTACCTGGTCAACAATCAAAGTCTGTGGGGGCATTTACACAAGAGGCACTTATTAATTTGAGAGAGGGCATATTTTAGATCATCCTATTTGTGGTTTAAAGATTCCTTTGTAAAGTGCCATGAGCCCAGTAATGGATATGGTGCTGATTATAAATGCTTTGATTATAATTTATTACATGTATTAATATAATTGTATAGTAAGCTATTCCTTGAACACTATGAGAACACTTAAAGCAACCACTATTATTGCATCTTTAAAACTCTCAGGCAAGATGGCAGAACAGCATTGTTGCAACAAATGAAAGAAAAAGAACTAGCTGACAAAAATGCCATGGCTGAAAAGACAAAAGAGAGTGACTTCGCAATCAGTTATGACAGGATCTGCATTGAACAAGACAAAGAAGACAAAATCAACAAAGAAAAATACCTACAGCAGTTCAGGAATGAAAATAAAAGGGTACTAACACTTTAATTTCTGTTTGTTCAATTTTTCTGAAGAACAGCTCAACCGGTAGCTGCATATCAGAAAGTTACCTTCAAGATTACTTTGGTGTTGAAAATGCTGCAACTATTGTATACGAATCTCAGTGGTAATGTTTATTTACAGACTGTATCTTATGCCACCTTCTTAACTCATGACTTGCACACCTGTGCTTCAAACATGGCATCAACTCAACTACATGGAGTATGATGTCATAAAACGTTTTTCTTTGAATACTGATTGGCTCATAACCATCATGTATTATCTGTTACATTATTGGCCAGTGCTACCAAGAAATGTGATTTTACTGTTTTGAGGTGAAAGCCATTCAATCCAAAAAGGAGGCAAAGTCAATTAAAAACATTCAAAAGTCCATTTTATTTTGTGATGTACTGAAAACAAGTGACATCATGCAAAAGATCAAGGTTCCTTTAAATGTCAAGACTGAGGTTTCTTTGAATGGTGACACAACAAATTTTAGCCTACACACAAATAAAAAGGCACTTGATTTAAGTACAATACTTTTTGCTGTAGTGACCTTGGAAAAGTCTGAAAGTCAAGAAAGGAACAATCATCACTTTAGTAAATATTGGGGGCATTTTTGTTTTCTCTTTCACAGCTGATGGAGCTCCGTGCAGAACAGCAGAAAAAAGATAGATGTGCAAGACATTTAGAAGAAAGAAACCTCCTCCAGCAAAGTCCGATAAATTGGAGCCATACTCTTCATTGAGAAATAAATTCAAGTATTATTAATTTTTATTGATAGCTGAAAAATCATGGTTTTTACAATCACTTAAATTAATTCCAATAAACAACATAGCATATGTTGTGTACATGCTGTTACAATTATCCAGATTTTGATGATACTAAGATGTGTGTTTATAACAGTTTGTCAATCAAGTAATAGGAAAAAGAAATTTAAAATGGCACTTATGATAATATAAAACAATCAAAATACCATGTTGCATTAATAATTTTTTTAATGTCTGGAATGTTCTAATCAAGTGATGAATATTTTGAATGCACAGTATTTAACAATAAAACAAAATTATCTACTAACTCATAAAGTGGAACCTCAATGTGTACAAACTTAAGTTCACAAACTTTAAGTTATACTATGACATTAATCGTAACCTAGACCCAGCACTACAAAGGGTTTTTTTGGGTTGTCAATTTCTTTTATTCACCATCTACACATTGGCCATTATACACCTTGTTTATCTCCCACACTTTTGGGGTATTACATTCGTCCCAAGGTGTACAAGGGAAATGTGAAAATGATGAATCATTCCTTTTTTCTTATTTTGAAGAATTTCGTTGTGTGATGCACAGATCTTTTTTAAGCATTTTAAGAAATTCTCTACAATAATATCATACAGCAGACACGGATAGAGCTAACTGTTTCATGCTTTCATGCTGAACTCCACTACTACTCGGCACTGAAAATGAACGTGTCATTCTCCCACTGCTATGGTGTAGTAATATTGCTGTCATAAATAATGGCAGTGACACTGGATAATACAGTACTGCAAAAAGTTGAAGGGAGTATGAACGGAACATGAAAATTCCATGCTAAATTGTTGTGCTCAATAGAGATGGCTAGGCTTTGTCCTGGTTGCCTGTATAATGTTATCTATCCTATATCCATACTGGGATCTTCCTGTTCCTCAAGTGTCTCCCTTGAAGATCCAGCAACCTACAAAATACAGATAAATTATTAATAAAAACAACACATGTTATATTCAATTACCCTATGATGTTGTGTATAAGCTTAACGGTGGGCTTACTATAACATACACAAATAGCCAACACATTTGTCCAGTGGAACTGATGGCTATAGGCATATGTTGCTTTGTTCCTTTCATTTCCATACAATGTTGGTTTAAGAGGTTAAGAAATAAAACTGATTTGAAAATGCTATCACCTCTGCCCTTATGTCAGGCCACACCTACCTACCAATCCCACTGCCCCAAAATAAAATAATTAATAATTATTTTTAATTTATTTTAAATTACATTAGAGATGTTCAAAGATAAGTGCAACATGTTGGTAAAAGAGGTTAAGAAATCAAACTGATTGGAAAAGTTTATCAACTCTGCCTTCTGTCAGGCCACAACCACCCCCCTAAATCCCATTTGCCCTCCCCAAAAAAAAGACAAGTTCAAAGATAAAGTTAGTGCAACATGCATGCAGAAGTTAATATCTTAATTTAGTAATAGGGAATTGCCATTTTTCGGGCACGAATTGATTGTCAATCAACTAAAATGTGGTGGAGAAGAAGTGTGAAACCACCAAGTCAAATTAGATGTTCTGTTAGCATATCATGCTTTAAAGATCTTGTTGAAGAAAATTATCTTTTTTCTCCAACCTCTTCTTCCTCCTTTTCAGCATTGTCTTTTTTCACCAGAAACACTCTGGCCATTTCCAGTGTTTTTGTGGTGTTGTATCTGTACTTCAATTTCATTGTTTCCTGTGAGTCACTTGATTCTGAAAACAAACAAGCAAACAAGCAAACAATTAAAAACAACACATTAAAAGAAAAAAAAAAATGGTGCTTGTGTGCTGTGTGGTCAAAAGACAGTCACCATATTTTAGCAACAGTTTTGATTTGGGATAGCCCTAATTTCATTGGTAAAGTACTTTATAATTTAAACATAATATTACCCTTTTTTCCTTTTACCGCTAATGGCATTGTACAAATAAAAGAAGAATCAGATAAGGCAGATAAGTGACCACCATGTAAGTCTATCAGATAAGTGACTTGATGGCAATTGATCACTGATAGGAAAAAAAAAATGACAATTTGCCTGAAGAATCTTTGAGTCAATTAGCAGGATTTAAGCAAGGATGAAATGAATAACACTAGTAACCAGGGATTCTACAAGCAGCAAAGGAAGCGCTTTCCCTCTCCCAGATGATAATATTACAGCAAATGCTCAATACAGGGAAAAACCTGTTCTCGGATTTATCAGTTGTCGAGGCATGCCCTCAGACCCAACTTGAGTCTAGTACAAAATATGTACTCATTCCACCTGTTTGCAAAACTGGTTAACTATAATAAATAGTACAAACAACAAATGTATTTAGATTACCCAGTTCCTCAAATAGAACATGTGTACCAATAGGCTCTGAAAACAGATATGCAAAATAGGATAGCAAATAATCTATACTGATAACTTGATTAATAAAATCCAAAATGTTTTTAAAAATTATATTATTTTAATATTTTTAAAAACACAATAAGCACTTTTTAACTAACTTTTCAAACTCATTAATAATTCATAAAGAAAATACAAAAAGTTTGTGAAAGGAAATTAACGATTAATGAGTGTTTGGAAATCAGATGAAAAACTGCTTATTTCTGCATCCTTAATTTCTCCTTCTAAAATCATTTTGTTTGAGAAGTAATATCAAGGATTTGACACAGTGTTTCATCAGCAGATGAAACAGTATCTGATGCTTGATATAAACAATGTATGTATATTACATCAACACATTCCGCTAGTGCAAATGCCATTTTAAGTTGCAAGCTTAGCGTGAGGCCCAAAAATATAACATCTTCACCTTTGAGCTCCCCAGTAAATGTATAATTTCCAATCTGCAGCACAGGTTCATCTGTGTCAATACCCTGTAATGCAACAAAACCATTACAGTGTACATGTATAGATTTACATAACCAATTAGACTGCCAAACAATCCATATTCAATAATGCCTAGTCAAGAATGCACAAACAGTCAACGAAAAGTCTGGAGGTTTTTTCCCTACAAGCATGTGAGGCTCATGCACTTTGCACATGTACATGTAAGACTCTGACCCTACACCAGCACTTCACACCTTGAAAAGGCGAGTTTGAAAAAAAAAACCTAAACAAACAAACAACTCAAATGAAGAGTGATCTTTGCATTTGTGATTGCAAATATTTACAACAATTGCATTAACAGCCTGAAAAAAATATTCAGGACCAGCATGAAAGAAAGTCATGTCCGATAGCCGGGGCTAGTGGATTTTGCTATCGGGCTAGTGTTTTTTGTTCTTAACTTGCCTGACAGGCAAGTGCTGTTTTTCGGGGAAATTCAAATTACGGAAGGATTGTTATCAATCCTGCCAATCAAAAAGGGTTTTGGGGCTAGTTGAAATGACTTGTGGGCTAGTACATGCTATCTACAGCTTGCCTAATTGCAGGCTGTAAAACTGACTTTCTTTGCACCCTGAGGACTTCAACAGGATTTGAACCCGTGACCTTGTGATACAGGTGCAATGCTCTGACCAACTGAGCAATAAAGTCACTGATATTGGAAGCTCTTTTAGGCAACACCAACCTCGAGATGAGGCTTGTGGGCCAGCAGTTGCACCCTACTGTAAACATGTAGGTAGAGTGGCCAACTGGGGTTTTTTAATACCAATTGCATAACATTTGGGCATGCCATAGGGTATGTGACAATTCAACTATCCCCTCCCCCAGGAATTTGCCATCCAGGACAAAAGAACCAATGTCTGGGGGAGGGGAGGGAGCAGGGGCATAGGTGCAGCTAAAATAATTGACTGATGCATTACCATCATTGAAATAATGCCTTCTGCACACTGAGTCCCACCAACTTTTCCCCATGCAAATCACTTATCAATGAGTTTAAGGACCATAATAAGACACATTTATTTCAATTTTAATTGTTTTCTCAACATACTATCAAAAAGGTAAGAAAAGTACTGATTAGCAAAACTCACCAAAAGTCGGCAACTTTCAGACTTGCACTTGTATAAGAAGTCACTGTCTATGACTCCTTTCAGTTCAATGACAATAAGATGCTCCTGTTTTACAAAAAGTGGAAATCATATTATGTTAACCCTTGGAAAGTCTTTTAAACACATGGCAAAACAAGATGTACGGGAGCAAAGAGCTTCATCGTTAGCTTCACAGAATTGACCATACAACCCTCTAAGTTGCGACCATTTTAGTTTCCATGGCGCCTAGAATTTTGAAGCTGGTGACTTGATTTGTAAAAAAGCCTCCCTAAACCAAAAGAATTGGTCGCCAAGCAAAAACTTTAACTTGAAGGGTTGACATAGGGGGCCAAAATGCTACCGTGCAAGCAGAGGTTTCTCTCTTGCATCGCCTTTAGCAGTATGACCTCGCTTGCATCACTTGTCATTTGCTAGTTGGTTTATTTATGCCATGAGAAAAACTTCTGCAGAGAGCCACATGTACATGTAGTTTCCGATGAGCAAGCTTTTGAGACACCTCCAAAATCTTGGAGATAGACACATGATTAACAGGTTTTATAACTGATTTTAAACAGTCAAACAAACTGATTTGTTGTGCAAAACAGAGTCCCCAGGAGACTTTCTCCCGTGAAGCTACAGCATTGTGATTTCTCTCATGGGATGAAATTTGTGTCATTATCTCTATAATAATGAATGAACGATCTGCGCATGCTCAACGGAAACCACCAGCAGCTCGCCACAGGACTTTCTCCCCAGGCAAAAAAAAAAACAAAACTATGTGAATAACAAGTAATGCGAACTACTTTGTAGATGTTAAAAGCCATGCAAGAGAGAAACCTCTGGTCACAGGTCACCAAAGCATTCCCTACAACTTAACAAAAGATATATTTGGAGTAATAAAATGAAAATCGCCACTAGATCGACACAGCAAAGGTACAAAAGGTTTTATTGGCAAAACACATCACTTTTCCCTGTTTTTCAACTGTCGCATCCCTGTTGAAATGACAGGATAATATGGAGTTCAGAAGCTTGATGATGTTGTAGAAGTGATGCATCATGGGATGTAAGAAATTCCCCCTTTGTTTTTAGAGTAAGGTTCACTTGCATTGTACGACTGGGAAGATTTCCGTATAACTCCAACATTTATTATGCATGCAGCAATTTCATACTTTTTCGCACAAATAGTTTAAAACAAGTAGAGTCGAAACACGTATGCATTATAAATGCATGGGGTTTATATACGGAAATCTTAGCAAAACAGGGGTTACATGCTTCTGATCAAATACTAGAAGATGCTGAAGATTATGACCTGCAAGCTCGTTTGTTTTCTTTCAAGTTTGACGTATATGCGAGTTTGCTAGACATACTTAACGGCTCTTACCTCTTCTTCCCACTCTTCTTCGTCCATATCTTCTACGTAACACCCACAACACTATTCGAGCTTTGCAATAAGCTGAGAAATCTCTGCCAAACTCTACAATCCAAAATGGTCTAGAGTGCATTTGTGAATCCTAGAATGACAAGAATGACCCTAGAATAGCGAGGGACCTGGTAGAGAGTTTTTTTGCTCTCGACCCAGGCTTTTAAAATTGTTCATCCAGCGAGCAACGCCTGTCTGCTATTGTTTTACTTCCTCTTTCATTTTAATGTGATGTTCCACGTTTGCAGATCGAAACCATGTATAGAACTTATGTATGTAAGTCTTTTCGTAGTATTTGTAATGAGTTGTTTTACAGTAATGTTTCTGTTTCCTTAGTGTAGATCCCTAACAAGTGGAATGCTTTTCACCCGGGGTTTTAAATTAGGTTAAATATTTGTGTGGGAACTGTGTTTACCTACATGTACGTTAGGCTTACAATAATTAGAATTCTTTGTTTGCATAAACTAGAATCGAATGAGATAGGCTTCAGTCAGTTTCTTCAGGGAATGTGAATGATTAAAAAAATTTATGTACGTCAAGCCGAATTTTTACGAAGATTGTAAATGATGGTACTTATAGTGTCTGCAGCTATATAATGTGGAAAAACATTTAATTGTCCTGATTTCTATTGCGCATTATTCAAAAAAAAAATGAAAGCATTCATATGCTGTGTGTATTTGCCGGCTGATGATGCCACTTTTCCTCATGGACACAGACAGGACAGAAGGAAAAATGCTCATTATATGGGCGTCAATGTATTTAACACTGAAATACTGCGCACACTATTGTTACATCTCCTCCTACAGATGGGGTTGCCATTTTATACGGTCATCTGAGCCTTGTGAAAGTCTAGCTGTTTATAGGGTAAAGGCAGTAACAAAATTACTCAGCTATGTTATTATTGAGTGTATTGGTCCAGCCCTGGGAATCAAACCCACAACATCCCTCTCTGCAGTCAACTGCTCTACTGACTGAGCCAATCTTGCTGCCTCCTTTTCCTGTAGAACCCAAGTGCACCAGGGATGCATAATTATGAAGGAGACTGGAGTGACAGCCACACAAGAGTTTCATACAGAGAAAAACCTGGCTTCTTTGGACAAATACAGCAGAGTTTCTGGGCATCTCTGATTGGAATTCTTCTTGTTGTTGTCTCATTTCCTGTCATTTACTGGAATGAGGTAACACTATCCTGAGTATCAGGCCTTCCTAAGAGGGTAGGGGAGAGGAGATTTTAGATGGGAGAAGTAATGGAGTTTGCTTCATTTACTGTGCTTTTCAAAAACATGCCAATTGCGAAGTTCAAAAGCCAACTGATGATTGCATTTTTCGCTGCCGTCAATCATCTTAACACACCTCTTAGGAAACAAGACTTTACTTAAACGGGTTCAAAAATAATGTATTTATCATGGGTTATGGAACCTTTTCTTTGGGGTGTTACATGGTATGCGGTTCTGTTGCTTCATTAGCGGTAGGCTATATAATTATATTTGAGTTGTTCTCATTTATATTCATTCGCGTCTTACGACCGTCCCTACGCCCTCAAAATTAAATACCTCGGCAGTGATCAGGGGTTTCTCTTAGACGTAGTTTTTTGCATGCTGCTATATGAAAGGTTTAGCACGTTTTGTATGTTTACTGAATGATTGTTATACGAGCATAGTTTAGATCATTTTGTTGGGTTGTTTTTCTTGCTGTAATTTTTTACATTTCCGATATTTCATTCTGTTTATTGTATTATTTCCATCCATTCTGTTGATGAAGGCATAATAAAGAGGGTCGCACACGGCTCGTGTTGACACACCCCAATTGAGGTTGCTTGTTACATGATAAATGTTTTATATTCGTTTGAGCGGGGTAGCGAATTAGAATATAAAGGTCATGGTTTGTGATTTGTGATTGGTGGATTTTGATCCGTTTTGTGTGTTTCTGTCTTTCAAGGTTCGTTGCTTATGATCGTAATTATTATTGACGGCAGCCAAAAACGCAATTGTGGAGGCAGCATTATGAACTTTAGAGTTTGCATGTTTGTGAAAAGCCCAGTAATACTGGTATTAAAACATACTTGATTGTCTGATGGAAGGATACAATGAGCAGAACATTTTGTTCCTGAAGAAGTGGATTCTTAGTAATGATGATAACATGTGGAATAAAAATATTATCATATGTATTTCACATAGTTTTAATTGCAAATTTTTAATTTCTCTTGTTCTCAAGCAACAGAGTACTGTAGTCAGAATAAATTAATGTGTGCCAAAAACTGGTCGAAAAAATTTTATCTAGCAAACTGGCAGAAGTCACTTAAGAATTAATGGGGCTTTCTTTCCAACCACCCCTTCAATAAGTAATGAAGCATTTTCATATATTTTTGGATATAAAGGAGCAGTTATAAATTTTTACTGCTGCATCCTAAAAAATTTTGCTGCCAATACATGGAGACATATTTAAACTACTGAAAAATTAATGATTATATTTAACTTACTAATTACTGAATACATTATTACCACAATAGGGAAGAGCTGTTCAAACAGCCCTATCATTAGATGAAGGCCTGAGACAAGTTGTTCGTCTTCAATATATTGATCAAGTCAGTCCTGAGTATGACAACAGCTTGGTTCACTTAACAGGAAGTTTACAAACAGACAGAGTAAGTTCCACTCTTGGATCCTAATCTAAAGCCCCAGGTTTCCTGTACAATTATTTATTGTTGCAACTACTGAAAAAAGTCCAGTGATGAAAACAATACATTTTATTTTTTAATATTGATCGTGAAAACAATTATGCATTATGATACTTGTAGAACTGCTGGTGCTAATAATAATTAATATTATTATTGTTGAAGATCGAGTTGTTTCCGTAGTGAATCTTGACAAAAACGGAGCTCACAACATTTCTGAAAACAAGTTTGATTGGGTCTTAATTATAAAATTCATTATTGGTATAGTAACCCTTAAGCTACCTGTTTTAAACATGCTTGGGAAACTAGAAGTTCATGCCTATCATTCATCATCAAACTTAACTAACTGAGGTGTTGTTTTGTTAGCCTCTAAGTGATGAACAATACGGCATTGCTGTCAGGGCTGTGAAGCTAAGAAGAAAGGTTGAAATGTATCAGTGGGTGGAGCATAAAAAGACTCGGTAAAGTATTAGAACTTTTAAGTGTGTGAAAAATTAGAGAGTCATTAGTATTGCTCATAGAGAGGGATTAATGTGCATAGTACATATGGGTTTGTAACCAGGGGGATTTGCTGATATTATACATTAATTCAAGGGCTTGATCAAAAACTGCAAAAACATAAGTGATGATTTTGCTGAAATACAAAGTTGTTTAAAAATCACTGAATTTTCATGAATGATCATTTTCCCTGTATTACAAAACAAGCTTCTGCTTTTTTTGATACAATGGATTCCTGATCAGTATTAGGGCTATTGATCGAAGCAATATTATTTAGTGTGGTTTTACTTATCTTTGACTTTTAATATTTCCTCATAATTTAATTATGCATTGATTCACTTCACTCACTTACTTCATCCAATTGATTTTTTTTAGAGAATATGACGAGGGAGGAAAAACAAGAGTAGAAACAACTTTTTCTTACTGTAAGTAAATAAATAAATAAATAAATAAAAAAGTGATCTATACATAATTCCACTATTTTTTTTTTGTATGCCGTTATATTTTCCTTTGAGATAACATAGTCATTGAGTAGTATACTAACGTGTGTACGGATATCATCACTTATTTTACAAGGGGGTGAAGCATTGCCCCCAGTTACTTTTGGGCAGGAGAAATGACACTGATAAATATGTCTGTGCTAGTCCTTCTATTTTTACTGTACATGCATAATATACATGTACAGTAAAAAATAAAAGGACCAGCACAGACATATTATGTTACAGGTCAAAATTAAATCCTTGAAATATATGGTTATTGTAGCAATGGAGTGGAAAGACCATATTGTTAGAAGTGGTGAGTTTGATAATCCATCAGGACATCAAAACCCTCACAGCATGCCGGTGGAATCTTATACAATTAAATCAGACCCAGTCAAGGTTGGAGCGTTCATTTTGTCAAAAGGTAAAGTACAGTATCATATGTGAATAAATCTTCTTTTCTTTTAATGAAGAAGCCTAACCGTATAAACCTTGAAATATAAAGAAGATTATCACAGTTGAAGAATGTTACAACATGCAATTTAAGCAGTTGAGGAAAGAATACCTGAAAAAAGTCAGGCTTGTCAGGATTTGAACCTGGACCTCTGCGATCCTGGTACAGCACTCTAACCAATTACGCTGTAGCAAAAGCATGCCTGCACTTCCACCAAATATTAAAAAAGTTTGAGGTCATGCCATTTCTTGATAACTTTTTTTGTTATTATTTTATTCTTTTGACTTCCTTTTTATTTATTTCTCATTCTCTTTTAGGCCTTGTTGAAAAAATAAATGAGTTTCACCCGCTTGCTCCAAGAGATTTGGTCAAAAGAGGACGAAAAATGTACATTCATGATGGAATGTTTTATCATGCAAAGGATCAGTTTTATCCTGTGGTAAGAAATGTCAAGCAGCCATCTCAGCTCAGGTTTTCATACAAGAATGCTCTCATAACCTGCAACACATTGTTAGATGACCAGGACGTAATTGAACTGTCTGTCTGCTACAACAATGTCATTTTTCCAATACATTGTACAGGCATTGAGAAAAATTACTCCCAGAAAATATTAATGCCATTAACACTACACTGGATGACTCTTCAGGGTGTTGTAGGTACAATATGTTGGAACCGTTGAAACTATAAAGATCCAAATAAATGAGCAACTCAGCCTTACATGTAGTGAAAAAATTATTTTATTAATGAAAAGACTTGATATACAGCTTTTTTGTTCTGACTCTTGAGTTTTTTTTCTTTAAAAGTGTTTCACTGCTATGCAAATAACTAATGATTTATATTATTTCTAATATACCTATTTTGTTGTTGTTATTGTTTAGGTTGGCGATGTGCGGGTGCAGTTTTCTTATGCTGGACTGAGTGGAAAACCTGGCTCGGGACTAGGCGACCCACTGAAGGTAGAGAAAAAATCTCAAGAGTAATCAATAATTAAACTACTCCCTCTTATAAGAAAACAAGCAACTACACGTAAAACTTGCACATGCTTACAGAACCTAGAAAAAAAATGATTGTTTCTGTTTTTCTAACAGGTCAGTATTGTTGCCCGACAGCAAGGAGGAGCACTGTCCCAGTATAACACAGAATCTGGGGATACACTGGAGTTTCTCTACCCTGGAGAAATGAGTGCAGAGGTAAATAAAAATGTTTTCAAACAACAACACATATCTACACCTGAATGTACTTTCTTCTTTTGGACTTAATTGTCATACCAGAACAGGTTTCAAAAATAGGCCTGGCAATTTCAAATCATCTATTAACAGTTTAATTAAACCAATGAGAAGTTGGCCAAATTTTGGTATTTTCATTCTCCACCTTAAAGTTTTTTTTGTTTGTTTGTTTTCTGAATTGCAGGAGATTTTTGATGCCGAGCATTCTGCCAATACTCTTCTCACTTGGGCCCTGAGGGGAGTAGGTTGGGTCTTGATGTTTATCGGATTTCAAATGATGACAAGCATTCTTACTTTGTTGAGTAAGTAAAACCATAAACATTAAGTTAAGACAGTCATTGTAGACAAATGCAGTCAGGTAAAGGAACAGTAGGCCCTAGCTATAGCCCTAAAACAAGGGCTTCTTGCTAGGAAAAACAAAAGAAATCAGAGGTTTCAAAGACCTGACAGCAGCTATGTGTTAGAAATTTTAAAAACATGCTTTGTTTTATTTTCCAGTCTCTTGGGTGCCAATTGTCCGTGAGCTTGTGGGCCTGGGTTTGACCATACTATGCCTGTGTCTCGCCACCTCGTTGTCATTGGTTACCATAGCAGTTGGCTGGATCGCTCACCGGCCACTTCTAGGCATGACATTATTGGCAGCAGCTGCTGTGCCCATACTGATATCTAGACAACGGAGGCAGAATACTTATGACCGCGACAGATGAACACGGAGCTTTCAATATTAACATTAGGACGATCATAGTTCTATGGTATCATTGGTTGCTATTAAGGTGAATTTTTAACAGATCTCTATGTATATGGGAGAACATTGCTCTGCAGAGATTGCACTTTACACACTGAGGGTCCAATGGCACAGAGTTTTCACAGGCTGCTCTAATCTTAGACATGTTTTAGATCCATTCTCCAGTCAAAATGTAAGTTACAGAGAAAGGAAAGCAGTGGAACTCTTGTGGAAGTCTCAGTTCCCTGAATTGTCAAACTAGACTGGTCTAACCTAAATTTGACGTGACTTTGGCAGTTACACATGTCGAGCATTGGCTTCTGTATAAACTATAAAATTAATGTATTTTATAAGGTAGATAATAATCCACACATGGGCTTATTTCCTGAAGAGGGACTGGTTATTAGGCTAGATTCAATGCAACTATTAAGATGCCTAAAACTTGAATAGTTTGTTACTATAGGTGGCAAGCATTAATTTCAAAATTACATGGAGTGGCATACAAAGGGGAGCTCAAAGATTTTTACCTGAAATTTATTTACAATATAATGTACAAAGCAACTAAAAGAAACAACTGCCTAGTTTTTTACTTAATATGTAGTATTTTGAAACAGAATGATAACCTGCTCACTTGTACTTTATATAATACAATGGTTTAAGTATAATAATAATAATATTATGCCATGCTAAGAATAGCCATTTGAAGCAGGACTCTAGTGAAACTTGGTTTCAGACGTCAAATTTAATTCAGCTGAATAATACAAAAATAGAGGACAGGGCGCAAAGAAAATCATTTGACTTACAGCTTGCCATTCGGGCAAGCTGAAGCTAGCATTTACTAGCCCAGGCATCATTTCAACTGGTCCCAAAAACTTTTTGACCAGCAGAATTGATTTGACAGTTCTTCTGTTATTCAAATTCCTTAAAAAAACATCACTTGCTCATTGGGCAAGTTAAAAACAGAACTCACTAGCTCGATAGCAAAATCCACTAGCCCCGGCTACTGGACACTACTTTCTTTGCACGCTGGAGGATCAGTTTGGTGTGTTTTTAAAATGTACAATGTATTTTTAATTCATTTGTAATTTGAAAATTGAGTCCAGCATGGCAGTAGCATGACATTAGAAATCAATTTAACTATGCTGAATTTAATTCATTCAACTGAGTTTGGCACAGAAGTAGCACAAAATTAAAGGAAACAGGCCAAAGCATCAATTCTTTGTTGCTTTTTTCTTAGCACAATTATCAAACTATTAGGGAGCTTAAGCAGCCATGACCGAGACAAGAACACCGTCAAAAAACAATAATAAATTGTTGGTTTTATGAGCTAAAACAACAGCTCTGCACATGCATCACACTTTTTAGTACACTTTGACATCCACTGCATGACCACAACGTTTTATGGAGGACGTAAACATACAACAATGAATTTCCTTTCTCTCTTTGAACCTGGATAAAGTCCAGGAAAATAGCTACAATTTGACAAACTGAGTGGGTCCAAATAGACAGAATAAAGTTTAAAAGGATGCAAGTTCAATGATTTTCTGTTAGCAACATATTTTTCACTGTCGTCGTTGTTGCTTAAGCTCCCATTAACGTAATGATATAGTATCTTTGTTATGTGACTGGACTATACTCCCTGATGTCACGTATCCAATTTGCAGATGTCCTCATAAGGAATTCTATCAATTCTCTTGCCCCTGTGAGGTCCCTGAGGAAACACAATAACAAAAGGCATTGTGTAACCTACTATCAGTAGTGAATTCAACACTCAGTTAGTAATATTGCTGTTCTGGTCGTGGTTCAATTTTATTGTCTTCTGTTTCAGACTCATTACTATATCCAAAAACAAAGGAAAATAACATTTAAAGGTGCGGGAGGGGGTTGGGGGAGCGGGGGAGTGGACGGAAGCAGCAGCCTTGAATCCAGTCTAGCCACTTCAAAGGAAGAGAAATGTGGAGTAGAAAATGGAGATGAGTTAATTTACCTCACCATATTTAACTTGGGAGATGAAACTTAATAATATTAAAAAGAAAATATTTTATTCTAGTCAGTGTGTTCATTTCATGAAACATATTGTGTTAGAACATAAGATTTATCTGAGGAGATTCTTCAAGGTTTTATAACATTTATTTGAATTAAACGTCAGTAATAAAAAACAACTTGATCTTTGAAGCACCTTTGACTGTCATTAGCTAAAGAGTCCAGTGTCTAGGAGACAATTAAGGAAAGGGAAATCAGGTAAGGAGCAGGCGAGAGGCCTTGCATTATCACGCAGTGATTTTCCTCTCCTCTCCTCCACTCTTTGCAGGCCAAGATGACATAAGGAAAGCGTAATTTCATCATTCTATCTTGCAAGGAAGGGAAGTCTTGTTAACAGGAGACAAATCTGACTTACATCTTTAAGATCCACTGTAACTGAAAAGCTTTTTTCATCCAGTGATACAAGTGATGCTTTTGATCCTCTGTGGATGCCATTTACAATCAGTACAGTTTTACCTGAAAATCCATTCACAAGTTTTGCTAGTAAGCACTTCGTTACAAGTTGTGACAATTTGCGTCTCTCAAGATTTCATAGAAAAATAAATCAGTATACATTCTTACAGTACATCCTTTAAAGCATAGTTTGCTTTGAAGAAAATTGTGACTCAAGTTACTCTTTCACCTGTACTGACTCATAAGCTGTCTTGGAGTGAATCTACATTGTATGATGGACCAGGAATAACATTGAAAATTTCACTACCACTCTAGCTGTAGCCTGACTCCTCTCCTTTAAAATCAAAGCAAGATAATCCTAGTAAAAGCAGGTTTTGTGCAAGCCTTGGAGAATTCTAGGACAGCAATCAAAATGATTTTTTCATAGTGAACCAGTCTAGGCTCTTAAAAGTAGAGCACTATAATTATTAAGCCTGAGAAAAAAGGCGCCATTTTGCAATGTCATCACCAATAATTTCATTGCAAAATGACATCTGAGGGATGAGTGTGGAAATCCCATACTGACGATCATTTCCCAAATCTGGGTAGTGCTCCTGATTGGTCGTGCCACATGGGAAATTTGCTTTAACCAGTCAGAAGTACACTGTACTACCCAGATCTGGTTTAATAGTGACACAACGTCAATATTGAATTTCTGGAGTCATTCGCAAAATGTCAGCTTGTTTTTTTAATGCTACACTAGTGTATTATAATTCACACTTACCAAAAGCTGGGATAACTGTTTCTAGGTGATCCTGATCAACTTTAATCACATCTCCACTATCTGACATCTTTACAACAGCGACGAATAAGTTCTGAATATCCTGCGATTAAAAAAACGAAACATAATAATACACGACATTAATATTAATTCTGTCCTGTCCTCAGAAAGTGTTTTTCATTTCTTTCTTTTTATGGACAATAATCCATTTAAGAAGTAGGAGCCCCAAAATGTTTCTCAGAATCTCCTTCTTGGAACCCAAGATTCAGGAATCTAATGAACAAAAGTGAGTGCAAGATTGGGTATTTGCATTTGGGGGTAGGATGGGACGGGGGATCTTCACTGTAGTGACTTAATGAAGAGGGAAAAGAGAAGGAAAATTGTGGCTTTGTTTTATTTCATCTACGTGTGTTTCTTTTTAAACCAAACACATACCTTGACTGTTCCTTTCTTTTTGTAGTATTTATCACCAAGTTTTTTGGTTACAACTTTGACTATAAGTCCCTGTAAAGGAAGGAATAACAGCTAAGAAGGCACTTAATTAAAACAAAATATCCTCAGTGCTTCAGATTCAGATGAGGTATAAAAAATCAAACTCAAGTGTGCTGAAAACTGTACTGAAATCGGATGTGGCAAAAATTAATGCATTTGGAAGTCTGGAAAAACAAAACAGCACAAATAGTTTGCAATCTTAATCTGATGGAAAAAAATTTCTACCTTGAAATTCCCAAGGGAGGGGAAGGTGGGGGATTGGGGGTTTGAGTCTCTAGGGTACCTTTGCTATCCAGTTACTTTTGCGGCTGGCTTTCATCTTTTCCTGTTCTTGCATCTGTCGAGAAAAAAAAACTGTGATTATTATTATTATTATAATTATTACAAAAAGAGTGCTTGAAAGAAAGATTGTTTTATTAATGTAAAATATTAGTGGCATTCCTGATCGTAATAACTAAAACGAAGTTATTGTCAGTAATAGCAAATCAAAAGTCAGATGACCAAACAAAAACACTCACTTCCATGATTTCTTCCAAAGCTGATTTTCGTTTTAAACTGCAGAAAGAATTACAGTAGAGCAATCATGCATCTGAATGGGAAATTTTTTCACTTACTGATACTTTATTTCATGTTTTTCAACATTATGGAGTGAAATTTAAGAATTGGCAAGAATTGACTAGTGAGAGAAAAGCTAGGGAGCCAATACTAGGTACCTTTCTTTTGTTTTCTCTTTATCCATTTTCTTCTCCTTTTGTGAAGAGCTTAGAGAGGCTAAGGGATTCTGTAGAGATGAAGGATTTGACTCATCTATTCTGAAATTTAACCAAAAGGAAAGTTTGATGATATGTTTGTTAACTGTTTGTCTCACTGTGGGAATTGTCCTTTTACGCAGCAGAGCATGGGCCGGAAAATAAGATTGGAAAGTACTATGGATAATCAGTGAATATTTCCCATGGTTTATCATTAGGATAGGAACTGGGTAATGAGGGATACATGGGCCCCACACTAAAACCGTAAAAAGAAAAAAGAAAATCCTGCAATATTGCAGCCAAGAATAAGCCATGCTCGCTCCCCAAGTTTTCTCTTCTGAAAAGGTAACCAACCCTAGCAGATCTTTTGCATAATATCCATAGATGGTTTTGAAAGGAAGAAAACAACAAAAGAAGAGTCAGTTTAAAGTGCTGTGAGCAGCAGGGTGTGGGTCTTGAGATACACCCCCATAAAAATGATCATGGTCGTCATGGCAAAAATGGGGGCACTATTAATGTCCTTGATGTTCCCTAAAAAGGGTTTCAAGACTAAAATGGATGGAGTTGAACAATAACATTGTATCATTGTCAACTTCTTTGAGATAACATTTCATGACACCATCAGTGGTAACCCCCTTGAAATGAGCTCTGAGGAATGAGCATAGAATTTCCATACTGATGATCGGGATGTGCCAACAAGGCAGGTCTGGGTAGTACTCCTGAATAGTTGAAGCAAATTTTCAACCAATCAGGAAGCATGTGCACTACCCAGAGCTGGGTAGCTTTGACACATCATTAGTATGGACTTTCTGCAGTCTTTCATCAGATACATGTCATTTTGTAGGGAAACCAGTGTGGTATTGCAAACTTTTGGCTGTTTTCTTAGGCTAACATTACTTTTTTAAAACTCTTTGTGATTCATCTCAAATATTCACATTCATTTTACAAATAAATTAATAATTGGATGAGCATAACAAAACAGCCTAACAATAATATTATTTACACACACCTGCTAGGTCCAGGTAAAGGTTCTTTCTTTTTACCAGCTGGCATAGCAAAGGTTACTAGAAAGAGCATAACAATTGCATGTTTAATACCATTTTCTTTATTAATTTTAATTTGTTAAATATTCACTAAAGAAATTCTTATATCCCCCCTACAATGTAGTGGTTTATGTCTAAATGGGTTTCATATCTAAATCTACAGTCAACAACAAAACAAATAATTAGTTGAGACACTATAATTACATCCTCAGCTTTTCTTGCATTTTGCAGACTATTCCACTTCAAACAGGAAAAGAGCAACTCTTCCCTCCCCCCCAGGATGCAAAAACAAATTATTCAAAAGTGATTGAGGGGTGGGGGAGGGTTTCAGATTGTTTTTCCCAAACTTTACCCTATTGACAAAAGTGATTAAACTATTTTGTTGCTGATTGTGACCTAAATCTCAAAAAATAGAGATCTTCCTTTACAAACCTTTTTCCTCTTCATTTTCACGTTTTAGTGCAGTAAAAACACTCTCAGCCTGGAAAGAAAAAACTTTTACATCACTACTCCCCACATAGTCTACATATATATATATATATGTTACACTAGTGATAGTGACACCTAAGCAGTGTTACTAGTGATGAAAAACCCTAGCTGTGTTTGCAGGGGAATATTGACAGGCCTGTGTCTACAACTGAAGACATGGACAATAGGAAGATTAAGCAATAGACAAGACAATAGATCTAGACAACATAGCAAAAATTAAAGAAAAAAAATCACCTCATTGACTTTTCTTGCTTTCTCCCTCTCAATTTGCCTTTCAAGTTGCTTGGCTAATACAAACAAAAATAACAATTACATCATTGATCCTAATATAAGGTCATGTATAACACTAATTAGAGAGATTTTGAGATAAGAAAGACAACAGAAAAACCAACAACACTAAATCAAATCAACATCAGCGACAACAATAAAAATCAATAAAAACCAAGTTCATCTTACACATACAAAAAAAAATTTCTTACCATGTCTTTCCTCATCATCCATATCCATTTTTTCCTTTGCTGCAGCCGCCTAATTTAAAAAAACAAATCATTTTATCTACATTTAAAGGCAAAGCAAAAGTTCATAGACAGTGTGATGAGCTGAAGGGAAACATAAGTGCTCTAAAAGAATGTTGGAATAAAGCTCTCCAACATGTTACAACAATAAATACCTTATTAATAATAATTGTTTGCCCTCTCCACTGTGAAATACCACGTGACATTGCTTTTATCCCATCAATCAAAAATTTATAAGTGTGTGTGCAAATATCTGGCAGCTATAGTGAATAAGGTCTATTAAATAAACATAACTTTAACTACCAAATGCTGCATGATCACAACTTTTCTTACCTTTTGTCTTTCAATAGTTTCAGGATCTCTGTCAATATAAGCTATAAACCATCCCTTCTCTGTCTCATCCACCTTGCAATGTCCTGTGCATACAAAGGCAGTAAGAGACTCAGGGACAGTACATATACCTTCTTCAGGGTTCATACTCTTTTGAGCCCTTCAAATTCCATAGCTTTCTATGACTTTTTCCATGACCTCTTTAAGTTTTCCATGACCCTCGGCTTAGTTTTTATTTCAAAAATTTACAAAACTTTCTTTGTTTTAGCACATTTTTTGACCTTAAACAGTTCAACAGAAACAAATGACTCTAATGATAATATAACTAATATAAATAATATAATCTACCAAACAAAACTTTGATTTTCCATGACTTTCTTGCACCGATAATTAAATTCCATGACCTTCCAGGCCTGGAAAATGAAATTCTTAAATTCCATGACTTTCTACATTTTCCATGATCTGCACAAACCCTGTTCCTATATAAAAAACTTAAAACATGCCATTAATTACCTTCTTTTCCGAGCCACTTTACAAAGTCAGTTAGAGTTTCCCACTGTACAAGAACAATAATAAATATACGCCATTATTAAGAGTCAGTGTTCATGTCTAGAGTAGACCATCAGATAGGTGCAATAAAAAAGGGCTTCAGTGAATCTAGATCAAATGTCAAATTCTCCTTTGTGAGACAAGTAATTGGAAGGAGAGTCTTGCAGTTTATCAGTAGTCACTTGGAGTGTTTTTACCAGGCATGCCTTTAATTAATCCAATAAGCAAATAATACTGACCTGTGTTGAATTCATATGAGTGTGATGTCTATCACTGATGTAATCCTGATAAACTTGATTTGCACGCACCCTGCGAGTCCCTGAAAAACAAGAGATTGACAGTAAGCCAAAACACCAACATGACCAGTCTAAGTTAACTTCAGATGACTTAGTCAATGCTTATTAACGAAAACCTTGAACGTTTCAGTAAGTAGGGTTAGCAAAAAACAATATATTAACTTGGTGCTGTTCAAGCCAAATTACATGCATCCTAATCTCTGGCTAATCCAAGACTATCTGCATATTTGTAATGTTAATAAAAATAACCAGTCACATACCAAACTGTCTCTTAAGAAGTTTCAGAAATTCGTCTTGAAATTCTCTGAAAGATAAAAACTGGATAATGGGTGACACGATACATACAGCGTTTATAACTTCTGCCACTTATAAGCCCAAGGCTTTTTCATCTGTACATCGTCATAAGGTGTTTAAGGAGGGCTTATCAATGGAGGGGCTCATATGTGAGGAAGATTACAACAGGAGAGCCAAAAAGGCTTTGAATCAATCTAGAGTGGTACTGATTATAATGTGTTTTGGATTTAGTGGATTTTAATTAAGCATTTCAACTGAAATAAATCAATTAATTTCAATACAAGCTAGATTAGAGGAGATCTTATATCCAGGGGGCTTATAATTTGATGTAATTTTTATTTACAGGTATAGATGGACCTATAACCAGAGGGGGGGAGGCATGGGGTTATAAGTGGCAGTTTATGATACAGTGTACACAAACTTCCTTTAAAACAAATATAAGCTGAGGGCACATTTTCTGAGTAACACTTTGCTGGACCTACCTGGAGAAACTATCCATGTACTTATCAACATCTTCAGCTAACAACAGCAGCTGACGCTGGTGTGACTCGGACATGGTGTGACATTTGAAGCCATTCTGATCATTCCAAAAGAATGAGAAAAAGAGCTTTATAATACGATTGCAATACATAAAGCACTGACAAAAGTGAAGAAGCAACAAACTCTAAACTGACTTAACAGTGACACTTGAGATAAGAAAATTATACCTGCAAAGCACTGAATCAAATGCACCGTCTCCCTTAAAAAGCTATAAGAAGTGACATGAATCTGGGGGGGGGGGAAGGGAAAGGAAATTTCCTTGATGCTCATCATTTTGTTTCAGGGTGTAAATTGCACATTTTTGAATTAATAAGGGTGTTCAGATTAACATGCCAATATTGCATAGAGCCCTCAGGTCAAAATGCCAGTAGTCTTAAGCACACTGTACACTGCACACTGTGTGTGTGTGTGTGCTTCCCAGGGGGGGCACTTTAGGAATTTCTGGGTGGGGATGTGCCGCTGGGACCCTGGAACCCTTGACCTATACCAGAGCTAGTTCAGCTGAATTTTGCTACCCTACACTAGAGTAAACTCCCAAATCCCCCTATCCTAGAGTAACTGTTTCCCCAGTCTAGATAAAATCTTCAACCAACTGATCAGTTTCCCGAAGAATGATACCCTATTCTAGACCCAAACGCTCTGATTTATATACCCTATCCTAGAGTAAACTGCTTGAAAACCATACCCTTCACAGCGGTACATACCCATATAGCCCATATATGGTAGTACCCCCGGGGTGTGCTTTAAGCATTACAAAAAGCAGAAGAAAAAAAAGGAACATTTCAATGACAACTTCTTTATGGGGTCATTAAAAAATCCTATTTAAATTAATTCTAATTTTTCAACAAGCCTTAATTCCTGCCTTTTTCTTAAAGGGTCCCCCGGGTGTTCAGCAGATGCACATAAAAAGATAAGTGATTGAGGTCTAATCGAAGTTTAAGCTGAGTAACTGCTTGATTGTTTCAATTCCACACAGCACTACTCTACACCATTTCACCCATCCATTTTACGACTCGTACTTTATTCATGCTGGTGTTTGATTTATAACGAATAAGAACAAGAGGAAAAATTGCACAAGAAAGCTGTTATGTGTGGAGAGTTTGCGGAATTTTAGACGGAAGCTTTCAATTTTAATATTCAAACAATGTAAGCTTCACTTATACCTCGTCTCGACATTGTTTTTGGCACATTTGACAATACCATCTCAACTTCTGCAGTCCTTTCGCCTTGATCCTATTTGATATGGCTTTTGGAGTTAACGCTCCTGCCTTTTCTTTTCCCATGCTGAAGGTGCAGATCAAGGACGATGAGTAGTACGATGTTCAAGATGTTCACCGTCCGCCATTGTAGGACCAGAATTCAACGCGAGCGTTGCTAGTGCCAGTTTCCTCGCCATTAAGGACCTTACAAAACTAGACTACGTACGACGGCGACGGCGACGGCGACGGGAACGTCAAAAAGCAATGGGTTTAATGAGCAAAACAACAACTTTGCACATGCATCACGCTTTTTTGTACATTTTTTTTGCCATCCCTGCACAACTACGACGTGAAATGGCCAGATTTTACGTTCACTTGAGAACGGGAATACCCAAAGTGCCAGAGGCTTTTCCTGCGCGGTTTCCGCTTTCGGTCAAGTCTTTAAAAGTGGCCCACGCGAAAAGCTTCGCCGCTCATGTCTTCGGCCTTCGGCCGACGAAACGAAGCTCCCCGACGCACGCGAGAAAAAAGCCTCAGGTACCCAGTGTAGAACGGGAACGGCAAGGCTATAAATTCTAGCATCTCCGTCCCGGGCGCCGTCCCCTCTCTTCAGCTCCAACATAAATTCCCTTCTTTTCAGTATCTGGGCGACTTGGTATAATCGCGGAAAAGTTAAAGGATGCGAAGTCTATTTTTCGACGATCGATGTTTTCATGGACGTCACCGTTGTCGATCGTTAGGTCCCTATTATTCGGCGCGCTCCGCAGGTACCCCAAGCTCACGAGTGAGAACAGAAATATCAGTAACGGTTTGAATGGGGATTTTAGCGATCGTTATTTATGGGTCAAAGAAAAGCAAGAAAATGCATTAGAATATCTTAACTTGTCTGCTTGTTTTATTCATATTGTGTTCTTAGCATTTTTGGTTGTTTCAGCGCGGACAGGGTCAAAATAGTTAAGAACTCACAAAACAAGGACTGGACAGGTAAAGATGTTATTATGTATATGCTATTATTGATACTTTTATGCCCTAAACAATGAGCGCAAAAAATTCCCATACTTAGTCTGCGAAAGCGGACGTATTAACGTCATGGAAATCGTTTGGCTGCTCCAGGTTCGCAGACGTTACTTTTCTGGTGGAGAGAAGCGACGACCGGAAATACGTATGCGTTTGCAGGTTACCCCATACAAAGCCTTATACAGTAATATTTCTGTTATCCAACAACGATTCTTACTCGTGAGCTTGGGGTGCCTGTAATTCTTCTTGTCAGGGTTCAGTGATTATCGTTCGATCTGGGTGTGGCCGTATGAGTGAAGAGAGCTGTAGAGAATCTGAAGGTAAGGCAGGAGAGAGGGTAAGAGTAATACATGTACACGGAAATGAGAGTAGTTGCAGGAGCCCATAATCCGGAGCGAGTAACTCGATACCAGGCCTATGTCATGGGAGTCACAGCGCTTTTACGGACCAGTTTATTTTTAGACACATTTTAGAGCTTTTAGGTCACGGCTTCCCCCGCGAAAATAGATTCTTCACCATGTCTATGAGCGCATTCGCAATACAAGACATCAAAAAAGAAAACTAAACGTTATTAAAAGGCAAAAAATATGATTTTTAGGTCTGAAGGTCTAGCTGACTGGTTTGTGGGATTTAAAAGACATTCTAAATTCTCGCTAAAACCGTTCTAAAAATAAACTGGTCCGTGAAAATGCCGTGAGACGAGCGCATGGAAGTTGTTCTCTCCGGGTTATGGTCTCCTGTTGCTCCATGTTGAGGCGAGACTTTAAAAGAGCAGAGAGGTTTGCCATTGTTACAAGGCGATTTAAAAGTAGAATACCGTGTCTCAATGAACGATTCACCGACAGGAGCTAATGCTAAAAGGTTGAATGAAAACATCTTCGTCACCACGTCATTTTATTCTTTTTCTTTTTTGCGGTTTTTTAACTGTTTACACACACTAGGGAATGGTTTAACTGATGAAATTATTTACTTAGGCAAATACAAAACATTTCGTGATGTAAATATCTTTATTTTCTTGAGTAAATTAGTTTTCTCGCTTTTAATGAATCTGCGTGGCGCTGTGTCTGAAACTCTAGCGGAAAACGTGAAAGGTAAAATTTATAGAACTGATATGGCAATTTAACTCAGGCTATTTCGCAACTGGGCCAGCGCTGAAATGACCGTTTTTAAGCTTTTCAGACCAACATGTTTTTAAAAAAGTAATAAATAAAAAGAAAAAAAAAGAAAACAGAGAATCTAGCTGTAATCCACAACAAAATTAAGTTCAACTATTCGGAGTACTCGTAAGTTACATCCCAAGGAATTCAATCTGGGAAACAAGAAATAGTAAAAAGTGTGACTAACTAAAAAACTTGACAGAACCACTCCTCACCAAGCAACAAAGATGCAAGCTACAAAGGTAGTTTTTCCCGCTATAATCGTGTATAATAATTCCATTGCACGAAAAACTGTCGCATATAAATCTAGTTCGTATTTTAAAAACGTTACCGCCAACTAGTTCTTCAGCTAGATGGTTTTTATTTTCGTTCAATAAAATATAACTAGCTCCAATGTAGCAATATGATACCTTAAGGAGTGCAATTATTGCTTTTTTTTTCCTCGATCCTCTATTATTATTATTCTCCTCGCTCTTTTTATTTTGCCTTTCATTTTTTTTCTCTAGTGTGATTTTCAGGCTTCTTGGACGCAAAAACCTGCAGTTTTGGCCCTTTTCCGCCAAATCAAATGACTGCAAACTGAATTCACTAGGTTCGTTCAATCAAAGATCCAGCTACAAATATTTAGTCAATTTAATTTGAACTTGACGTACAGCTATTCAAACTTAAAAACTGTGTTTAACTGCTTGAATCCTGTGACAGTTTAGTAAAATGGGAGAACTGCCGACTTCGGTTTGGGCTTGTACAGCAAAACACCCCCCCTCCCCCCGCCTCGATAAAACAGTCCTACTTTCTGCTCCAAGAAAAAAAAAGTTGGTTAAAAGTAAAAAAATCCTGGTGCTTTTCAAAAATTTGCGTTCGAAGGGTTGCGTGACTCAAGCTTTTATTGCAGCAACTAAATGTTAAAAATAAATATTACTTGTCTTCAATGTATTTTTAATTACCAAAATTTCTGCAGTGATAACTGAGGTCCAAAACGAGATCGATGGTTCATTTAAGCCGTGTTTCAAAAGGACTAAAACAATGTTTCACTTAGTAATCTACGTCATTGACACCTTTTTACTCATAAAACATGGACGAAGAAATCCCTAATTCAGTTACAGCACACGCAAGCTCCATTAGCATCAGTAGTTTCGTTAGCAAAGCTAAAAAGGTGTTTCATTTTTAATTGCACAATATATGCCCAGCCTTCGTGTTAAATCAAATGTTTGTACAAACATTATTTGTACACATAAGTCATGTAAACACTACATCCCCAAAAGCACAAATACCTTTTTATTGAACCCTGATAGCGTATTTCTCGCCTCGCCACCTTACACAGGTTGGACGAAATGAGAACGCATATCTTGAGTTGCAAAATGCCACTCGTTTTAATCGTCTCCGTAATCTTACTTCAAACTTCAGTAATACGAAGGTAAGAATAGATCATTTGAAAGCGATTTTGTTAGGATATTATCGGTCACAAAATTACGCTTTTTCTAATGCCCTCCTTTTAAGAAAAATGATTTTAGAAACGATTTTCGGTTCCCAAGTAAATTTAGAATTGAAAATTTTCGTAATTAGATTGAATTCCCTTGAAAAACACTGACTCAACCCTTTCCTCTCCTGGACATCCTTTACATCTCCTTGAAACGGACACCTAGAGTTTTTCCGGCCAGCCTTGAGCCTGCTTTTTTTTTTTTGTTGTTTGCCTTTTTTGGACTCTAAGAGGAGGTCATCTTGTTAAAACTGACACTTAGTGTTTTCAGTGAAATCTTTGTTAGAATGATTTTGAACGCATTGATGTATTTCAATACAATGAAAATTGTCAATCCCTAATATACGCTACTTTTTTGTATATTTTTCAGGATAGGTTGAGCTTCCAATTTTTTAAATAATAATTATATTAATGTCCGGTCACACCTGTTTGCTTAGTTCTGGGTTCACTTATTGTTTTTTTGCTAATTTTCCCGTGTCTTTAGTGAAGAAGTTTTAGACGATGATGTGCGCATGCCCGTTGAACGGAAAACAAGAAGCATTGATGAAAACTGGCATAATACGTATCACAACCTTGATGAAGTAAGTGCGAGGGAGGAGAGAGGTTTTGTGATTCATTTGAGATAAAATGAGTAGGGCTTGTGTTTGATCGATCAGCAAAACCCTCGTGCCACAGTCTTGACCAATCAAGAGTAAAACAATCGTGCCCTTTTCGCTCGTTTTTGTCTCGTTAATCAGATGCCTCTGTCATTAAGTAGGAAGACGGTAACTAGTATAAGCAATTGCTTGGTTCATTTGATTGGTTCATTTGAATTTCTGCGCGTCGCATTCTGATTGGCCAGGAAATTACGGGATGCTTTTGCTTCAGTTTACGCACAACTTGAATGCCTACAAATTCTATTTCAATTTATCGTCAAGCCAACATAGTCTGCTAATGAGGTGAATGCGAAATAGAACGTAATTCACTACGGAGTTAAATACTTCGGTGCGGCCAGTTTTTGGTATAGTATTAGTTTTTATAATCAGCTTTGCCAGTCCCCGATAGAGGAATGGAGTGGTTCCTAACTTTTCTGATTGAATATTAAATCGTCTACAATTTTTTAAAACTATTGGCTTAAACGTTGATGAAATTAATTCGTAGGTGCAAATTCAACAAATTTTAGTTAAAGGTTAATTTGATTTTACTTCACAGATCGTGGAAAAGTTGAAAGAGATGAACCGCACGTACGACAATGCTGATTTGTTTTCGCTTGGAAAGTCCCATGAGGGAAGGCAAATGTATGCAATAAAAGTATGTACATCTTTGAACTCTAATACTCACACCTAGCTACGGATAAGGAAAATAAAATGGATTATACGTTCCTGGGAAACTTCCCACCTACCCCTCCCCTAAGCCAACATTATAACAACATGCATGCACACTTACTTCTCACTTACGGCAAAATGTTAGCTTAGGGGAGAGGTGGGTGGTAAGTTTCCCAGAAACGTATAATGGTCCAAAATAATTTCTCACCCCCTAGAGCAAGGTAATCCAAGACAGTCTTAGAATCTTATTGGTTGTTAGTAAACCCAGTAACGGCGTAACGGGTAACGGCCGAAACAGCGGCGTAAAGAGGTATATTTTCTTTCTTTTTTCCTTTAAATCCGATTTTTTCAATTCAGTGTTGAAGCAATTGAAACTCCAGCTTGTTTGAGCCATTTTGGCGAATAGCATTGGAGTTTTTCTGAGACACTGGAACTGATATTACTTGCCTCGTGAGACTGCACGAATCTGGGAGGTCAATTATTGTTACGTCGTTACCCATTACACCGTTACGAGATTTACTATGACAACCTTCCGAATCACTTGTCAGTGGATTCAATCGTTAGTGGGATTCCGGATTCCTTAGGCTAAATTCCGGATTCCAAAGCCCAGGATTCCGGATTCTACAGGCAGAATTTTTTTTTATTTTGGAATCCAGATTATCTCACACGGGGCAAAACTTTTAAAATAATTTTTTTAAAGCTGCTAAGCCTTTTATGTTAACCTGGCCATGTTGTGCTCTTCTATGATGAAAGGTTATCAGCAAGAGAGAATGAGCTAAGAGATCGAATTCCCCATACATGACCCTCTTTCCGTCATGAAAATTATTTTTGATCTATTCTTAGCTCTGTGTCATACTGCGTAGTTATTTTAAGGACGCCACCTTATTGGTCGGTTAGACTGGCGTTATCATGTAATTTTAAACTTGGCAGGTAATTTATTTCACTGCCGATGACGCAAATGCAGCAAGCGACTTGACGTGTAAACTTGGTATTACTTTCGCCGACAAGTCAAACTGAGATTTCTAGGAAGAAAATCTGGCCAGAGTAGTCAGAGTAGCTGCGGACGATCAAAAGGGTCCTGGCTTGCGGCAGTTCGCTGGAGAAGCCGTTCCGACTCGAAGGAAATAAGTCATACGCTCTTGTTATAAGATACTACAGTGTAGAAAATGACGCAAGTTAATTATAGAAGTAAGGGGTCTTTGTGAATTCTAGCTAATAATTAATCTGTCTTGAAATTCAAGATTTCAGGTAAAAAGACAGCAAACAAACCAGTGTTGTTCATGCAATGTCTGATCCACGGTAATGAATGGATAACTGGCTCCCTGTGTATGTATCTCGCTGACAAGGTAACGTGCTTTTAAGAACTAGTAATTAAAATAACATGCTTACACCCATTACCATTTTCACTGGTCGCTGTGTATTTTATACTCTTTCAATATCGAGACCACTGGTCCAAATGTTCATCAGAGATGCCAATTTTTGGTAGTGTTGTTGGTTAACAAACTATAGTTTGTAGCAGACCCAAACGTTAGAGCTTTCTAATACAAGCTTGAGTACAATAGGACTTTTTCAAAAATACCATAATAATCTTTGTTGTCCCTCCAAAATTTTGCATAAGCATTGTCTTCAATTTCTCTTGGTCAGGGTTGGGGAGTAGGCCGAGCTGGAAGTGACTGTGAAAGACGACTGGGGACGAGTCAGTGGCAGCCCGTAATGCAAAGCGCTCGATCTGGACGATCTTACGGGAAAATAGGGGAGTCTAGTCTCAAAGATCACGTGCAAAGAATCTAAGAAAAGCGTGAACCTCCTTTAACAATTTATGCACTGTTTTTACGTGACGTCAAAGCGGCGGCCATAATGGTCTCCGAAATTAATATCAATCTTGCCGGATCTGTGGAAGTTAAACTTATCTTTTGTTCTGTTAATTTATTATAGCTGTTTGCCCAAAGAGAGAAAACGCCCTATTTGGACTAGATCTTTCGCTACCTTTAGAGCAGAGTGAACCAAAAACAACAGGGCTATCTGCGAAAAGTTGAACATTGTATCCTTTCTCATTATCCGTTTTTGTTTTAGATTTCATCGCAATATGGACTGATGTCCACAGTGACTGAGATGTTAGACAAAATGGATGTGGTTATTTTACCCGTTATGAATGTGGATGGATACTATTACTCTCGCAAACACAGCTCTGTAAGAAAGTTCTTTATTTTACTTTAAGAAAGGAAACAAGTTACGATTTTTATAACCCCCTGTGAGAGAATCCAAGACAGTCAATTGGTCTCTCTCTTTGAAAAACAGGTGCCAAGGGTAATGACATCATTACTAATATCATCTCCGCCAATCAGCATTTCGCATCGACACTTTCGATGGAGATCGATATTCAAATTCCAGAGACGTAGTTGCAAGCTCTCCTTCCTTTTCCCGCCACGCCGACAGAGCGCCCCGGCGAGCTTGTTCGCAGGCTATCCTGGTACTGGATCCCTGTCTTTGTTAATACACTGTTGTTGAATGAGAATATTCCTCTATGATGCGATCCAAATATGGAGGACGAAGTGGTACATACCCACCCGACTCCCAGACAAGCACTAACAACTGGGCTCGTCACGCATAAAGATGAGGAGAAAGTTCACCAAGATTTTTAGACTATCAAAATTAACCTTCACTTTTTTTTCTGTAGAACTCGTTTGCACGCAACTGGCCAAAAAATAGAAATATTCTATGCATAAGGGGCAGATGCTTTAGACAAGGTGTGGATCTCGACAGAAACTTTGGCTATGCCTGGGGATGTAAGTGCTGGATTTGTTGCTGTTAATGCAAGTTAGAAAAATAAAGTTGATGGTATAAAACAGAAGGTATTCCGTCCTTGCTATTTCGTGAACGTCAACAGAGTTGCGAACCCTTGCAAACCACGGGGATCGAAGCTCAGTTGTTTTCTTTACACAGGCAGGCTAAGGTAAGAAAGTCTGCTACACAGCCTATCTTTTTTACAAGAGGAGGAGCGTTGCGTGACGACACAAAGAAAGGCTGTGTAGCAGATGTCTAAAGGTAACAAAGTTATCCACTCTTTTCTAACAGATATAAACCCATCGCACCCAGAGACACAGGAACCTAAGAGTAACATTTACAGAGGGAATCATGCGTTTTCTGAACCTGAGACAAGAAATGTCCGAGGCTACTTGCAAAGTCTTGGTGGCAAGTTGAAAGGCTTCCTTGACTTCCAAGATCGTGGAAGGCGACAATGGCAGATGCCATGGAGATACACTTTTACCAGCAGCCCAGACCACGATATTCAGGTACAACTAAACTTTAACCCTCTTCAGATCAGACAAGGGGACTTTTGAGCACCCAAACTTCTCCCACCCCCCGCCCCCCCCGCCCCCTCACGAAAAAGTTGAATATATAAAGTAATTCAAAATGATGGATCCAAGATGGCGGATTGTTCCAGTTCCTTATTTAATGTTTTGATAAATGACGTCACTGTTATTGTTAAAGATTATTTTATGTGCTAGGCAACACCTTAATTTTATAAGACAATACTTTTTGACTCTTGTTCAATTTATGGCTATTTTGAGGGAAATGCACCCTGGGTGCCAGAGACTCTTCTAGCGCGGTTTCCGGTTTCTGTCAAGGCTTCGGCCTACGGTCGAAGATGTGTCGGCCTTCGGCCAACACCGAAAATTCCTCGCCGCAAGCGAGAAAAACCTCTGGTACCCGGGATAAGGGAAATGTGGATTTTGCCAATAATTTCAACAATATGACGTCATAATGACGGCAATTACGTCATTATATCAATCAGATTTTCTCCTGGGGGCACTCCCTATAACGGCTCATACAGAAAAGCTCTGCCCAAAAGGGGTACCTTCTTCCATGCTTCAGGTATATTGAAGGGTAAGGATTTCATCAGATGAAGTACATAAAAGGGTAAGGAAATCGGTCCTTGCGGTCTATAAACGGACCTAAAAAGGGTTAACCGACGCATTTTAATACTGTGAAAAAGATAAAAAAAGCCTTTCTGACTTAGTGATTCCTTCATGATTAAAAGACGGTGCATTTTCAGCAGTTAAAGGAGGGATGCAGCGCTCTAAAATTGTATTTTAAAGGAGTACCATTTGTCAATAAAATGTATACGAAAGGGGTACCATTTCTCTCAAAAATGGTGAGTAAAAGGGTAAGGGGTTTGACCTTGGGGAGGAGCCTTCTCTTATAAAATTTTGTTGAGCACTCCCCTCACGAGCGTTTCCGAATTATCTCTTTTCTTCCTTGATTTATCATTAATAAAAACTCATATATTCTATTCACAGAAGAAAGCTGGTTTAGAGGCTGCCAAAGCTATTTATAAAGTGGGTTACCGTCATGCATATCAGAGTTGTTGTCAAGCAAGTTTCCGCGATGGAGGTACTCCTTTACATCATAATCTCCTAATATGTATCTAGCCGATTTTTCGAAAACCAACCTAACAAAATTTGCAGTCATTTCAGAAAAAAAGTCGCCAAAAGGCAGGTTTCTTAAGTTCGAGAAACTCCAAAATCACAGAAACGAACAAACAACAACAACTTCATTCTTTGGACAAAAATACAAAAGTTGAATAGTTTGTCCCGCAAATAGCTGGAAAGCTAGTAGTGGCGGGGCACTGACAAGCACATCAACAGAAAAAGAAAGCAAGACACGAAGGAAAAGGAAAGGAAAAAGAGAAAGAGCGAGGAGAAGGAAAGGAGGAGAAGATCGAGAAAAAAGTAATGGCTGCACTCTTAGTTTTTATAATAGCTACTTTGGAGAAAAACTGTTGGATCGACGGAAAAGGCCCGTTTGGCGATAACCGGTCTTAAAAAGTGACTTGACCGAAACCGGAAACTGCGCATGAAAAGTCTCTGGCACCCAGGGTAGTTAACATGACAGGGGCACCCAACGACAATTTTCGGAAAAATATCTGTTCGGAAGACGATTTAAGATCTAGAATTTTCGGAACATTTGTTGTAAAATTTCTTGCTTGCCTGCCTCTCCTAGGATTTTCGGACATCTAAAAAAAGGTACAATTGCCTATTTTTAACGGATTTTTACCCTAAAAAGGTCACCTAGAATTTTCGGGAGCCTTTTTTCTGGCTAAAATTTTCGAAAAGGTAAGTTTTGATCCCTATAATTTTCGGATCACTTGACTTTCAGGGGATAAAAATATGCCTATATCTACCGTTTAAATACTAAAATACGTTTAACAATTCTAAGTTTAAGTGGTTTTGAACTATATTCTCGTTGGGTGCCCCTGACATGATGAGCCTGACAGGACCTTTTGCGATTTCCATGCAATGCGTAGTTCATTATTTGCCGAAAGAAATTACCTCAGTCTTCACTTTTTAACTATTTTTAGCTTTGTGGTACTCTTAACTAGTAAACAACTCGTTTCCATTTAGATCAGCGTATATGTGATCTATTCACTATACAATTATTACGGCATCTACAAAATCCCGATTCTCTCAGCCACAAAATAATTTAACCTACAGCACTTTATAACTTTTGTCCGCCAACACAACATTCTCGCTAAAACTCGTAGGAGAATGACGACGGTTACCACGTTTTCCCGCCAAAATGACGCTAGTTCACACGCAAGCACTACTTAGCATTGAGGAAATCCCTTACTCGTAGTCGTACTCATCTTAGAATCTAAAGCTCTCTAATTTATAGCGGCTACAACGGTTATATGTACATGGATGAATTTTTTTTTTATACCTTTCAGGCCCAGCAGGTGGAGGAAGTGTTGACTGGGTGTACGACCAGCTCGGTGTGAAATATTCCTACGCTGTGTCCATGCAAGATCGGAGTGGAAGGGGGGAGCGGTTTGTTTACGTTGGAAAAGGATTGCTCGAAGGAGTAAAGGCATTTGTTAAAGCAATGCAATTGTAATTAAAGAATCGACCTGAGATGCATGATTTAAGTTGTACCATTAACTCTTTCAATCCCACGAGTAAATCAAACCACTGAAACCAAAACCACTCTTCTACTGCTGAACGACTCAAAAAGTTATAAGCAAGGGTGGCGCAGGGATGAGAGCACTCGCCTTCCGCTAATGTGGCCCAAGTTCGAATCCTGGCGTCGAGAGCCATGTCGCCATATGTGGGTTGAGTTTGTTGTTGGTTCTATTCCTCGCTCCAAGGTTTTCTCCGGGTGTTCCGGTTTTCCCCTCTTCCCAAAAACCAACACATACCACACATACCACGTATGGGTAAACAAACGTAAACGTAAACGTAAACAACATGTTGTTTCACTTCATGGCTTTTACGTAAATTCACCACAGCCAAAGTTATAGAGCATCAAACACGAAGGAGTGAGACCTTGAAAAATGATTGGGCGGCCTAGCTCCTTAAATTCATCGAAAACTCAAAGTTAGAACTAGTACTGAGGGTGATTATACAAAGCATTACAGGAACTGATTACTGCTTGCTTATCATTGTGTAGCTTTCTTCTAAATGGTAACTTAGGATTTCATCCACAAGGGCTAATTAAAAGGCAGTTGCAGCCAACATATGCAAGAAACAGTACAACAGAAAAGGACTGCTCTGTCAACCTCGTCCCCAGGGCCTTTCCCTTAAAAAATGGGTGGGGTGGGAAAAGGCCCTGGCATCGGCTGGTCACGTGCACAGCCTAAATATTCCTGAGAAGCTAATTTATATGCAACCCGCTGGTTTTGTGCTGACAGAAGTCGAACGGAGCAATGATATATATCGCGACCTGTATGTCAATATTTTCGCGTCTGTGCGATTCAAAAGCTTAAGATCCATTTAATTGCGTATTATTCAAATGCTACAAGTTTATGAAAGGGCGAACCGGCTCCACGTTGTCACGTACAAAATATGTCAAATGCTTCAGAGTTGAGACAAGCTGTTATATCGAGTGGTACCTCGACTGAAATTCATCGTGACTGTGGAATTACTGTACGATCAAGCAGAAAGTTATTCTTTCCAATGTCAAACAAAAATGCGGGTCTTTGCCTCTAGGATCTGCAGTGAATTTAAACAAATTCAACTTAATTGAAATAGAAAATTTTTGTTCATCAAAATGCTTTATGGAGTCTGGCCTTTTCTACAACCCGACCATGAAACAAACAAATCTCCGCGCCGGATGCAAGTCAGCCCTCCAGCCAGGAACGATGACAGGTCGCCGATCTGAAACGTTTTAAGATCTCTTATATCTTTTCTCTTCCGAGGATAAGTACAAAGGATTTTCCTTATATCAAAGGGAAGATTGACCGATCGATTGGAATCAACTACAGCTCTGACAATTTTAAATGGACCCAAGTCTTTCTTTGTTACCAGTCGTTTGATACCCTGGGTGCCAGAAACTTTTCATGCGCGGTTTCCGGTTTCGGTCAAGTCTCGCAGAGGTCAATGAATTTTTTTAAAATACAGGTCATACTAGTTAAGTCTAAACCAACGCGTGTCGCTATGATATGGCTGACAGTCAAGGTGAATAGAACTACTAGGTTGTGTACGGCGGTCCACTTCGCAAGAAATAAATAAAATATCAAAAGAGTCGCGAAAACGGACTTTTCCATGCCAGTACAAACTTTATGCATGTACGATAGCTTGTTTGTCATTTATATCGCTCTATAGAGGAAGTTTTACAAATGTTACCCCTCACTGTCTCCTTCATAGAAATCGGAGGAAAGCAAAAAATTACCATAACCAGTATCTGTGACAAAAAAAGAAAACTTTTCGTTACTAGTCAAGAGATATAAAAGGCCGCCCAAGATCGCGCACTGTGAGGTCTCGCATAATTTTAGCTTTTCACATAGCGCTAATTTATTACACCCAGGATTTTAGGGTGTACGAGGGGACACGTGACCAGCCGATGCCAGGGCCTTTTCCCGCCCCACCCATTTTTTTAAAGGAAAAGCCCTGGGGACGAGGTTGCTGCTCTGTAGCTTCCATCTGAATGATCCACAGACTCAAAGTTTCCGTTATTTAGTAGCCATGAGCCCCCAACGAATTTTTTCAGTAAAATAACTGTTCGAAGGAGCAAATGATCAGCAGATTAAAAGTTTCTGGTCAGGATAACCATGCCCAAATTAGAATATTCGAAGGTTGCGTTTTTCATGCCTGAATTTTTTTCCAAGGAAAATCCGGTATTGTTATAAAGGTCTCCTGAAAATTTCGGTATAAAGACATAACGTCTCCTAGAATTCTAGAATAAAAGCATAGCTACTTCATGCTCTTTCGACCGGGGAGTAACCCATGTGGCAGCGAACAGGGATGAGATCAGCCTAGTCCCTAGGCGTTCTCTTTTGACCCGTTGTCCGCGCGAAGTCTGGGAAAGAGCGGGCGAGAGAACGTTCTCGGCGAATTCTCGTCGAGTATCTCTCGGTGACGTCACAGCTCACGGTAGAGTCCAGGATTGACCGAGCCAAGAACGTCTTGGGACTAGGCTAGGATGAAATGAAAAACCACCCAAAACTTTCGAGACGACCAAAGTTTCCCTAAGATAAAATTCCGTACAGATAGGTAGCCTTTAGGGCAGCCCAAAAAACCGCATTTGCAAACATTCGGTCGTTGAGTGCGCCTAATCTACTCTGCGAATAATTAAGTAAGGTGTTCAGGAAGAAAAGAAAGAAATTATATCCTATATCATGCATTATTGAATACAAATAAAAAAGGACGTTATGCAGTTCCATATTTCGCCGCCTGGTTGGCTCACGGTTGGGAGAGCGCCAGTCTGCTGAGCGGGAAGTCACGGGTTCGAACTAGAAGAAAGTGCTGCCTTTGTAATGACATCTGCAAACGGTTAGACTTCCTAGTCTTCTCGGATAAGGACGAAAAACCGTAGGCCCCGTCTCACACAGCACTTACACTGGTTCTTGTGGGACGTAAAGGAAACCAGACCACTGTTCGAAAAGAGTATGGGACGTAGACCCCGGTGTTGTGGTGAACCTTCACACACCATATCACATCATTCACATCATGGGTTGGGTGGGTACAGTAAGCTCACAAATGGACTGAGAGCGGCTGCCAGTGGCGCCTTTGTATGCTGACGCCATAATACGTACACCAAAAGGGACCATATAACATGCAAAGCGTCTGCATTATATTACACAGAGTATAGTCCTTGAATTAAAAATTCGTCTTTTATTAGAATAAAACTACTAAAGAAATCAAAACAGGACATTATTTTAACTTGTATCTAACTCACATTAAGCCGTTATTCCGCGGACTACGTCCGTGGAAACACTCAAAACTTATGCATTTATCAATTGGGAAAACGTAAAAAAAAATACAGTAGCATAAATTCAACAAAATTACGACAACAAGTTTATTCAGTATTACCATTTCTATAAATGGTGTTACCGATTGAAATAATTATGATAACAAGCAAAGAGAGTTAAGGAAATGCAAATATAATTGAATGATATGGTTAATTATTGTTATGTTTCTTTCGTCTTTCAAATGCTCAGTTAAAAAAACGAAAGTAACAGTACTCAGCCTGAATTCAGGGTCTGAAAGGTTTTTTTTCCCGCGATCCGGGATTGACCAAAATGAAGTGCGGGATTCGGGAAAGGTTAACGGGATATTTGGTTTTTACTGCTACGGGAGGCAAGATTCGCCAAAATTTGGGCAGGAATGCGGGATGCATGGCAAAAAACACGATTTGGCGGACCTTTCTTTCCAAACCCTATAAATTGCGAATAACTAATTTGCACGGTCTATTCAAAACAGAAAGTGACGTCTACTCTAGCACTGTTGAACATCGACTAAGTTATAACAAATTCCTTTTTAGGTTTCTGCTGTGATATACAATAAAATGAATTTCCATGTCATATGCTACTCTCATACGTACTACATTACTAAAAATACTTTACCCCAACGTCCAACAAGTTTGGTTTCTTAGCCAAAATTCGTAAATAAATGGGAATTATTTTGGCTCAACGTTAGATAACCTTAATTCCCATGAGATATATATTAAATATTGTTTATTAACACACCCTGCCTTGTTGGACCAAAACGTGGCCGACCATGGATCGTTGTTGGGATTCCAAATCGTCCTTACTGATCTTTCATTGTTTGTACTTATTTTTTTTATATGCACAGGAGAATTTGATATAAATGAAAGAGATATTCCCATCATACCATTCGTTCTGTGATGTCGCGCTAGTCTCCCGCGACTTTAAATCAAAAGAGACCAGTGGAGACCAGACAGGCCGAGTTAGTAATAGTAACATGACTAAGTGGAGTCCAATTCGGTCTGTATATCATACGAGTGATTAAAAAAATCGGACGACCGCGTAGCTAAGCAAATTAACTACGAGAGAAAAGTGTTTAATTTAATGAGGAAAGCCTTCAACTACCACAGAATTGTTTTGATACACCAATATGGCCGCCGTTTTAGTGTTCAATTTGGCGGACGTGACGTCATGAGAAAACGGTAAGGCCAAAGTGAAATTTCTAAATCGATCTAAAACTGGAGCAGTTTTCACTCGACTGGTTTAACTGCGAAACCAAACAGGAGCTAGTAAAACAACAAACGTCCAACTTTTCATGTACCAAACTTAACGACTATTTGGGTCTGGTTCGACGATTGATTCAGACGTTGAACTTAATTCATCGAACTCAATTTATTTGTACAGATGTACAATGGTTTACAATGTGGATTAGTGAAAATAAATTACAGTAATTTGTACATAAGGTTCGGCACATGAAAAGTTCGACGTTTGAAACCAAGTCGCTTCTCAGTCGAAATTCCACTGTGGGCCACTCGAACTTAATTCCTGGCTGGACCCAAGTTAGACATGTCGGGCTTAATTGATTCAAACGTCGACCTTTTGATGTACTTAATTAAGGAGATTAGGTTCGGTACATGAAAAAATCGACGCTTGAAATGGGCCTAATGATCCCCTCTATCTATTACATACTACACCCATGTTTGTCCTTCACCGGCTACATTTTCTTGGCTGAATTTCTCCTCCAGTTTACTGGCAAAGAGAGTCAGCCTCACCTGCTTTGAAGCGTCAATTAACATTAAAATGGTGCCATTTTCCATTTCACCAAAAGCGGCAAGAAATTTCTCGGCAGGGTTGTCAAATCGACTCCATTGTCTAATTTCTTCTTGTTTAAATCCCAGTTTTTCTGAAACTAATTGGTAGTAGTAGTAACCTAAAATGAAAAAGAACAAAAATGTAATTGTTATAACTCATCAACCCATCAGATCAAAAAACTGTCACAGTGGACAAAAGCGTGAGATGAACGCTTCTTGCTTATAATTCTACATATTTGATCAGTAAACATGGTGGTTCTCACTTTAAGCGTAGCTGTGCGTGAAATTAAAAGGATCGTCGAGTGTAAACACTGAAATGAAAACACTACTTTCCTGCGGTACTGTTCACAAGCGCTGTACAAAGTCTTTCTAAGTTTTGCGGGATTCTTGGAATGAAATACTACTCAAAGTAAAGTGTCACCATTCTGATGAAAGCTACTGAGCAGTACTTCCCTATGGAAGTGTTAACTTAAATTTCCGAGTTGTTCCAAACCTCAGTGTCAAAGCGATATTAATTGCGAAGTTATGCAAGAAAAAGGTTTTTTTTAATCTCCTGCAAATCAAACTCATTTTCACAAAAGAGGTTTTGCACTTAGCCTCGTTTTGAAAGTGAGGTTTTTAGAACTCTAGCCGGAATGGCCTATTGTTTACATACAACAGAAAATTTCCGGGAAATCTCGAACAAGCTTTCCAAGAATAGTTTCAATTCGCCTGTTATTCGCACAAATAAATGTTTAGCAAAACAAGACAAAGTAAACTGTTTACCATCAGTGGTTTGGCCATTAAGCCAACCTGAAATAAACCTTCTGTCCTCAACAGGTAAATCTCGGACCAACGTATCTAAGCCACCTGAAGAACAAAAAAGAGGAGGAAAAAAACTGAATACATTTAAATGAATGCATACATATATTTATAAAAGGGATGAAGAATAACGAGTTAATACAAGTTTTTGTTGACTCTTTGATTAGAGTTTCAAGTTAGAAATCAACGCAAAGTCAAAGAATTATCCATGAGAGCTACAGTGAAATGCACAGTGAAATGCACAGTGAAATGCACTGCCCTGACTGATAATCAAAATGCTGGTTGCAGAGCTCGAGGGGATCGGAGTGATCGATTGACTAATGACCGTGTCATGGGTGGAGAGGATGAGTTCTTAAACTTGGTTCCATGGAGCATCAGAACAAGCATAATAATGAAACATTTGTTTAAGAAGTTAAAGTCGTTACCCCTTGCTTATTGCACAATAACGATAAGGTTATCTTTACTTTTGCAGTTTCTAGAGCAAGACCAGAAAATAAATCACGCTTATTAATAAATGAGAAACTTACGTAATGTGCGTGACATCAGAGGACGCTTTTGTTCAACGCTTCTGGAGTTCTTTCTTTCAGGCTTCCGGCTCCTTCTTCTTTGCCGACATCTAAGGACTACAACAACTCCTATTACAGCTGGGATCAAGGCAAGGAGGAAGAGTAAAAACAATAGCTTGTTCTCCCCCGTTGATTCCTCTGGTACATCATCAGTCTTTATTACATTCAGTTGTGCGGGAAGTTTTGTGCCTGCATTTGGCGAACGGCGGCTACTTGGACTATTTGTAGTCTTTTCTGGAACAGGAGCAGTGGCTGTAAAGATAGATCGGTGGACATGGTTAGTCAACCTGTCCTCTCCCTGGAGGAAAAAAAGCAACAATTAACGCGTTTATTTGTTATAATTATTAATATACTCACTTGGAATATTTTCAGTCTTTTCTGGAACAGGAGTGGTGGCTGTAAAGATAAATCGGTGGATATGGTTAGTCAACCTGTCCTCTCTCTGGAGGAAAAAACAGCACTTGACGCGTTTATTTGACTTAATTATTTAATAATATAGTACTCACATGAAATTGACAAATATTCTTAAACATAATTTTTTTAGAACGGAATGAACTATAAAAGTCAACGTTAAAAAAGAACGACTTTTCGACAGTTCGACGGGCATTTTCAAGTTCAGGATAAGAAAGAAATTAAAAAGTAGCATGTGCTCATATACAACTGTGAATGGACTAACGAGATACTTCTAGATACTGACTCATTAGCTAATTTCTACTTCTTATCCTGAACTTGAAAATGACCGTCGGGCGGTCAAAATGTCGTCCTTGTTGAACGTTAACTTTTGTAGAAAAAAAAAACTGTCCTTAGGCTTTGCTTATATGAAGAAAAAGCGATTATGTGTCTTTTAGGAAAAAATGGTGACTTCTTTGCCCGACTCAACAGCGCTCGCCTATGAAGCTCCCCACAGGATTTTTCTATAAATCAGAAGACGAGAACTGAAGCGAGTAATGTACCCTGAACCCTTACCTTTACAGTAATAAATTGAGAACCCTTTATGAATTATCCTAAACAAATAAGTTGAACCAAAACTAAGGAGTAAGTTTTCATAATTGACATCAATAGGAAATAAATAAACAAATAAATTAATATAGGAAATAAAGAATAATAAGAAATAAGGCCTGAGGTGGCATCTTGTTAGCTCTAGGTCCGTTTTTAATAGGCTTACTTTTTACCAAAAGTTCAGTTGGATCCCGTGCGGTGCATAAACGATCATGCGCAGTTTCGCATTTCCTTGTCTCTTTTTGAAAAATACCGTCGCATGGCTGTGAACAAGGAACACATCCTCCATGTTCTCCGTAGCCTGGATCGAAGTAATGCCCCTCCGCACAGCCTTTGCACTTTGTCGGGGAAGTTGTTGTGCAGTTGCGAATAATCTTGAAGTTTCCTTCCAGGCATTCCGAGACTTCATTTATACAGCTGTCGTGCGAGAAAAGAAATTTGTTATTATTTCTTACAAATGTAATGGGCATTTTCAGACTGTGTTTGTGTGGAGGGGGCGTGGAGGGGGATGGGGAGGGGCTAAAGAAGGGTGTGGGAAAGGAGAGAGAGAGAGAGAGGGATGCTTTTTATGAGGTTTGTTTTATTGGCCAGTTTGTGGCTGAGCCGGGGACTGGGCCACTGTTGTGTCGAACACATGATTGTGATGGCGCATGATTCTGGTAATCTTTCTCGAAGGTTAATGTTCACCCATCATTTTTGTTCGCGACGTTGATTTTGAGACAGCGTTCAATTACGAACCTACCAGTGCACCTTTTTAGCTTGTATGTTTTGTTTTCCCAGTGTAGGTCATGTGATGCTAATCTAGAAGACTATTTCATTCATTGATTTGTGAAAAATCAAAGAGGGAATTCCCCTAAGGCCTTTAAAACATAAAAGATAAAGAGGTCTATTAATTTTATTAACTCTTATTTTTCGAAAATAAACCAAAATCGCAGGTACTACGTGCCACTTAACTTACTAAATACACGGTTCCATGCTCGTGTTATTCGACCAATCGTATCCAGGCCAACATTCTTGACACTCTGTGTCTTGCTTTTCGCTACATTTGGTTTTCACTCCGTACCCTGGCCCACACTTGGTGCAAGAGGTACATGACGTACCATTCCAATACTGATCGGCGGACGGACAGCTAGTTGACGTAGTAGCCAACTGGAAAAGAAAAGAATGCGAAACGAAATTGGACAAAGTAAGATTTGATTCAGTTTGTATGGGCCAATTCACCTACCAAGAAGACCTTTAAAGAGAAAATGAATGATTTTTTTTGTTCTCTCTAACATGGCCTACCGTTATGTAGGCTTGATTTTTGCCGCTCTCTCGGTCCTCCAAAAGAACAGACGGCCGTTTTTTGGGGGGGAAGAGCGCGGGCTTATTTCCCGAACAGTGGTAATCGATCCTAACCGTTATGTTGACTTTTTGCAAGTGTAACCAGCTGTGTTCAAAGTGAACCCCCAAAAAGGCAGGGAAATTTTATTTACTAATGGGCCTTTAAGATTATGGTGGCCGTGACTTTAATCAAGCCCAGTTCCGTCAACTGATCGCGTCATTGAGCAAGGGGCGGTAGCCGACTTTGCCTAGTCCTCTATACATTATCGTTGTGTCTTATATGTAGGGACGAGCCACTGGCTTTCTGACCCCTGGGGCCAGTTTGATAAGACTTTTACAAGTGCATTTTACAAGTGTGGCTATTGTTTTCGTACTGTTTAAAAACGTTGCGGGAGTGTACTATCAGGTTTAAAAACTCGAGACGAACGGCTTCATAATCTCTGATATAGATCAACTCATTCTTGCACTAATATTTAGATTTAGGGTTATTTTGCTCTAAAAAATTGGACGTAAAATTTAGCCATGTCTTCATCCCATATAAAGACACTTATTAAACCGCATTAATTTCTTTTGTTTTTTCTTTATGAGTTATTGAGGAGTTTTTGAAAAATTCCAAAATTTATAATAGGTACACTTGTAAATTACACTCTTGTAAAAATTTTAGTAAACTGGCCCCTGGACACATTCATTCATGTATTTTTGCATTGTATTCATTCAGTTGATCTGTTTTCTGATCCGGGATTTGGCCAAAATATGTTGAGGGATTCGGGAAAACGCAAATCATATTGAGAGAAAACGAGATCTGACTGCTACCCAGGAAGCCGGATTCACAAAAAATTGGGGCACGGGACGTGAGACTGTTTTTTTTCCCCCTGTCTATCAGGAATTCGGTAAATCGTAAAATGAGAAATCGGCAAATGTGAATCAACCGCTTCGTCATCTGACGGGGGTATGAAAAGCTGTGTCAAAATATCAAACGAATCAAAAGGGCCAATCTACGGGTTAATTAATATTTTTGGCTTTTGCAGCAATTGGTCTTTTTAACTAGGCAACTAAAAACGCGGGATTCGGTAAAGTGATGAAAAAAAGAGCGGGATGCGGGATTTTCGTGAAAAAGTGCAGAAATGCGGGATCAGGACAAGTTGTACTCGATCACTATGATATTTTTATTTTTATATTTATTTATGATTACTTGCATTGTAAGGGCATTTAGACTTTGTTAATTGCTCCTAGCACCTGTATGCTCTCTTGCTGTATGTTATATTATTAAGACCTTGGACGGCATACACCTATCCGAAATTTATGGTAGTACAAATAGGCTTGAGTTTTGTTCATGGTTACTGAGTTTTCTGCCTTCAGCAGAGGCTTAGTGGTTTTTCGCATTACTGATTTATCCCCCTAGCCTCTAGAGGAGAAAAAACTGAAACAGATGTATTTATTACGAGCAATGAGTGAAGAAAAATGCGCTATATTTTGAAGCACATGCAATATATTTCTTCGTTACGGACGTATATCGACGCGTGCGGTCTGTGTGGTATTGACCTCGACTCTACTTGACCTGTTTGGTAGCGTGCATAAATGATATAAGAGCTGATTGAAGCGATATCATCATCGTCATTTCAACTGCTTAAATTTCCTTGTTTTCACAAACACGTGATTATACTGAGCGTTCATCGGCATATTGCCCTTTAATACTCCAGTGATAGGGGTCTATTTTTATAAATAGCAAAGTATTAAAATAAAACATTTTTAATTTATCTATTCTCGAGATAAGTTTATTGTTAAAACCTTTTGTTGTATTCTTTCTTAATAGCTTTATGATATTGTAGCACGGCGCGATATTCACTTTCCTCTATCATAAAATATAATGGCAGCTTTCAATATGATTCACCATGTACCCTCAGGAAATGCCTGTACCCCAACGCAACTGGCCCTACAGGGTTTCTTTAATGCAATCATTCAAACAGATTTAAAAAAATGAACTCGCCATATACAAATGGTTTTTCAGATTGATAACGACTACTTGGAAAGATGACGACTTCATGAGAAGGCCGGTTACTTAGGCCGATAACCAATATCAATGAACCACATTTTTTTCATATTTTCCGTGGATTAAGCAAACAATAGTATTTTTTTAAGAGACAGTTGTTACTTAGTTGTTAGTTTGAAGTATTGATTCATCCTGAAAGAAACATACAAGGTTACAAAAGGGCTTTATCTGAAGGAAGCGCCTATCCTGTTGCATGACCTGGCAATATTTTCATGTTATCAAAAAGATCCTTAACTCGATTTGTTTGCGTCTGAAAGGAAACTAGTGGACAATAAAAGTAACTTATCATAATATATTTTAGGTGCTAATGAGCTCTCCTCAAAACAAATTGTTCAACGTGAGTGGGCATTCAAATGGCTAATATACCAGCTTCCGCTGCTATAAATCACTCAAATGAAATCATTTGAAGACCATGCAATATTCACGTGAAACTTTTAACTTTTAACTTCCTCCAAGGAAGGGGTCATCTCTAATTTCCACGTGTTCCGTGAGGTCGCGATCGCCGGATGGGGCGCTAATAAGTCTTAATATTTTTGGCGTAACTTTCGAGATTGAAACATAGTTATTACGTGTTAAAAACTTTAAAATTTACTGACTTTTATCTATCATCTCTTGCCTCTGTGAAAGCAATCCCTCCAAGCTCTAAGCCTTTGCCCATTCCTTGCATAAATTGATCGATACTGTGAGTGTGTGTCTAACACTTACCTTAAAGCACATTGCTGATTGGACGAGTAGACACACGGTTAACAGTGACATTTTTCGAAGTGTTTTAAAATGACAGAAGAAACTATCGGCAGATTCTAGCGACTGGCAGGTGACCGAGTGTGACGAACAGTTTTGATTTTAACTGCTCTCGCTGGTAGAGCCGGCGCAAAAAGGCTAACTTCTTGAAAGTGATGCATTATTGTTCCAGAATTCATGATTGGTGCTGACATGATTGACGTTTTCAAGTGCTCCAGTTCTTGTTTTGCCCACTAAGCATATCTTTTTCTAGCTCTTATTACTAGAAAAAAAATTTCCGAGTCAAAGCCATGGAATAACAAAGGATCCTCTCACGATAGAAACTTGCAGAAAATAGCTCAGAAATAGTTTTAGTTGTTTTTGCAAACGCATATAGAAGTTCCTAATATCACGGACAGTATACTTAACCCTTTGCGATGACGTGTAAGTAGTTTAACCTGCTGCCCAGCCGAATACGACCACCATATAATTATTCGTGCGCCACCGTCAAAGAGCCGTGATTGATGGCACTGTTAAGATAAAACACCACTGGGTTTTTCTCTTCTCTTTTGCACCCAATGAAATAAAGAAGAGAAAAAAAAGGAAGAGAAAGAACAATACTGTAGCTTACGGACAAAAGCGGACTCGAGAACCGCATTTTTATGTCCGTAACAGAAGATGTAGATCGGGGTAAGCTTTACACCGACGGCTATTTCACGTTTAACAGGAGCCGATGACTGTTTAATGAGGACGTAACCGCTCAGGACTACAAATTTCTTTTTTTCTGAACTTCGATTCGAAAATTAACTAAAGAATTCAACTCCGGAAAAATCCGCCGATTTTTTTTTCTATTTGACAAGTGGAATTATCGCGATAAAAAAAAGAACTGATAATTTTATACTGGTAATTGAAACGTTTAATCATAGTTATTAGAGGAGACTGGTTATGAAAAGCGGTAAACATCAATGATAAAAACAACAGTGCTGCAGTTTATGTTGGAAGTACCGTGAAAGTGCACAATCCTTTGTTTTCTGTTGGCAAATTGTTACGGAATAAATTAATGCAACGTTTTTATTGGTCAATACAATCAAAATGATAGGAATTCTTTTGAACGTTGTGCACTTTCAGGTCAAAATACCTATTATGAAATAAATAATAATAAGGTTTTTCTCTTCGTTGACGCGGCTTCGCCTCTGGAACCCAGGGTACAGTATATCCGACGCGGTTTTGAACAATGGCACTTCATTGCTGATTGTCGTGGAATTATTAGAACCAACTGGAGTTAAGATCTATTCACTGCAAAAAAAATATACGTGTGACGGTTTTAACAAGGGCCTTAATTCAGTATGGTGTTGATGTTTTGTGATGCCGACTTTACAAGCAGACCATGCCAAGGTAGGCATTTATAAAAGATCATAGACAATGAATAAACTACATTTTGTTCTATTGAGACAAGTGACTTTTAACATGCGCTTTGTATGAAGTAAAAGAAAAGATCAAAAAAGAGAAAAAAGCCCGCACAAAGTTCAGCGCCAAAAAGGCGGAATTTATGTAAATCGGTTACATTTTTTCCCTTAGAAACACAATTCTTGCTTTACCGATCACACATTATTTTGAGCCAGATCATGACCTTTCTAGATTCATTTGTAGATTCTTTGGATTATTAAGATGTTTCGATGTTGCTTTATAAAAGGGCTGAGTTGCACGGTTTCCGCTTTGGATAATTCGTTGTTGATAGTATAGGTGTTAAAAGTTAGCGTCAGTAGGAGCAAGGTTATCCGTAGATCTCCGTCAACCACCCTTAATTATCGCCTGATGATAGTGCTTTTAACCCTTTAAATCCGTCGGATAAAAGTGACGGGTTAGTAAAAAGACGATCTTAATTAACAGGCTTGAAAATTGTTTATGTTGATAATCCTAATGTTCTTGTTTCGCAGCACGGTTTGAGCTGATAATAACCCCACTTGTGTGAAGTCTGAAAAGAAAAGAGTGCGCGGTCAAAACAACCTTTTATATGAGTAGCGGTGGTGGAGATATATTATCAACAATA